GTAAGTTAAAATAGGTTCTCCAGCTCATGATCTGATGCGTTGTTCCGCCTAAGAAATGAAGTTCAGCCACTGGACGCCAAGGTTCTCATCTTGGTAAGTTTGGAAAATACTCTTCCACCATTGCAAGGCTGCTGCCTTCAAGGCCACTAGCCGATAGATCCAACAAGACCACCTCAGCGACCAAAAACCAGAGGCAATGGCAAGCAGTTTGAGACAACAGGAGGTCATAACTAAGAATCTGCACGCTATTACGCGAGCTTCGGCTGTTAGACAGACTGTTTCAAGTGTCTTGCCGTTATCCATGAAAGCACATGATTCTCGATAACCTTGGCATGCTTAGTGAGTAAGAATCGGAGGCAAGTAAATACATGTGCCGAATATCAGGGCTCTCAATATATAGAGTGCCTTTTCCTCGTCTCGCTTCTCTAGTAGCCAAGCTGCCTCGTACACCTTCCAACCAAGCCATCCCATCATCCCTAAAGACAGAGAGTTGTGCCTTAGCCCCAACACGAAACCATCCTAGACCTCCATGTGTATTAATCTTTTTAATAATATATTGGAATTGGAGAAGTAACTAGAAACGAATGCTTGTGGTAATATTGAATGAAATGGAAAACCTTGGGAATGGAAGAACTCATAATAGACATTTCATGATGGATAGACACCACCCAAATCCGGCGTTCTTTCCGCATTCCATGGAGTGTGAGACAATGTCCATCCGTCATCTTTCCGCCAGCCAATCAGCCACACAGCATTTGACGGCCCGCATCCCAATTGGGCAAAATGATCTCGACCTGACGATAGCCTGGACACATCGAAGGAAATGTTGATTCGGTGGCAGGAGGACAATAGACCATGCCTTCCCTGATGATTGAACCTCTTACAATGAAGTGGGTAGGTATAGGTCGTGGGAAGTACAGTTCTGCTCAAATGTACACTCGTCTTCTATGACACAATGGACGAGGATCAAAGGGAATTTGGGATGCAGAAGTTGATCTCTTCTACTTCTTGGTATCTGCTGTCGGCCCACCTCCTGGAAGGTCTAAGTGTTCGTCGTCCTTGTACAGTTCGCAGTGCTCTTTGGCGACTTCCCAGTCTCGGGGCTAAGTGAGCCCTTTGTGGTCGGTGTGCATGCACTTCGTACGTGGATCCCAATGTCGGTCGCTGCGTTTCTCGAATGCTACCATCAATTTATGTAACACCTAGATGTACTGTCTGTGGTCTATGCAAGGGCCGAGCTCAACTGAGATCAATGCCATCACCCTTGGACATGACAGTGGTCAGTGAGCCAACTGCAATTTTTCACCTTCGAGCATAGATCCAATTGTCATTGAATTGGCCAAGTGACTTGGCGCTTTCATGTCTTGCTGTGAGTCATCACGTGCCTTCATTATCGGGACTACCACTGGCGTGAGTTGGGAGCATTCGCAACGTCAGAGTTGCTGACGAGGAAAGGGCGGACAGTTTTATGGCTGGGTTGTTCAATGGGATCTCAGACGAAGATCGAACCAAGATACAAGTGTGGAGTAAAGTGTCCCTAAAGGATAAAGTCTCCAGTAACTTTGACAATAACCCGCCGCTGCCCTCTCAGAACACCTCAGATTCTGGAGCTGACTCGCCATGTTCGAACTCCCCATGCGGCTTCTTTCATTAATTCCGTTTCCGTTATCCAAGCAGTATATTCGTACCGCACTCCAGAGTGTTTCGTAACACCGGCTCAGAATGAACCTGAAAAGACGCAGCAAGGCTCCCTGGAAGCCCTCCGAGTCGAGGTACTTCTTCTCATCGGCCAAAACCTGACGGCGTTCGATCGCGTCTCATTGTCAGTTTCCAGCAGATATCTGGGTGGTTTCGCAAAAGGGATCTACTGAAATTTGAGGATGACATGCGCTTCAAGTTTCTCTGACGTCTATACAGACACAGTGATGAAATGTTGAAGTACAGCATCCTCTGTAATGTGTGCCGCTCATTTCACCTTTGACACCTTCCCACACAATCAAAAAGAATAAAAGGTACGAAATTTGCCTTTCCCGTCGTAGGAGTGTTCTCTCCCATCAGGTGCGAAGTTTCTTCGCCTTGGCTAGCAGAGACGGTCTCTGCTCCACCACTCTCACCACAGCTAATATGAGGTCGGTGCGACCTAGCTCTGATGCCTACTCGACTGATGTTCCCACGACCTGCGAATTACCGGAATTACCCCACCATGGAATACCGAGTACCAGGCGAAGTGTAAGGTGATATACGTAAGTTTGACTCTGCGGAATGAGATATGGATTTATGCCCGTGGTGCGACAAATGCACTCCCACCCGAGATGGGTGGATATCTACGACTTTACTATCCTCCGTGATTACGGAAATCGAGACAAATTCGAGGAGAGGGACAGTACGCAGAGTCCCTGTACGACCGTCTCCCCGATGATCTGGAGTACTTGTGGGCATGCGGACAGTGTTTTACAGCTTTCTCCTCGCGAAAGTGCCACGCGTTCTAGTGGGTATAAATATGGGAACGTCCAGCGACCAGTGGCGTTCAAGAGCCGGTCTGACCGTGGCCCAGGGAGAAACCCGCATGATCTACAAGGAGTCTCGTTTATGGATCGCAGAGGTACCTTGTGAAAGAAAGCCCCCCAAGTCGGCCCTGACAATGTTCGCCGCGCTCTTAGATCCTGGGCAATGCCACAATGATGATTAGGTGGGCACAACCGGCCTTGCAAAGGTCCTCGATGAGGAGCACCCCGGTCTAAAAAGTTGAAGTCTGGCGATCGATGGGTCAAATTTGGGCCGAAAAGCGTCCATCTCCCTATCTAGTGAAGCGTTACACGGCAAGGCTAGGTTGTTGAGCTTGGGCTTCTCGGTGTTGAAGAAGAAGATGGGAAGAACTCAGATGTCAGCACAGGACTAAGGTTTGCCCGTATTACTGGCTGAAATGTTCTTCGTCCAGGCGCATTCGGGTCCCCACGGCTTTAAAGTGGGAGACAGAGGCCACAGGGCGGATTAAATGCGACGGTAATGTCACTTGCGCCCTCTCTAACCCCGCCTTGGTAGATTCATTAATACCTCGTCCTTTTTAGCATCAATCGAACATTGCCCGGTAGTGTGCCAGAATATCAGCCTCATTCTCTCCATCCAAGCACATACAGATTCCCAAGATGAGCGACGGAGTGATCACGATAACTTCCCGGTGCCACTGCAGGGCTCAAGTATTCACTACGCAAGTCGCCGAGTCTGCTCTTCCCTTGCAATGCACGCCATGCCACTGCAACTCATGCAGGCACTCAACGGGCCAACTATACTATCCGGGAGTGGAGTGGCCGAATGCCGACGAGGACTTGTCCAGTCTCAAAAAATACCAGTTTTCGGAAACTCTCTTTAAATATTTCTGCGGTACCTGCTTCACCTTCATGTTTTTCAAACGAAATACTCCTGGAGCCAAACCCGACGTCTCCACAGGCACTCTGAACAACGATGTTCCTAACCTGGTCGAGTACGCAAACCACATCTTCGTCGGTGATACCCGAGACGGAGGGGCCTCGATGTGGCTTCGAACCAGTTGGAAAGACGGGAAACCTCTCCCACGATGGGACACTTGGCATGATGCTCGTGTTGCGGGTAGCAAGGAGCTTCCGATGGATTGGCCCGGACTACCTGACCCCTTGTCCCACTCAAAGTTGGTCGAGCCGGGTACGACACCATTTTATTGCCACTGTCGGGGCGTCAACTTCCTGGTCAGGAGTGCCAGAGACATGGATCATCGTCCCAAGGAGGATCTCCCTCCGTTCGTCGACCCCAAGACGTACAGATACCTAGCGCTCACCTGTGTCTGTGATTGGTGTCGCAGCTCAAGCGGAGTTGACGTGCCGAACTGGGCATTCGCCGACTTAGCGCACATCGAATTTCCACCTAGCGACACATCTTCAGACTCGACTGGTGCATCCCAGCCATTCCCCGCCAGTGTCTCCGAGCTCAAAGAAGCCGTGTCCTCCTCGAATAAAGACTCACGCCTTGGGACGTTGACGTTTTACCAGACCTCTCCGGACGTGCAAAGGTATTTCTGCTCTCGATGCGCCGCCACTGTGTTCTATGCGGTTGGTCGCCGTCCGCACGTGGCCGATTTTGCGGTGGGTTTGCTGGATCATCCAAGCGGAGCGAGGGCCGAAGGGCTGCTGTCATGGGATTACGGGCGAATGGTCAGTGCTACGGATACCGAGGGTGGTTGGAGGAACAAGATTGTGACGACCGCCAGGAAGGAGTGTGAGGAGTGGAGAGTAATGCGAGGATATCCCCAGGGATGGCCAAGAGTATTGGGATAATGGATAATCGACAAATTCATAAGAGCAGAGAACGAGAGGAGAACGAGAGGGAAGGAAGAAGGGGTATTAAAGACAAGAAGAGATAGGAAAAGACAATTATAAGAAAAAGAAAATCAATGGAAAAGAGAGAAAAAAAAAATACAGAAACTCAGAAACGGGAATGAATTGGGGGCCAACCGGGGATTGAACCCGGGACCTCTCGCAACTAAGCAGAGGGTGTTACCCTAAGCGAGAATCATACCACTAGACCATCGGCCCTTGTTCCCATTCTGGGTTCTGTTGTGGGTTGTTGGCGACGGGTCTTCCTATCTAGCCCTAAACAGCCTGGATCCGGAATGTTAATTAACCACTTTAGCTTCTCCAACAATTTTATGGCGTCCGGGAGTGCTCCGCTTCAATCTCTGGCTACCGCAGAGTTTGCAGTGTCTCAATTCTTGCCGTCTGGCATACGAAGGGACCGAAACCCGTGCTTGACCCCCCCGAGTTGACGGAGGGCCTTGTGCTCACAACATGTTCTAGCATTTTCCGCTGAGCCGCAAGCCGACTTATCCATTATTTCATTTCTCATTTCCGCGTTCACTGAGTTGTTTTAGGATTAGAGTTGGTTTACGATTAACATCCCGTCGCGTTGTCGGGTTCTCACGGCGATGGCTGTTGTTCATATTCAGCCAAGCGATAGCCTGTATGTCCATGTCAATACACGTAGGCGGCCGGACTATCAGGCCCGATTGGCCCCTGAAGCTCAATCGCATCAACGATGTAGTTGGCGCTCAGGAATCCCTGGTCCCCCGATCCGAACACCCCGAGCGTCAGAGTATTCTCTCCAGTCTTCAAAGCTGACGCGGGAACATCCCATGTATACTGCTCTCCGTAGCCTCGATAGGCCCCGCGAGTAACTCCCCGGGAATCGATGAGTTTCTGATCAAAGAGTTAGCGATTCATCATATACTCTGAAGTGCCAGAATCGGAGGATACGTGGATGGGACATACGGGGGCACCGGGGTCTTTCCCCTGCCAGCTATTGATTTTCACATTCGGTCGTCCGCCTTTAAACGAGAGCGTCGTGCTCACTCGCAAAACTGTATTAGTTACTTGGTCGGCCTGCAAGTTGAAAGTAACAGTAGCCACTCCACCCTCCTTAGAGAATAGCGCCATAGGGAACTCTTCCGGCTTTGACTTTCCGACGACGTAGTTCCCTCCCCAGCTGGTCATACGAACGTCCGAGGGGTGCATCCGCTCAATCCGGTCGCCGTTCTTCAACTCGAATGGCTGGCCGTCAAAGTCACCGATGCGGAAAATAACAGGCGGTGACTTTTCGATCGAGATAATGTCCTTGGTTCCCGTCTGTCCGGCGACAATGGTGACTTTGTCCTCGGCGATCGGAAACTCGCCCCGGTAGAGCTTCATATTGTATGTGCCGGGCTTCATCGGTGGGGAGGTGTAATTGCCCTCGACGGTGGCCTTGGTCCAGTACTGCGCGGCCTCGTTATACCAGTGCACCACGGCCTCGAAACCCTGAGGTACCCCGCCGGCCACTCCGCTCACTTGCCCTCTTCCGCTCGTTGGGACGTACCCTTGGATGTCGAGAGATTCGAAAAAGCTAGTGTCGACATCCCCAGAGGGCTGCTCCCCGGTCCTGAAAAATGAAATGTTAGCTAAACGATGCTGTGCAAGTATTGATTTATAGAAGCTGAGCATACGTGAAACGCATGGCGTATGGTCCCATCAGACCGAATCTCCAGGGTTCAGTTCGCACGTGTCCGCTGTTCATGTACCAGTAGAGCTCTTGATCGTCGCCACTCTGAGTGTTAATGTCTCTCATAAAAGGCCCGCCAGACGAAGTTTCGTAGGCCACACCGGGCATAATCATCCAGATTCCTACTTTCTGAAGGCAAGGACTCTATTAGAGGCTGATCAGCAGCAATCTCAAGGTCAATACTAACCGGGCCTGTTACGCCATGAACGATGTCGTCGATAAAGCGATCAGCAGTGTACATCTTGCACCGCGTCTCGCCATTTGGACACTTGAAAGTATCTTTCCCCTCAAAAGCCGTGCAACCATCGAGCGTACCCGCCGTGCCATGCCAACCATCTGGGACAGCTGAGCGACGGAGACGAGCTAGCCACCGGAGCTCTCCCGGATCGACTTCGCCCGTAATATAGGTGGCCATGTATATCGTGGCATCATCTGGCTTGGCCACGAGATACTGGGTGAGCGGCGCCGACCCGGCCTTGATCGTGATCTTGACGTAGCCATTTTTGGTCTCTGCTGCCACTTGGGAGTTGCCCAGTCCAGAGTTTATATGCGTCATTTTGCTTGTTCCTTGATACTCGACTCCATTGTACTTTAGACTTGTGATGTCCCCCGTCGACCTGCGAACAGTTTTAATGAGCATGAGCTCTTGGATTGATGAACAGTCTAGAAATGAGGATGGGTATTTAGTACTTGCTGACGCCAAATACTAGACCAGCATTAGTATCAACCTGGTATGAATTTCCTGCCGTCGTCAGGCCAAATGCTGCCTGAGCCGATGTGAAGCAGATCGAAAGGCCTGCTAGGTTGGCGACGAAGTGGGCGGAAAACATTGTGGTGAACCAGTGACGAGCAGTTGCGGGAGGATGGCTAGAGATTCTCAAGTTTCCATGGCTGGAACGACACTTTCAATTTACAATGTAGGGGGCAAGTAATTAACAACGATCTACGCTAATAATGGCGAAGAAAAAGCCTCTATTTTATAATTCTCGGTCCCCGGCTTCCGGGTTCAAAGAGGGGGCGCCATTCTCGGAAGCACCTAATACACCTACCTCTTACGATGGTCCATGTAATAGTGAATTGCGGGGAGTCCTTCTAGAGCTGAGGCACTAATTACATTGAGATGCTGGTACGATAATCATTAATCCATACTTTCGATTGGAGCGCCACTGCTTGTGATTGACCAAATTCCGGGAAAGCACCCGTATATTTCAGCCTGATTCCTGGTGCTTCATCTATTTTCCCAGCTGCCCAAACGTATCGACAACGGCAAGATTAATGTAAACCTTTAATGAAATATTAAAGCAATTTCGGGGCCATGGTTTCAATGGCAAGCTTCTTATGGGGTAAGGAAGTGATGATCGTGGACCGCGGGTCTTTGAAGACAGCATCCCACCCACTCCGGCTGTTTTCACATTTGAATCACGTTTCTTTTTCGTTCCAGAGACCGCCACCATCGAATAAACTACTTAGATATCTGGAATGCGGCCCCCACGGCCAGGTTCGGATGGTAGTGATCAGCTCCAATTGGCGCGGGTGACGCACGTCACTTTGTCCATTTGTGATCCCAGCATTCTGGGGAATTTGGTCAAACTCAAGACCCAGAGAGTAGCATTCTGTGGGACCGTCTGTGAAAAAGGTTGCCGATCCGGCCTTGTTTCATAATAAGTGCTCGCATAGTTACAGAATTCTATCTCGGTCACTCGACGTCGCCCTGGTCAACTACACCGCGAACAATTCACAGCCATGCAGACCTAGACTCACCGCGCTGTTGACTTGCAGCAGATACGAGCCATTACTTAACTCCTCATGGCAACAGGTAACAAATAGTAGCAGGCGAAGGGCACGGAGATAAAATGAGTGCGCACGAAGTCTCAACATTCAACCAGCAGCTGGGAATTGATGAAATAACTCATGAAACCAGATGCTTACTCTTCCTTGACTTCAAATTCGTACGACGGCGAGGGGTTAGAAAGAGCCCACTTGATGCCTTCCTCAATGACCTTATCCCATCTAGTCGAGGCAGATAGCTTTGAGCCATATCGACGAAATGCGTGAGGCAGTCCTTTGAAGACGTTAATGTCCGTAGGAACTCTATGTACAACACATGATCATAGTTTAGTTGATCCGGAACTCGCTGTAATGTGGGAGGAAGTATTAGTCCTTACCCAGCGTCCGTCAGCAACTTGGCATAAAGAAGCCCTTCATCTCTCAATGGATCCAGACCAGTCACACCAAACACAGTTGGTGGGAGGCCCTTGACATCCCCCAGGCTGGCATTCCCGGGGTTGAGTTTCAAGTCGTCGACTTGGGGGTCCTCAATCTTCAAAAGGTCTGTGAAAATCTTGCATGTCTCCAATGACAAGACCGGCGCATTCTTACATTCCTCGTAGGAGGAGGTAGATGGGTGCTTCAGCTTTTTCAGCTGCGGCTCGTAGCAGTACATGTTAACGACGCAGGGTATCATCAGAATTTGGCCACGGAGCTCCGGGTACTTGACGGTTATGGCGGATTTTCCCAGTTTCTTCTGAAGAACAAGGGAAGCAGCAAGCTGCGCCCCTGCTGAAACCCCGCCAATTACAATTCTTTGATGATCTGTTCCTAGCTCCTCTATATTCCGGTGAACCCACTCAAACGCGTCCTCTGTATCGTTCCAAGCTGATATGGGCTACATTCGAAGGGAGATCGGGTGAAGACGTGAGACAACAGAGAGGAAATTATTAACGCAATGAAATGTGTGGAAACGTGGCGGGTTTACGGGGGCTGAAAACCGCGGATGCTAGTCAACGATGGCTCTGACGAGAGAAAGCGAGGGAGTATGAGGAGACGGTGTTAGGCCAAGGGGGAGCTCCGCCCCCCTCTTGTTGAACGTCTCGGCAAATGAGCATAAAGTAAAACCAACGAGGGACTTTAATAGATGGAAAAAGTCCACTTGAGAGCGTAGTGCACTGCTGGCGAACCCGAATCCAACTTCAGGGCTATATATATCAAACATCCCACGACACTGGCAGCCGGAGGCTTGTCCTCAAACATATTCGAGTAAGCGTCACTGACCTTCAAGGACTTTGCCTCTAAAACTACGGTTTTTAAGTTTAGAACAGCCTCACTTAATTTTTTCTTTTTTTTTTCTTTTGTCTGGATATCGTTTTAATGGGTAACTCCGAGTCAACAAAATAAACAGACTAGAAACAAGTCCCCGAAAAACTTCAACTCTCGACAATTTTAGGGCTCTGGGATTGGTCACGGTATTCTTATCATACCTTGGAGTTCATGGAAAATTCAAGGTCCTGCTCAGCACGCATCCGCCGGCGGATCAATGGCCTATGAGTCCACCAGTACCAGGTAAACACTGTGGTTCCCGTAAGTAAGGCGACTATGACGATGAATATCCATAGAGTTCCTGAAACAATAGTTTTCCTTTTATCTGGGTCCCAAGTAAACAAATCGGCAGAAAAGATGGACTTAAAGGCCACGGTTAGTGACAAAACACAATCAGCGGTGTGGTAAGGTGAAAACGAACCGCCACCGTAGTCATTGGCAGGAATATCATTGTCAAGAGGGCGACGGATCTCATCTGCGAGCTGTCTTTTCTCATATCCAACGTCATGTTTGTGCTGGCCCTGGCCAAGTTCGTATTGACGTTGGATATTTCAATATTTATACGGTTGTCCTCCTGCGCAAAATGATTCCACATCTAATGGGGTGAGGGAAACAGAAATCCTGGGTTAACGTATTGGCCAACATGGGGACAAAGACTGGAAATCTGAAAGCCTCACAGTTTGCATCGTAAGGGACATGTTGCTAACCACCATGCCACATTCGTTGATCCGGTCGCTGTACTCACCTAATATTTCGCGCAGACGATACTTAATTAACTCCCCCGTCAACTTCTGGTCTTTGTCGACAGCAGTGATATCCAGCCTGCAGGTATCACAACGGCTTCGACGGGGAGCTCGATCCGCCGTTCTACCCGTTTCAGCAATCATCTTCACTATCTGTCGCCGTGAGGACTTCAGCGTATTGCTCAAGTCCTGGCTTTGAAACGAGACCTGGAGGAACGACAGCATTTTCGAATTGTCCATGTTCGTAAGAAGGCCATCTTTGGAGGTTGTGTGTACGGCCTGGAGAGTAAAGACGTCTAGGATTTTGTCAATGGCCTTGCAGAGCCGGGCCCGGTCCTCCTCAATGAAAATTCCAGGAAGAAACATTGGATGTACGGAGGATCCCGCGCTCTTGCCCATCCGCTTGATGTAGTGCAGTTTTTGCTCCTCGTCGCACCCAAAGACCACACCGGCGTTAAACGGGCCGCGCGTGAAATGCGTTGCTGATAGAGCTAGGTCACCCTCCACAGTTGCGGCCATGCGTAGAGTATATGCTTTGACTGAGATTTAGTTCCTGTCGCTTCTGGGCGTGGACTCTGCCGTTTCAGAGACGACGTACCAATCTTCATGTCCGTGAGCTCTTCATCGTAGATGTCTTGAGCCTCGAAATGCGCAACTTGTCTTTGAATAGTACGACCAATTGTGGGGTGAATTCCGAAAATTGCAACCAGTTTCTTGAACACGGCCAACTCCATTGGCAGATATGAAACAGGGGCTGGCTCTTCGAAAATTGGACTAGCACGACTGCATAGACTGGGGGCATTAAGACGGCTGATGAGCTTGATACATTTTCCACTGTTGAAAAATCGGAAATCTTTACATGAGGAGGGCGCCGGGCTGGCTTTGTTCATAAAGGAGGGGTTCAGTCTAGGCGTAGTTTAGCCAAGGAACTTTGTGAGGCAAGCATCGAGGCAACAGCTCATGGTATTCGAGGGATGCGCACTATATCAAACCACTCATTCCATTGCGGAGTCGACCGAATCCGGGTGACAATGGGTCGCTAGACAAGCCGTCAGTAAGGATATTCTTCTGGCCAGTCTCCTGCCTTTGCTTTTTTTTTTCCTGGGAGGGGGGAAAAAAGAAGAAGAGGGGGGGGGGGGGGGGGGGGGGGTAGGGTTACCGACTTCATGCGATTCAAGTTTCAATACGACAGTGCTTTCTCCGGTACCATATACGAAATTCGCGTAGTCCGCGTCGGACCACCGATAGTCTCGGCGCTCCCAATCCATCCTTATCTATCAATAACTACTTTAAAAGACCGGCCCGTACGCTGTCTTTTCCTTGTGTGGCTGGTTACTGGGGAAAGTCCGTTCGTTGAGAAGAAACTGCAGGGGGCATGGGTTATATTGATTTCATTCCTCCTTTCCGCGGGTGGGTGAAATTGAGGCTGCAGCTGCAGCAGACCGTTAATATAGATCAACACTTCAATAGTTGGCTCGCCCGACGGAACCCCACCTGCAGTCTAAAGCGAGCCGCGGCAGGTCTTCGCCACACATGCGGGCGTATCATATCCTGCCACGCATCCTGCAGCTTGGGCTTTCCGTAAGGCAAATTTTGAAGTGTCACCAAGACGTATCCCTCATATCTCATCGACTTTTTGCTCTTCTGAGAGCTGGCAGCGAAAACACAGCATCGCTGAAGGACAAAACTGAATTAATAGGAGATAATATGACGGCAGATAAAGTCCACCAGCCACCTGAGACGCAGCCTGCCTGGGGCAGTTTTGTGCTCCAGAAGCGATACAAGGATCCCATGACGCTGAAAACCGTCCTCGACGACAAGTATGGCGAGGGAAACTACAGAGTAACGGTATGCTTCCATTTCTCCCGATCGGGGCAGAGCACTCGAGGCTAACTTGAGCTCAACCGTAGGTGGCTCGAGATCGTTGGGTTCTGTCCGTCCCTGGAACCATCTCCGAGGTACGTAAGACCTACACAACCCTAGCTGGTCTTAGCCTGGAAAAGTGTCGCATCCGACTCACAAGTGTAAATACACAGAGTGAACTACGTTGTATTGAAAATAAAGTGTTTAGGCACTATTAACGTCCAGTCTCGCCTCTGCAATATGTCGGACTGGACGCTACGGGAGAAGAAGAGTTGATGGGGCTTACTTTTCTGTAGATAAAAGCATAATACCGGAGTGTCAGGGCGGGCCCACATCTGTACGAACGATGGATGTGCATTTATTCGCGCATTCCTATACATATCATTTGCATTTATCCCGCCCAGTTGAGCCAAAACAGAGGTCATGCACATAGTCTCGCTTTATTCTCCACGAGGCTATTCACACGCATCGTTAGATATCAGCTAGTACTTTTGCGGCCTACTATACTTGGGATGATCTATACATACTTTCAACCTGGTCTTCAACTCTATAAGCACCTGCTGACTCGTCAACCTCTCACTTACTTCGGGCTCCAGCATCTTCTCGATCAAATCCAGAAACTCGTTAGAACACCGACTCGCTTTCGGATGAGTGCGAAGATCTTTGATCCAGTTGTCGACTTCTGGCTTCCTCTTGGCTACCACCCGTTCGCCACTGGTCTTCGTACAAGTAAAGAAGGTATCCTCCACAAAGCCTTTCAGTATTTCGTTGGGCGTCGCCCTCGCCTTTGCAAAGAGGTCCCTCGCCGCCGTGAAGCCTTTGAGATCCCATGTCACCATCTCAAGGAAAACGCAACCGAGGCTATAGACATCCGCCTTCCGACCAATCTTTCCGTCTGTGACATCGAACTCCGGAGCTCGATACGTGGAACTAAAGTCGAGATTCCTCGGGTTCTGACGTGATCTAGAAATGCCTGTATGAAGTCGCCCTAGGCCAAAATCGGTTATGACAAGCCGGGAGCTATTCTCTGCGTAGAAATAGAGGATGTTGTCTGCTTTGATGTCGCCATGTCGGCCATAGAGCTCGTTTTCTTCTCCGTCCGCGATACCGGGTATCCCGCCAACCTGCTTTAAGCGCGAGTTGTGAATTAACGTCAGGGCCTCGGCGAGAGCATGGCAGTCATACATCATCCGTTCGGTATGGCTGGGCGGTTTGCTCGGTTCATCGAAGCGTTTGAAAAAGTCCCATAGGGTCCCATCCGCGTAGGGGAATAGGAAATAATAATATCTTGCTCCGTTCTCCAATATCTCGAAAGTCGCTAGCACTTGAATCAAGCTCCATCCGGCGTTAGACCGGAATGGTAACAATGATGCTAGTTCTAAGTTGAATGCTTCGATCCCGTCAGGCTCATTCAACCTTTTGAGAGCGAATTTCGTCATGTCCGCTGGGATCTAACCACATGGCAGAGGCCAAAGTCAGCAATTTTCCAAGTGTTTCAATGTCTGGACAAGACTCATCCAATGAAGGCTACTGCAGGGGGAAAGGGGGCTTACACCGAGTTCCTTGAAGTTTACGTGGTCTTTGTCAATCTCGACCACCTCGACCACACCAAATCCACCGTTCCCATCGTGGAGACCGTTGCTCGACGTTGAGTTGACCGGCTGTCGAGAGTTGACCGGCCGTCGAGAGTGAAAGGGAAGGACATCCTTGTCGGTCAGTTTCAGATGCCTATGTTTGCCTCCGATCCCTTTAAAATAAGGTGCTAGAAGGAATCGCGATGCTTGACAGAGGTCTCGGCAGAGGTGGACGTTATCAAACATGTGGGTATGTTCTTCGCAGATGGCCGTCTTCCTCTGGTCTGGGTCTGGGTGAAGCTTCATCGGTAAACAGTCGTCCGATATTCCGTCATCGAGAACCGACTGAAGGTAGGACTCCCTGCCTTTGAGAATGAGAGCTGCCAATACAATGACGGCTCTGCCACGACCGTCCCCGGCAGCGCCAAAGACCACGCTCCTCGCGAGTGTGTTACAGTCCGGCTCCGTCTTCTCCGGTAGAATCTCTTTGATGACGGCTCGAACCTTAGGCAGCGTCATTATTCGGTATGCCGTACATCGCGGAATGAAAAAATTAACAGAGTTCACCCCATTAAGATGAACTTCTGCTCCTCCCAGCTCGTCACGTATTTTGTCGCATGGCGTGCCTTTCTGTTGGATCCAACTCTGGATATCGCTCGACTCAGGTTCCCCAGTATAGAGATGGCTTTTGTCGTCAAGATAGTCGCCATTTCCTCTATCCTCAAGGATAGCTACTCTCTTGTCTGACAAGCCAAGCTTGCCCTTCTCGCCGTAGTCGATGTCGTTACCAGGCGGCATCCTCACGATCGACGCCGGACAGTTAGTGGGGGATGTTCTCTGATACAAAGAAATAAGAAGAAAAAAAAAGAAAAAGAAAAAGAAGGAGAAAAAAGAAAAGCGGGAAAGAAAAAAGTGGAAGAGTTCCGCAGAGATGAGGTGACCCTGTTCACTGCTGGGTTCAATCATAGCCAAACTCTGCTGCCTTTTGGACTTAGCCAGTGGAAGTTGTTATTCGAAATATATGTGCGCGCGCGTGTGCTTTCTAAGTCAACGAACGGTCTTGGAAATTTTGGGGGCACGACCGAAAATTCCAGATTCCTTCAATCATATCGGGTGTGGGATGAAAAGCGCCACTGATTTGATCTATATCCCAGTCAATCGTCTCTCAATCGTCTCTCATTCGACGGCTCCGCCTCTCGCCGCTTTCCTCTGAGTCTCCTTTTCTTTTTACATTTCATGCCTAGATGTCTCATAAACTCTATATACACATATACACCGATCACATTCATTTCTTCCCGTGACAGCTTAAAGCGGCTTGAACCATTTCCTAGAGGACCTAGATATGGGGGAGTTCGGGGGGTTTATATCGATAGAGCGGCCTTCATCAACGATAAACTTTAATTGTTGAATATACTAAGATGGAGAGCGGAAAGGTCCATAAAATGGGCACCCTTCCATTTGTTATATTGACGGCATAGGGCTGTTGGCTATTGAAGTGTAGAAAGGGAAATGTCAAACGGGGGGCTTGGACGCGCAAAAGTGCATAGGCAGACCTGAAGGCTTCTTCTCTATGGGACCAAAAAGAAGGCGGTGAGGCCCACTAGGCCCAGGTTGCCATCCTGGACCGCTCTAATTTACGGCCAAGGACTAGCCCCATGACCGAAACCTTTTGTCTCACTTCGGAGCCTGCCCACCCTTGCACACGGTGAGGAAGACGCCAGGCTCAAGCTCACTGCCCCTGTGGAACCTATCGTCTCATCAAAGCTTTACAGCTGACAATATCCGACGGGCGTCAGGAGATGGAAAACAAAGCATCCAATGAAACCGAGCCAAATGATTATTCCACTTGCTAGGGCACGCACACAAGCGGTGCACGGAGAATATTCCTAAATGTGGGCCTCCTATTTACTCCCATCGTGAATGCTGCACCTTATCACTACGGGCGATGTCAGTCACGCGAGGTTCTATATAAGCAATGACTATCCTGTCCTTCATGAAATAACGAAATAACGGAACCTCACGCGTTGGCAGCCCTAGACATCCGACGACTATCGTTCCAGCCGCCCACTCGCCGTCTTACTTAAATCGCACTGGTACTGAAACCTTAGGCCACCATAGGCTACCAGCTAGTCCTCAAGATGGCGACAAGTATGGCCAGTTGCCGTCAAGGACAAGCCAATATCGAGACGGATGAGAATGGGCAAAAGTCTATCAAGTGCCACGCTCGGAACGTAAACCGCACACACCTTGCGCAGATACTGGAATCCAAATGTCCAGGTGACTACTCTGTCCGCGTAAGTAGCCCGAGCTAGGATTATCCCATGTACATACTTCGTCGACTAACGGATCGATAGCTACAACGAGACATATACCTAATTACGGTTCCCAGCTACATTACTCTTGTCAGTAACTCCATAGATACCTTCCATTCCAACAACTTCTGACCCAAGATCAATATAGGACGAAATTCGGAAATACCGATGATGGACTTGGGTTTCCGCGCCCCAGAGACTTTCGTTTGGGGAAGAAAAGAATTGGGGGGGAGGGATCCTAGGTTCCTGGGGAACTACTATGATATAATAGTTTATGGCATATCACGCATCCTTAGTTTCAAGAGCTGTGCTCTAGAACCAGCAAAAGAAGATAAGGAACTAAGGGAATCGGGTTTCCATGGATTAGACCATATACAGCCAACGCGTACTGGTAGCCACAGACGCACATCTTGTTCTAGACCACCAAACGAATCGCAGTTACCCGGTGCTTTTATTGGGCTCAAGGAACTTCCAACTTGGTATATATTACATCAAAACGGAGGTTGTACCAAAGGCGCGACCAATGATTTTACTCTCGTTAACACGTCTCGGCCCACTAGCAATCCTCCAACCCCTCTGGTGTTTTCGAATTCACAGGGCAGTTCATCTAGACCAACTCGACGCCCACAACATCTTGTACATCTCCCAAACCCGGGACATCTCCAGTGACCCACCAAGGCACCCATTTCATCACACCTTGCCGCCTCGTCCTACACCACAATGCAGCGGGTCTCATCCAACCCCTACTCAGAGCAAAGTAATGACATACCATTGCATTCCATGCTGTCACTACCGGTCAGGACGATCGTCCCAAGTGCGGCATCAGCAGCGTACGATTTGTTTTCGGTGGTGCGGATCCACTAACATAAGACTATTTGGGAAATTAAGGCTGTATCAAACTAAACTCGAGGACAGTAGCTCAGCCCTATGGCATGCCCCTTGTCTCGTTAAAAATGACTGGAATATCCGCCATCCTAGTAACGGCGTCTAGCGAGGACGATACCGTCCCGACAGGATCGGGATCTCTCTTTCCTTCTCGAAATAAGCAGATCGTTATGGTTTATAAGACTAAATCGCTATTTCTCCCACAGCTAGAATTTTAAGTGTCCGAGACGCCCAGAAAGAACCTGTTAGCGGGTGTACGATCAAATAGGGGCACGTGGTCCTGAGTGAACCGTCAGAATTGTCCGGTGCCATATCTTGTCTAGAACCTGTTGCGTACGGACGTATAATTCCGGCAAGCCGGCACGTCTTACTATGTTTGGTGGGCGTTGGTGACGTGGTTCCCCAAGTCGCATATTGCTGCGAGCTTGGATACCTTGGTGATAGATCGCTCAAGGAAGCCAGAACGATGTAATAAATAAACTACGCTGAACCCTTCATTTAAGGTTCACGGTGGGCACTTGAGGTCGGGTTATTTTATTTCTGTGGCAAGCTGGCAACCAAGCGAAATAATCTAGTTTAGACCAGAAGCTGCGCAGTGGCGTAGGAATCATCAGATCATTGACGCTTCTCACTCTCTCTTTAGCCATCATGGCTAATAGGTGCCGATCACATCTCTTGATCATTGCTGACTGGCAGAGGCGCCAATCACACACGCCATTGAAACCACTCCATCTGACGTCTCAGATTCTGCGATCCGACAACGAAGAGGGGTAGTTTCACGACCATACATTATGATTATATCCCGGCTGAGAATTTCAATCTCATCTTTGCAGGTCCACCAACAGTCCACACTCATCACCACTGGAGTGGAGTACAAAAAGAAAAGCCAAAACAAATAGACAAAAAGACAACCGACCATGGGTGCTACTAAAACGGAGCTCCCGAGCGACCTCAAAGAGGTGGATGTGATTGTTGCTGGAGGTGAGTCGAAGATGCCTATGGAATTTGCTTGAGAAAATTGGGTGACAGAAGACGCCGCGGAGAAAATAATGAGATATATTCTAACGGCAGGTGCATCCGGTCGGTTTATCTAGGTGGCACCACTGCCTGTGTTGTAGCGAGCAGACTCTCCGATGCTGACCCGAATCTCTCAATCCTCGTCATCGAGGCTGGTCCGGACAGCTACCAGGATCCCTCTGTGATCCATCCGCTTCTTATGCTGACCCACTTGATGCCGACTAGCAAAAATACCCTCTTCTACAAAGGATCCAAGGAGAGCCAGCTTGCAGACAGGGAAGTGGTCGTGCCCTCTGGTGGCACCCTTGGAGGCGGTTCCTCGATAAACCTCCTGACGTATAGTCGGCCGCAGAGGGATGATTTTGACTCTTGGGATACGCCGGGTTGGACTGCGAATGATATGATTCCATACTTGAAGAGGGTTCGGCAACTCGCTGTTCCCGGGCGCTTAATCTGATATTGACCTAACATCTTCATCCAGTTCGAAACCTATCACGGCCCCGGATCGCCTGCTACCCACGGAGACCTCGGACCCATCCATGTCTCCGAAAGTACTTTCAACGTTGAATGGTCTGAGAGCGATTTTATCCAAGCAGCAGGGAAACTTGGGTGGCCGGGAGTGAACGACTTAATGGACCTTGACACGAACAACGCCGTCTACCGCAACCTACGTTTCGCCAACAAAGATGGCCTGCGGCAGGACGCCGCGCATCGCTATCTACATCCTCGTCTACGAGATGGAGAGCACCCGAATCTCCACGTCCTCGTCGAAAACCAAGTGATTCGTGTTCTGTTCGATGAAAACAAGAGAGCTAACGGCGTCGAGTTCCAGCGCAATCCCAGTCTCTCCCAGAACGGTGATAGTTCCACGACGCCTCAGGTTGTCAAGGCCAGAAAGTTAGTCATAGTTTCGAGCGGCGCGTTGGGCACGCCCCTTATTCTGGAGAGGTCAGGTGTTGGAGACCCCGAGATCCTTGCCCCGGTCGGTGTTCAGCCCATCGCGGATGTACCTGGCGTGGGTCGCAACTATTTGGATCACCATCTGCTTACTTACCCGTACAAGTCAAGCCTTCTTCCCAGCGAGACAGCCGATGCGGTGTATGGAGGTCGCCGGGACATTCCCGAATTGATTCGTACGAATGATGCCATTCTTGGGTGGAATATTGCAGATGTGACTGGCAAGATCCGACCCAGCGACGAGGATGTGGCCGTCCTCGGACCGGCATTCCAGGCTGCTTGGAACAAGGACTATAAGGAGAAGCCCAACAAACCCCTCACAATTATCACCTCTCTTAGTGGGTGAGTTTTGCCGGCCCAATCCAAAGCTGTATCGAAACAATGGACAATGTGCAGACCCTTACCTTTCTTCAATAGCTTCCCTGGCGATCCAACTGGTGTTGAACCGGGTCAGTACATGTCAGTCTCGACATTCACTCTATATCCCTATTCTCGTGGCCATATCCACATCACAGGACCCAGGGTCTCCGACCCACCAGACTTCAAGACAGGTTTCTTCTCCGATCCCGAGGATGTCGACATCAAAATGTCAGTATGGGCATACAAGAAACAGCGAGAACTATTCCGTCGCATGGAGATCTACAGAGGCGAATATGCTCCAAGCCATCCGCCCTTCCCCGCTGGGTCTGAAGCTGCATCCATTGACACGAGCGAGCCATTAAAGGACGTCAAAGATATCGTCTACACTTCGGAGGACGACGCTATTCTCGAGCAATGGCTGCGGAAGAATGTGGGGAGTACCTGGCACTCTATGGGTACTTGCAAGATGGCGGCTAAGGAGAATCTGGGTGTTGTGGACCATGACCTGAGTGTCTATGGGGTGAAGGGGCTGAAGATTGCAGACTTGAGCGTTGTGCCGAAGAATGTTGGCGCAAATACTGCTGCCACCGCCTTTGCCCTTGGCGAGAAAGCAGCGGACATTTTCCTTGAGGAGCTTGGTTTGAAGAGTGCTTGGTGAATATTTCGAGATGGAGGTTGCAAAGAACGGGATCTAAGATATTCGCCCATAAGATCAATGAAAGGATCACTTGTTTCTGCTTCTTGTTTTCACTTATTTTTCTTGCTGGTTTAGGGAGGGGACCTGGTCTGCCGCGTCAATAAATAAAAAGAAAGAAACAGAGAAGAAAGAAGTCAGAATTAGAGAAAAGAGTCAAAAAAGAAAAAATTGTTGCCCAAGGGAGGAATCGAACCTCCGTTTCCACGGCCACAACGTGGCGTACTAACCACTATACGACTTGAGCTTTTGTTGCGTCGCTTGTGCGATTATTGGACATGTTCGCAGTGAATCACAGCCAAAGTAGCAAAACGAGCATCCTCAACATAAGGCGAGCTTCATGACCCGCTAGCCTATCAACCGATGATAGAATTCGATTTACTAGAATGGGGGGAATATTGCGAAAATTCTTCGATCCATTAAAATGAAGAGTGATAACTAGCAAAAGTTTCCATTTTTTTTTTTCGGAGATATTTCGTGCGGAATTCCTACTTAGATTCCATCACGTCGCGTTGGGCGGGGCTGGGAAGATAACCACGATTGCTTGCATGGAAAAGTAGACACCGCAAATGATCACTCCGATCGCGGTGTGCATTGCGCTTCTTTCAAGAAGGGAATAGTGGCGATGATGCGTTGGAACTTGAAACTTGCGGGAGACTGAGATATTAACTTGTGGATTTGTCATCGGGGCAGAGCACATCATCCATAGATCGAAACGCGTAATGAACAAGAGGAGCATCTAATATGCCGCTCTATTGATTTCACGAATATATCAAGTTTGGCGCGGCCGCATCTAGATAGATCTGGCGTAAATTGCAGTCTGTATCTCTCCGGCTCTTCGACATCAAACTTCACATTAACATCCAACTTAATTCCCATCATCTCCATCTCAAATTTCACTCATCCTAACAACCATGGTCAAGTCATCCGAGAAGCTCGTAGGCAAGAAGATTGCCGTGATAGGTGGCACATCTGGGTAGGTTGTAATAGAATGAAGCAATCTTGCTATCATTGACAGGGTCGGTCTCTGAAGGCTGTCCAAGCTAACGGACTCGGGAGTAGAATTGGCTTCGGTGCCGCCCAGGCTTTCCTTGACGCTGGGGCATCAGTGGTCGTCATTTCATCGTCGGAGGAGCGAGTAGCGGATGCTGTCAGTCGGCTCAATCACGCCAACGTGGAAGGGAGGGCTGGCGATGTGCGCGATGAGGCCGCGTTCACTACGCTCCTCAAAGAGCTTGCTCCTCTCGATCACATCGTCTTTTCGGGAGTTGACAAGATTATTCGCGGCCCATTAGCCGAGGCCGACCTTGGCCAGGCAAAACATCTATTCGGGGTCAAGTTTTGGGGGAGTGTGGTCGTTGGCAAAGGTAATAAGCGTCTCGCCAAAGAGGGGGAAAAAAATATAAGGCACAGTCCTGCACTTTCACTATACTGACTCTTTTTCCTCGCAGCGCTCGCAAAGTATGACATCTTGAAACCCGGTGGCTCCCTAACCCTCACATCAGGAACTGCAGCCCTCCGCCCCGGAAAAGGCGCCTCGATCGGTGGCGCCCTTAACGGTGGTGTCTTGACCCTTACAAAGGGGTTAGCTGGCGAGCTAAGCGACAAGCGAATCCGTGTGAATACGGTCGTTCCTGGGCTTGTCAAGACGGAGCTGTGGGACAAACTGGGCCAGAGCAAGGAGCAGCAAGACGCTCTTTTCGAGAGGGGAAAACAGCTCCCTGTAGGCTTTACCGCTACTCCCGAAGATATCGCCGAGGCGTATTTGTATACAGCAAAGGCCGATTACGCCACTGGCACTTTGATTGTTATCGGTAAGTGGAGCGGACATGTATCGACAGTGCATAGTTATATACTAATGATCCTCTAATAATAGACGGCGGAGGCCAGCTTTAAGGAGACGGTAACGATACTCGCTCGGCGTGTACTAGTTCCATTATTCGCTAAATCTCTAAATTATTGTATTTCATTCTATATGGCTGGCTTCATAGCATTACGGCAGATAGTATAATTCAGGTATATTCCCAGCATTCTCCTATTTTCGTGACTAGATACAAAGAAGGGGCATCTTCTCCGAGTCGAGGTTTGATTGACTCAGAATTTCACCCCGTGAAACCAACTTCGGTTCTAGAGGCGCACTCTATCTCTGTCTGCTGAAAGCCCCCCGTGTACTTTCCCTTCCACCTGGAGTGCCTCCAACTCCTGGAGAGATGCACTACTGGTAACTCGCCCGCATCTCCACCCCCCCACAAGCAAACCGTTTTCAATGTAATGCGCGAGCTTAAAGGCGATCGAGAGGCGCCTTACGCCCTTAACACCGATTACGGCCAACCCGAGCCGCCGATTGATTCAGTATTGAGTGTGTAGTCCAGGTGAAGAAATCTTCGTGGCACAGCTCACCACAACATTCAAGTCTATAGAGCACATGGGAAAGGTGAAATCTGGGGAAACTTTCAAACAGAAGGTATCGGAATTAGGGCTTTCGACTTTACGAGACGCGTTCAAACCACTCAGTTACCTACCATACGACATCCTCCACCAAATATTGGATATCCCCCCGATTGGTGATGCCATAAACCTGAGGGAAGCCTCTCCGTATGTAAAGGGGGTTCTTCTAGCCAACTGCGCAACATGGTGGGCACGGGTGAAGAGGGACATGGCATGGTTCTACGAGCTGCCGCAGATCGTGCAGGAAGTAGAAGAAGCCGGCAGCTACAAAATCGATCTCCCGAAAGTCTAGTCTTGGGCAGAGGAAGTGTCCCACCCGGCCCATTATATGCGCGGTCCGTACCTTGGGCTTGCTAATCGTCGTCGCATTTGGACACCGTGTTCGATCCTGGCCGACCTATGCCGCGCAAAGTACCTGATGAACGGGATGGGGTCTCAGATGACCTGAAGGACTCGGAGGAGTTGGACTGGGAGTATGAAGATCAAGATGAGGAGGAAGAGGACGGGGCAGGTGAGGAGACCCATGGCGAGGGTGGGGGCAGCAGCGAAGTTGACGAAGCCGACCGGGGGAAGGGGGGCATGGAGCTGTGGGAGAGTAGGTGTCTCCTGTTGTGCCATATATTATTCATTGTTGTTTCCAAGTAGCACAATTAATCAATCTGAGGTGGGACTATTTGAAGTGTACAGGTCCTCATGATGATAACGAGTCTGTTCCATGAGGCTTTCACAAATATCGAGGGTAATATGGTCCATCCTTCTCAAACGCAAGACATGTTGGTGGTGTAAACGGTTCGCTCTCGCGCTTGTGATGGCCTACGGGAAGTTAGGGGAACGAGGCTTGCCAAACGGACGACCGTCTCGGGATCGTCCTCGTAGTAGGCTACAATGTTGGCATCCTCTAATATCGTATATACCAGTGGTCATCTAGCGCTACATCAAAACTCTTTCAAAGGCCTCACCGAGCCCGCTCTTCTCCAGCCATGCTTTCAAAGCTTTCATATCGTTACGATTCGCCCTTTCACCACGCCTTTCGCCAAGCATATCCGTAATCTCTTGCATGCCATTAAATGCCCGTCTCAAACCATCTGCATCCTCCCGATACCGTTCGCTAACTTTCTTATGCTGCGGGGGAATGTCACGCCAGCTATCCGTCTTAATGAAATTCATAAATTCATCAATTGCGACAGGACCTCCCTCTAGACACAAGATCCCTGGTTTCCCAGAGAGAAGGAACCCTGTCAGGCCATAGGCAGGGGCGTAATTGACCAGGTCGTCTCGCTTCTCGCGCGTACTGATGGATGGGAAGTAAAACCAAACACGGACCATTGAGGTCTCCTCCTTAGACGGAGAAGCTAATGCCTCCGCCTGTGTCGATTGTGCTAGGTATTCGCGTGCTGCCTCCTTTGCATGTTCGATGACAGTTAAGACATCTTCATTGGGTAATTCCGCGGTGAGTCGGGAAGCCTCGCTCTTGCTCATCCAGTCTGGCTGCTGCAATCTTATCCTGGCGGCGGGAGGTTCTGAAGCGTTGGCTTCTGCTGTCAATGGGAAGGACAAGGTAAGTTGTAGGGATTTTGCCAACCCTCCTGAGTCGTGTGCGACTTCCAGATTCAACACCAGGTTTATACACGTGCTGGTCAACTGCGGTGCCGTTTCTCGATTACTCTCACACCAATCTCGGAGGGTGTCAAGTAAGTCGGACGAGGTGGCGTCTAGTGATATGGCACTGTCTGACTCGTACATCGCTATCAGAAGGTCGATTTGGCCAATCTGAAGCTCCATAAGATCCTTCGATAAAACATCACGATCTCTTTCGTCGGTCATCATAATGCACGGGGGGTTATTTGCGCTCTAAAAATTCGGAGGGTGAAGAGGGTCTCTTTTCATCTCTATCAAGATGCCCCCAAGTCTGCAACTGCTAATTGTGGAGAAAAAAAGGACCACGAAAGGAGTTTTCGTGAGAGAGGGAAAATCTTCAATTTTCTTTTGGATATTTTGAGTTGGTTTATGAACCGAGGTACCTAAGTACTTCTGTAGAGTGGTCACGTGCATCCGTTTGCGACTTAGTGACAGGCCAGGGAGAAGAGCGAAAAAACAATCGCTGCAATGGTTCCTTCCACCCAGCCGCGGTACCACCCCGTAGACCCATCCACTTTCTTCATGATGGACCGTGATACGCTGGACTTCATGTCCCAGGAATCTGAGGTGCGGTGCGCTTTCTGCCGCAGTCCTATCCGCCTGGCCCCTCTCGTCCTGGTGAGGCCTATTGACCCTCAAGAGGCGGCCGAGGAAGGGGGCAAGGACAGCTTCAAATATTCTTCGTCGACAGAGATTCTCAATGGGACGTACGACCCGCGAGTAGTTACTAGGGAGTCAATAGAATGGATCCGGACGACACGGATCGTGGGTTATAGTTCGGTGCTTGGGCAGTAGGTTCACTCGATAGTAGCAATTGTGTCTCGGACGATAACGGGCATAGCTAACGTAAGAGAAGAGCATATCTGTCTGGCGAAGGATTCTACGTTGGCAACACATTTGGGAACTGGACTGATGGCGACATAAACATCCCAGAGGCAGATCGCAACCCTCCATGCTACCGGAGCAACGAACGCCAAGAGACGAAGAGAGTCTGCTACCCGTTCCACTGCTCGTGTTATCGCCTATTTTCCAAGTGCGCATCGGGTTCGTTTGATGCGGAACTAGATCCGGATCGACTATACAAATCCATTTCGGACTCCGTCTCCCAGTGGCATCCCATGGATTTGAATCTACCATACGCAAACAATGGGCTGGAGTTCTATCATGATGTTGACGTTTCACGGTTCCGGACGTTACTTGGAACTGAACAGCTTGTCTGCGACCCGATGTCTTGCGACGAGGTAATGGAGTATCTGAAAGAGGTGCTGCAAGATCCGAGATTTCGTCGTATCCTTCCTGGCGATCCCGTGGCCGGCGTTCCCCGGCTACGTCAGATCGGGTATGGCATCCGACGTCTCTACAAGAGTCGTGCCGCACCCTATGGCCTAAGGAACCGTCCAGAGAAAGACCCATTCTCTGTCTTACCGTTCGAGGTGCTCTTGGGCGTCTGCCAACACCTAGCCCTCCGCGAGGCCTTGCTCCTCCTCCATGCATCGCCATGGTTGTACCGAAACATGCGTCATAGCATCGAGTTCTGGTTTGCCGCGATGGCAAGGCACCTGCCGTGGTTCTTCGAGATTCGGGAAATTATAAAGTGTGGAGACTCTTGCATTCATGGCGTCGATTTATATGCTGTCATTCTCTGGGCATTCGAGGTATCCTGGGGCGCGCTGAGACAGTCGGAGCCGGGTGAGGCACCACGGTCATTATGGGAGAGACCGCATGCGATTCTCGCAAATAGGAGGCGTATTTGGCATGTCTGCGAGAAGCTCCGGAGATTCTATCGTCGAGAGTTTCCATCTAATTACGTTGCCGCGAGTTAATTTCATTTTGCCTTGGTTTCACGAGTCTTGACTGGAGTTCTCGTGAGTTGGCGCATGGGGGATATGCTTGGCGGCATGGCCTCGCTAGGACAACGACGAAGTCGATACTCACTGCTGTGGTAACCCGTACGCGGGCCCAGATTACAAGGAAGAAAAGCCATCAATCAAAGGACAAGAAGACGACCTGGACGGTGCGATATGGTGGGGTGGCGACTGTTCGTGATGCAGGTTGATCATCGCATCACTACCAACGGCCGCCACCCCCAAAGTCTGCGCGTTTCCTCTTCCCGACCTGTTGGAAGGATGCTCGCTCTTCAGGAAAGAAGAAAATGTGTATCGTTATCAGGCGTGCTCGAACGATGCAGAGACTATGTCCGGGCTTAAAGTGGCAGGCTTTTTCGTTTACGAACTATCGCGAATGATGTACGACTTATGGTGAAGGGCTGAGCGGTTTTTATTTTATATCCCACAAAGGGATGGTAGGATGCCTCCTCTAGAAAATAGCCAAAACGCCGATTATACGCATCGTCGCAATTCGCACACTGACAACCAAGGTCAAAATCTGAAAGCTGGAGCAGACGTGTCCTTTTTTTTCCTTTTTTTTTTTTTTTTTTTTTTTTTTTTTTTTGCTAATCCCTGGCCGTTCCTACATCTCCTCCAAGACAGTTCTAACTAATGCCTTCTCCCACGGTGTGGCTGGCCAAGAGCCTCCAAGCCGAAGCAAGGAAAGGGAGCGGAACCGGGATTGCTGCATGATTCGATCTAGGATGAACGCCGAACTATCGCCGGTCGGAGGTGAGCACAGGACCGGGGTCGGGGCTGTTATTCCTGTTCGGACTCATCTTGTCGAAGCCACGAAGTGAAGCAAAAAATCTACATCGCAGATAGGTCTTAATAGGAACTGTGAGTTATTATTCGTCGTTTAACGAATGTAGGTCTAGACTCTAACCTCTGAGCCGCCTCCGGTCGGGTGGAAGCTGGTCGTGGGGGTGCACACCACCCGGATCTCTCGCTTGTGCAGAGATCAACCGGGAGGGTTTGCAAGATCTCTTACCAAGTATACAGAAAGCAGGTCACACAACAGATCAGAAACCCGGAAAAATTGGTTGGAGTGGCCAGCACACCCATTCCTCTGGATTGCTGCCCTACGAATATCAGAGCCGAATCACTATCAAATCTGCACCTATAACACCGATGCAGCCCTAACACCATCTAATGGTTTCCAAATCAGCCCATCGTTTCATTTGTTTTCGGTTCTTTTAGCTTTACGAGAATGAAGGAGCTTTGAGTCTGATGGTAGTGCCAGACCTAGGAAATCTCGCAAACCGAACTCTTCCTTCAATTGCTATTTCCTTGCATTTCCCTCCTCCGCGGAGCCCGTGCGTCTTCCTGTCGCCGATTCCAAGGAGTTAAGGTTCTTCGGCCTAATCTTAGACATTATTGGTTCACCGCATCCGGATGGGGCATCTCCGAGGACCGCGGATTACTTCTCCGTCGCTATTCGGCATCTTGTACGTGGTGGCGCCGAAATAACATCGTAAACACCGAGAAGAACATTTTCGTGCCGCGTGCGGCTAGGATGTCGTGCTGCAGTTTTCCTTCCGACCCCGGTAAGCCGCCTATCGGTGGCTTCCGAGCCTGCGAGGGGATTGACTCCTTGGTGCGAACTGTCAAGCAGGGCAATATATCTAAGAGAATTCCCAGCTTTCGCCTTTCTGGTCTGGTAAACACCCCCGGCATTGCGCTGTGCTATTGTGCAAATGCGGTACAAGGATAGCGAGTCCCAATTCCTCCACCATGGCTCCCCAACCCTCCGGCCGTTCAAGCACTGAGCAGCCTAGCGAGCGTACGCTAGGGTCTACCCAAGAGATGGATCAAAGCAGCGAGCGAGACTCCGACATAGCGGCCCCCGAGAAGACACACTTTGCTCCCGTCCTTGGCTCTCTGGGACATTCCCGGGGCCGCTCCCATTCCTGTAGCTCACACCTCAGCCGACAGAAGACGTCGGAGTCGAGAAAGGAGAGCCTTGACCCTGACCTAGACATCAACCTGCCCTACCGAACCCTCAGCAACAATGCCGACATGAACGAGTATCGTACGGAGACAACGGCTGGCGAAATCCCAGGTCCACCGATTCCAATGGGTGATGGCGAGACACACTACCAATTGACAACGTTCAAACCCAACGATCCCGAGAATCCGAAGAATTGGTCCAAAGCATTCAAGTGGTATTGCACCATGGTGGTTGCGGTGACCTGCTTTGTGGTGACCTTTGCCTCGAGCAACGTGTCTGCCGATATGATTGGTGTGATGGAGGAGTTCAACGTCAATGAGCAGCTTGCTTTGGCGACGATGTCATTCTTTGTTATTGGGCTCGGACTGGGTAGGTTGTCATTCTTTTTAGAGACTTAAATGTCCTCGTTGACGAAGATAAAAAGGTCCAATGGCATTCGCTCCGCTCTCTGAGATTTACGGAAGACGACTAATTTAGTAGGTCCAAATTCGTGTTAACGCCTTTCTTGACTTCTCCTAACACTTTACCGACAGTGCTTCAACACTCCTTCTCGCCGTAATTTTTATTATCCCTTGCGCCGTCGCCCAGAACATCCAAACACTCCTGGTGTGTCGTTTCATCGCAGGGATCATGTTCTCGGCTCCCATGACATTGGTTGGCGGAACTCTAGCCGATATGTGGCGATTGGAAGAGCGCGGTGTCCCAATGTCTGCTTTCTCAGCTGCCCCATTCATGGGCCCAGCATGTAAGTCATCCCACATTTCTTCGTCTTCTTCTTCACTCTTCCCCTCTAGTTCTGGCGGAGGAGAATTAATTTAACGGTGACATCTTCTAGTTGGCCCCCTCATCGGCGGTTTTCTCTCCGACGCAAAAGGCTGGCGATGGCTCTACTGGATCCAGTTGATAGTGGCTGGAGTAATGTGGATTCTCATCACGTTTACCGTCCCGGAGACATACACGCCTACAATCCTCGCTCGCCGCGCCCGCAAACTCCGAAAGGAGACGGGTGAATCATACGTTACCGAGCATGATCTTGATATGCGTCCACTTAGTGAACGGCTCGGTCTCTTCCTAGTCCGTCCGTTCCAGTTGCTCTTTACAGAAGTTATCGTCTTCTTATTCTCGCTGTATATGTCAATTCTTTATGGAGTGTTGTACATGTTCTTTGTGGCCTTTCCGATTGTTTACCAGAAGGGCAAGGGATACTCGTCATCGAAGACCGGTCTTATGTTTATACCGCTGGCTATTGGGGTGCGTAGTCGCAACATTCTTTTCCAGCTACTCCCTTACCAAGTCTCCATTAACATTTCGTTAGGTCCTTGCCTCCGGTCTTAGTGCGCCTCTCGTCAACAAGCATTACGTTTCAGTCGCGCGAAAACACCCCGGCCGTCCCCCGGCAGAGTTCCGCCTTTACCCAATGATGGCCAGCTGCTGGCTCATGCCAGTCGGCTTGTTCATCTTTGCCTGGACTTCTTATCCGCACCTATCTTGGGCTGGCCCAGCGTTGGGAGGGTTCCCCGTAGGATTCGGATTCATCTTCATGTATAACGCTACCAACAATTACCTTGTCGACTGCTATCAACACCAAGCTGCCAGCGCCCTCGCGGCCAAGGTATGTCTACGGGCGTCCTTTGGAGCGGGTGTCATTCATTTTACGGTGCAAATGTATGCCAGGTTGGGATATCAGTGGGCGTCGTCTCTCGTGGCGTTCATCAGTCTTGCCTGCTGTGCCATCCCGTTCGCGTTTTTCAAGTATGGAGCTAGGATTCGAGAGTGGAGTAAGTATGCATATGCCGGCGATGACGAAGACGACGTGGTTGATTCTGGTCCATCCGACATGGAGAAGAATAGTGCCAAGGGCGCAGAGCCTGCGGGAGGGGTTCTCGGGGCGCATTAACATAACATAGAGCGGCTATCCATTAGACGGGGATAGATGGATACAAAAAACGGTGATTGTGAAGGATAGAGGTGGTAGATGGGTGCCGATGGTGGGAGAAACAATGGTGGAGGGACTGTTACAGGTGATTATTCTACACTGGTAATTGGGTGTTGATACTTTGATAGACATCTTAAAGGATAGACAACATTCGGTTAGACTGCAGCAAGAAGAATTATACAGGACCGTATTCTGACTTCGGCCCCTCCTCTTGTCTTTGTATCTCTCCTCTAAGTATGTCATTCTTGTCATCTTTCTTCCCCCACCCGATCTACCTATATCTAGTTGAAGCATAAACGACAAAGAATGGGAGAAATTGGCCAACGCACGAGACGTTTTATTTTCTCTGCCCAGCAAAACTGGGGCGGGATTTATGCCGCTATATCGGGAAACCATATTTATGGCAATGGGACGGTCGATGTCAGTGATTCCTTGATTCCTGTCTGGGAGGTGGAACATAATCACCATTCCCATACCCGCTTAGACTCAAACAATCCGGTCGACCTCGTATGCACATAGGGTCCAAAGGATCAACTAATCAGAATGCAGCCTACGTTTACTGCCCGGGATGAGGCTCAATTCGCTAGGTTTAGAAATGGCGAGTGAAAGTCGACCGAATGAAAACAACAGCCAACACCAAGCCTGACCCTCTTCCGACAACCGATGCGTCCTGACAGCTCTTCCCTTGGTGCTGGCCGTCCAATATATATTAATTATTAGTGATCCACTGATATTTGGGGGTCACTAAGACACACGTCAGCTATCGATGATGCGTCACTTGCGCCTCCATTTCCGTGGTTGATCAAATTGTGGGCAAGGGCCCGCATATTTCAGCCTGAGCTGTGGCTCTTCAGATATATGTCCCCAGCGGTCTTAGTGTCCCACGGCGATGATCTACTGGGAAAGTGGACCGATGAGAGAGGAGGGCGTGTCCAACCCACAATTGAATGACCGAGATGCGAGGGATGTGCACTAACAAACACTAGCCTGCCCGGTTAGCTCAATCGGTAGAGCGTGAGACTCTTAATCTCAAGGCTGCGGGTTCGACCCCCGCATTGGGCTCAAATCCCAATGCGTCTTCTAAGAAGGCACATCGATTTTTTTTTCCTCTTCCTTTTGTCTCATTATTGTTTTTTCTTCAATTTTCATACACTTCGTCGATAGGTACGTATATAGGGGTGCTACGGTCAGTTCTGGTGTTAGACAGGCACTCAGACACACATTTGAGGATGGACCTCAGGATTGTGGGTGTCTTTTCGTCGCGGGAGTCCTCAGCCGTTTCCTATTCCCACTAATTTCTCTCCTTATTTCGACATAGCCCGAGGCTCTGCGGATAGGCTGAGTATGAATTTCTTCAGGTGGGAGATAGAGAAAAAAGTAATTGAAAAAAAGAGAGAGAGAGAGAGATTGACAGAAGAGGGAGATACAAAAAGAAGGAAAGACTGATGAATACTAAAAAAGAAAGAAAAATTTGTTTTGAAAATAGGAATGGGGGCCAACCGGGGATTGAACCCGGGACCTCTCGCAACTAAGCAGAGGGTGTTACCCTAAGCGAGAATCATACCACTAGACCATCGGCCCTGGTTTTCATTTCTGGGGTTAACAGAACAGGTTGGACAACGCCTCAAGACTGTGGGAAACTATGTTCCACTTCCTGCACCGCGATGGAAACTCGTTGGAGATGTCATTGACCTCTTTCGTATACCTTTGAGTTTTCCTCTCGGGGAGTCTTTTATTACCAGCTAGGAAGTGTGTCTAGGGTCCTGATGCTCCTGAAAGGTTGTAACAGGAAGAGGAATGGTAATGATTGATGAGACTGCAAGGAATGTCCCGATTGGCATCCCTCAGCAAAGGCAATTAGAATAAGAAGACTGCCTGGGATGCCGCCCAATTCCTGTCTTCAGCACTGCAAAAGTCTACTCCCAAAGCCTAGATTCTAACCATTTCACATTTCACATTCCACGTTTCACTCTCTGGGGAGTTCCGTTAAGGGATCGAGGAAGCATGATGATGAGAAGTTGTTTTAGTGTGCAATTAAAGACATCTGAACAGTGAGGCTTACATATCACAAGATACCTAAATTGCCTCCATCGTATTCTTCCCCCTAGGTTTATTAATCGACAGAGTGTTGCAAACACTAAACGGAGACGAGGACTGACAGGGCTAGGAGTATGATATGTCATCAGCCTATAGCACGCTCGAATACTGACAGAAATCGACTCTCGGAAGAGAGTTTCCAAATAGGCCGGGAGGCATCCTTGCGGGCCCAATCTTCTGGCGAGGCTCATGGTTGGTTAGATTTAACTTCTTGCAAGGATCTATTGGCACCTAAATATGGCCAGACAACGGGTATATTTTATCTCAGTGGTCAAATTGCGACGCGTAACCATCGGCTAAAGCCAAATGAAAACAGGACGACAACACAAGTGGTTGCCTCAGAAATTTACCAGGGGAGAGAGTTCGCTCTTTTGACTGTTTATATCAAAAGAAGTTCGATTGTTTACTCACTGGCTATGACAGCGAATTGAAACTTCCTGTTTTCCGGTGGATAGGTGTCAAATAAGCTTGTCAGTCCATCTGCAGCGTGCCGATCACCACGGAGCCGTGCCGCATGTTTGGAAAAAGAGCTCCTGGCCCTCCGTTCCCAGACTTACCCCGCATGAAGCCCGTAGAAGGCGGCGGGATTGGGTGGATCAAGCTATATCGGGAAACCAGTAAGTAAGAGACTGAAAATTGAAACGGCTATTGCTGTGTATGCAAGTCCGGCATAATGCCCGGATAACACATTTGCGGTGCGAAATTAGTGGTGCAATTTATGGACAGCTTGCTGTTTCCGTTGGAAAGGCAGGTAGCTAGCTAGCTATTTAAGCTCGTCTCTGTCCACAGCAGTTGACCGAGCATCGTTCTCCTCGACATTTCACCCACTCATCCTCCCTCATCTAACTCGACAATCCCGAAATCCTTACCTCATCACCTTGAACTAAGATCATTCTATACTCTCTCCGCCATGCCTAAGTTTATGTTCCAGGTCCGCTCCTCCAAGGAGGCCGAGTCCGGAACCCCTCCTACTGCCGAGCGCATGACCCTCATGATGACCTACAACAAGAGCCTCGTCGATGCTGGCATCTTGCTCTCCGGAAACGGCCTCCTCGCCTCTTCCCGTGGCGCACGCGTTTCGTTCGACTCCGCCGGCAACTCGAGCGTTGCGTCGGGCCCCTTCGACGTCAATACCGTCATTTCCGGCTACTGGATTATCCAGGCCAACGACCTCGCTGAGGCTCTCGACTGGGCCCGCAAGGCGCCGTTCAAGGATGGAGCCACCATTGAAGTTCGCCAGGTTGCAAGCGCCGAGGACTTCTAAGCGATGCCGAGTTTGTTCCCGTCTACGACAACGGCATCGACATTAGCTGCCACGTGTGCAGAACATTACGACGTGATATGTATGAGTTGCATGGTTAAGCCGGCGGCCGAAAGTCGTTTTAACCGCAAATGTTCAGCTCGTTTGACCTCTGAATTTGATGCATTAAGGGAATTGGGATACATATGACTGTATGATAGCGCTCATCTAGCAACGGCAGTCAATAGATATTGGATGTTCCAAATGGATGAAAACTGGTCTTGGGCGACGGCAAACCCAACATTACCCTGTGTTTATGTCCAGTAGTGGCAGTTCCAGCCTCTGAACTATCTTCATATTTTAGCTACTCTTTAAATCAGGTACAACTTCCTGCCTGTTGGCTCTTCCCATTTCCATGGAAGTCTGGAATCCTGCGCCTACAATCCTCAGAACGACACACACTATCATTTCATCGCTATTCGGCCCTTTATGGAAGAGCAATAGGATCTCGAATGGGGGGGCATCGGAGACGGAGATCACATTTTGTTCTATGCTATGAAGCACGGGCAGATGCGAAACGATGAATCCACTGGGGGGGGGGGCGAAGCCGACCGACACGGACGTTATGAAGTAATAATTATAATGTGAAGTGAGTGGACTGTCCCATCTCAACCCAGAGCTGGCTGGTAAGCTAATCCTAATTCAGTCGACGACTCGAAATAATCTGGGATGAATGTGTTGCTGGGTGGAGGCGGGACATTATGGCGAATAAGTTAGCGACCATCATCCAATGAATCGGGCAAAGTGCCAGAGTGGTTAATGGGTGTGACTAGAAATCACATGGCTTCGGCCGCGCATGTTCGAATCATGCCTTTGTCGAATTCGACTCCCTTTTTTTTTCCCTTCTCCCCGCGTTTTATTTTCTTCCCTTTCTTTTTGTCCAGTCTCGAGCAATTCTTCTAATTATTATTTTTAGTAATTTTAACTGAAATCAAGTTTTCTCTATAATTCTTTTTTAAACTACTTTTTTCAGTCTTTCTTTTATAAGAGGAGAGCGACGTTTACGCCTTTTTGGGGAATAATAGATGAGGTGGAGGCAGAGATCGGTCACCCCAAGGTTACTTCTCTAGTTCATCCATCAACGAATTATGCCTGACTCTAAATCCTGATATCAATATGACTCCTTTTTGATGGCACTGGCCCCGCGATTGAAAAGCCACAAACAGATTCAGCTGATACGGTGTTCATTGCCTCCAGCCCCCATTCACCTAGAAGCCCTGGTGATCGGCTGGTTCGACTAGGTGACATTTACGACGATGGACAAAGCGCTCTTTTTTTTTTTTTTTTTTTCCTTTTTTTCTTTTTTTCTTGCTGCGACAAGCGGTACCGCGATCGTATCAACTTTGACAACGTAAAATTCTCGTTTTAGTTCCATTTTCTAGCAAAACGGGCGGTCTCCTAACTTCCAAAGAGACCGAAAGGTTGATGTGCGTGCGGAACTGCCATGATCTACATGTGCAACGTGGGGACCCCTTGTCCATGCATCTACATACTCAAACCTAGTTTACAGCTGAAGTTACTGACTGGTAGAGCGGGTATTCCACGTTGTAGTCACAGAATTTGTGTTTCGGCCTTTCAACCTTCGAGGTTAGGAGTAGGAGGCAGATATGGCTACGATCTGTTCCGTGTTGCTATTTCTGCTGACGTCGTTTGTGAGACTAAAATTCCTAGTACGGGAGGGCTTCCCTCAGTTTGGACACCATGAGCGAGGAGTTCCTCGATATCTTGACTGCTGATGCCCTGCGCTTCGACGAGTATGCTGAAGAGTCGAAGGACCATAGTGGGAGGGCTAGGAGCGTGAGAGTCACCGGTTCCTCAAGGCCCTCAAGCACAGCGGTCAAGCAATCTACAAGGATTGTGAGCCGTTAAGCGGGCTCCTCCCATGTACGGCATCATCAAAATGTACATCTCACGGGAAGCTCCGCGATGCTGATTTTCCGACGCAAACGCCCAGACCCGAAGCCCCTGCAAGGCTAAGCAAGTCGCCTCACCTTAGTGCGACTCTGTCCTACTCAAAGCCTCCGGCCTTGAGGAGCCCGAGAATCAGAAGAGGATCAGGATTTGGTCATTTCCCCTTTCCGGCATCTAACGCTGATCCCATTGTCGTTCGCAAAATCTCAATAGTGATACTTCTCAAAGCTATAGAGTATATCGACCCTAAGTTGTTACCCCGACGAGGATAAGCCTGGAGGTTCTGTATTCTAGTTTCAAGGTCCTTAATTAGTCGCCTGTCAGATGTTCGGCTATAGATATTATTTCTTACTACTATTTTTCGTCAGTACCTCGGGTGTTCGTATAAGTAACCATTTCTCCCGCTTCGCATCTCGAAACTTGTCCAAGGGAAGAGCTAATTGACAGAAAATGTTTCGGAGAGTAGTGCGGTGACCAAGTCTGAATTGGTCGCTCCCTTTTTATTGGGTGGTTCAAGGGAATACGAAATCTGCCTTGCCTGCTAGAGTGCGAATGTAAGCATCCTCTTTCGTTTTGATATGAGAAGTCTTGAAGGGAAGAAGGCAACTCGAAAAAGGGAAGTGTAGACGTCAGTGAAACAAGCTCATACCTCTGCGTTAAGGGAGATACCAATTGATGTTATATACGCGTGCAAGACACTGAATACAGGAATAGGTCTCTGCCCTGGTGGTGACGATTACAAGTGCTCCCCTATTTAAGAACCTTCACAGAACGTAGCGTTCTGAAGGACTAGGTACGGTCACTACTCGATAATATAAAGTTATAAGCTAACTTCAGGGAGTGGTTTCTAGCGTAATCACTTCGGGTGAGAGGATGAGGGAGGCTTTACTGGGATTGTGATTTGGCGTGAGACCGGATTAGACGTTCAGGACGGGGTGGGCATATAGATATAAAATCGAGAGTTAGCCTTAATATATAGACTCTCACCAACTTCATTGCTTGCTCAATTGTGACGGTCGAACAACTCGATGCTGGGAAAATCGAGTACTAATCGGTGGAATCCTGCTACAAAATACACAGCGAAAAGCAAAGACGCAAGCGAGAAATACAGAAGAGGAAGGCCTTGTGCAGCTTTTGACGCCAGAATGGATGATGGGGACAAGGAATGGAACGACGGTTGGTTGCGAATGAGGATGTACTAGTTCTTACCGGAAGCCGCTTCACAGCTCCAGTAAGTACTGGCAAACGTCAGACTCGTTGGCTAACGGGGAATGACGTTGGACACACGCAACATGAACTCTCCAGATAGATATGTGCTAAGGTTACTATTAGGAGGAGGCGGACCTGCAGTAGAACTGTTTAGCTTTAATTTACTACTTCCGTAGTTTGTGGGACTAAGACTTCAGGACGCAGGGACTTCACTCGGCCTTCCAGTGATATTTAGCGGCCGGGTGGTCCGCCGGTGGCCTCGCAAGACCTGGCTGTCCATACAAATTCTCTCGGAAGGTACCTCCAGGCACCACTGGTCCATCCTGAAGAAGACCCCTCTTCCGCAACACGGGAACAAGATGCTCAATGACTTCCTCGAAAGTCCTAGGCATAAGCGCATAGGCCAGATTGAAGCCGTCAATATCGGCCTCGGCGATCCACCTCTCCATCTCATCGGCGACCTCCTCGGCGGTACCGATAACGGTAGCACCGAGGCCGCCAACCTTGATGTGATTTGCCACTGTGTGCTTCGTCCACTTGGCTACTGTCGGGCTAGCCTTACTCCAGGACTCGACGGCTGAGCGGATGGCGTTCGACTCGACGTGCCTCAGCTCTTCGTCATCGCCGTACTGAGCGAGGTCGATGCCAGTCCAGCCGCCGAAGAGCGCCAGAGCACCGTCCTCAGAGCCGTAGCTCAGGTATTCCTGGTACTTAGCCTATGGAAAATGTGAGCTTCATTGCGTTCATCCAAGAGGTAAATTAATTTCTAAGGAGCTACAAGGGGAGTCAATCATACCTGAGCCTCTTCGGTGGTCTTCCCAATGATGGGACAGAGCATGGCCAAGAACTTGATCGAGGCAGGATCACGACCGAACTCGCGAGCCTGGGCGCGAATGTCCGCAATATTCTTGGCAACGGTGGAAGGAGAATGTCCGGCTACGAAGATGGCCTCAGCGTGCTTGGACGCGAAGGCCTTGCCGGCACGAGAGGTGCCGGCTTGGAAGATGACGGGGGTACGCTGGGGAGAGGGCTGGCAGATGTGGGGGCCGGGAACTTGGTAGAATTTTCCGACGTGGTCGATGGTGCGGACGAGCTTGGGGTCGATGAAGACACCCGTCTTGCGGTCAAGCTTAACGGCATCGTCCCTCCAGGATGATTGCCTGTATCCCAGAAGCGTTCGTTAGTTACTATGGATGACTACGATAGGATCGGAGACCATGTTGCATGTTCATTTGTTTGGCATACCAAAGCTTGTACATGACCTCGATGTACTCCTCAGCCATGGCATAGCGGTCATCATGCTCGGGCTGGGCAGTGTGTCCGAGGTTACGGGCGGCAGAGTCGAGGTAACCGGTGACAACATTCCAGGCGACACGGCCACCCGACAAGTGGTCAATGGTACTTAGCCGTCGGGCTAGGTGGTAGGGCTGTTCATAGGTAGTCGCCACCGTAACCCCGAAGCCTAGGCTCTCCGTGGCAGCGGCCATGGCTGAGATTGGGCCCAGGGGCTCGTTGACAGGCCATTGGGCGCCGGAGATGATAGAGGGATCGGGGTTCTTGGGTCCCTTGTACACGTCATATGCGCCCTTATCTCTGTGTTAGATTAAGGTTGCTCCGACACGTGGAGGCTGGCATCCAGATTCGGCAGTCTCAGAGCTCGGACTGGCGAAGAGGATGGGAGAGAGTGGAGAGAAAGAAACAAGTGGCCGGGGAACACAGGCCAGGGAGCCTTGGAGGGAAGCCAGAAAGACACAGGGATCGGAGAATACATACAAGTACATCGGCAATGAACATGCCATGAAACCCGCCCTTCTCGAGGAGCTGGGCAAGCTTGACCCAGTGCTTTACGTTGTTGAAATCGGCAGAATGGTCGTCAGGGTGCTGCCAAAGACCGGGGGACTGATGGCCCGAGCAGCTCTCCACAAAAGCATTGAGGATAAGCTTCTTCTTGGGGGCAGCAGCCTGGCCCGTAGTTGCGGAGGCGGTTTCGGACATTGTTTCCCTGGTAGTCTCTTTTCTCTTTCTTTTTTCCTTTCTAGCCGCAGCGAAAGATAACGCAATTGGGTTTTCGGGAGTACTCAGTACTTACACAAAATGCCGGCTCGCAGAGAAGTTGAAGGGTTCAAGGTTTCCCGGAAATCTAAGTCTCCCTTCGGAGCATATCTCTTGTGGTTTAAGGGCGAGTTTTTATTCGCGGCCAGTCTGCTCAGACAAGCCATTGAAAACCAACGAAAAGAAGAAAAAAAAAAGCCGACCCAAAGCAACGCTCGTCTCCGAAACGCCAACGTGGGGTTGCGGGTTTAATTGACACACGACGCAGCGCACTTCTCGTGCCACTTTCCAGATGGCGTTTCGCGGGATGGCTGCAGATAACGAAACAGATCGACCCTTGCGGTGCGGTTGTCCTGGGCTGGGCTGGGGCGCGGCTGGGTTGGCCCCTTGCCCGAGTCGCGATGACGCGAGAATAGTGCAAGTGGCGACGTTTATCCTGCTCGGCGCCATCCAATCAACGACGAAACAACTCCCACAAAGTGCCAAACCCGCTTGGACGGAACCGAGCTCGACATTTCCTGGATGGATTATCGAATATGTAATCGATAATGGGGACCGGGGGGCTCGCTGCAGCTGCATGGGAGGTGGACTGTGGACTAATATACTTTGCGAGATAGGTTGAAGCTATTGGGGATAGTGAGGTTTCCTAGTTTAGTATCGGCCGGGTTGATCTCGTTCTCGCCCTCCCGTTTCCCACTCCCGGTCGATATCAGTCACATTTTCGAGCCCTGCCATTTCGAGCCCTGCCGGGCGGACATTTTATTATTATTATTACTATCACTAATCCTGGTGTGGCGCGCTCTCGGCATTATCACGACATTTTGATTGGAATTTTCTCATCCCTCCTGCCATGCAACCAACACCAGATTTTGCATGCGCAATGGAACCCGACGAGCCGGTAACCGGCCTCGACCTGTCGAATCTTGCATGGCGGACGATATCGGTGCGACGCCTCGAGGGGAGCTTTAAGAGCTCGGAGCCACCCCGGCGGGATCGACACAATGGCATGAGAGCTCGACGCTGCGTGGCTTGCCTTGCATCTAATTTTCTGCAATTTCTTTTCTGCCTCTGCCTCGAACGTGCAATTGGACTCTTTGCAGTTTTGACAGTTTCCCCCTCTCCACTTTGAGCAAGTAGACAACCTTCAATGGCTGGTGGTGGTGAAGATGCTGGCGCGAGCGCTGGCAACGCCGTTGTGGCACCGGCCTTGCCTCAAGGCGCGGCGTAGTATGTGTTGAATTTTTTTTCCAAGCTGTGTGCTGTGTGCAGTAATATGCACCAATGGATGGTTGATAATACTAACATCTCTATTTTTCTCAAGCGCGGTCGTCGCGGGTGTAGGTTTTGTTATCGCCCTCGTCATGATCGGCATCACACGCGTCCTGAAGAGAACCATCGGAGAAGACAACCGCAAGACTGAAATGTTCATCACGGCAAACAGAACCATCAAGACCGGTCTCACAAGCTCCGCTGTCATCTCTTCGTGGCTTTGGAGTACTGCCATGTTGGGAAGCACGCTCGTTGGATACAACTTTGGCGTTGCTGGACCCTTCTGGTTTGCTGCGGGGTGAGTACTAATCCACTGATCCACATATTCATCACAATTGACGTCTAAAACTGCTCCGCAGTGCTAACAATGATGGTCTAGATGCTCCCCCATGATTGTCTTCTTCTCCGTTCTGGGCATTGCCTGCAAGCTTAGGGTCCCGCAGGCCCACACCTTGCTGGAGATTATCCGCATTCGATACGGCACCGTTGGTCACATTGTCTGGATTATCCTCTGCCTGATCAACAACATCATTGCCGTTGCCAACATGCTCCTTGGTGCCAGTGCTGCGATCTCTGCAGTGTAAGTTTCGCTATCCTGGCTCCGCCGTTGCTGTCTCCTTCTCTGACCATGGGGATAATAGATCCGGAATGCACGTCATTGCGGCGACGTTCCTCCTCCCAGTCGGTGTCGTGGTGTACACGTACATTGGTGGCATTAAATCTACCTTCTTGACTGACTATTTCCACACCTTTGTCATCACCATCATCATCTGCTTCTTCACGATCAAGGCGTTCATCACAGAGGAGATCTCCTCTCCAGCTCACCTCTACGACCTCGTGGTAGCGGCTGGCAAAGCCCATCCTGTCGCCGGTAACCATGAGGGATCATATTTGACCATGGCCAGCCACGATGTAAGCACATATTTGACATCCCTCCCCGAAAACACTACCCGTCCTAACAGTATGATCTTTATAGGCAATGCTATTTGGAATTATCCACATCTTGGCAAACTTTGGTCTCGTCATCATGGACACCGGCTTCTTCGTCAAGGCCTTCAGTGCCAAGGTGGAAGCGGTTGTCCCTGGATACATTGTTGGCGGCCTCGCCTACTTCGCCATCCCCTGGTGCCTGGGAACGCTCATGAGCAGCGTCGCGCTGGGTCTTGAGGATAATCCCATCTTCCCCACATATCCCAGACGCATGTCTCCCGTGGAAGTGTCCAACGGTCTTGTGCTGCCTTACGCGGCCATTGCCATTGCCGGCAAGGGTGGTGCGGCGGCCATCCTCATCATCACGTTCATGGCGGTTACCTCCACCTTGTCCGCTCAAGTCATCGCCGTATCTTCCATCATTAGCTTTGACATTTACCGTCAGTACATCAACAAGACCGCCAGCGATAGGGACGTCATCAAGTGGAGCCACATAGGGGTGATTTTCTTCGGTCTATTCTCCGCCTGCTTCTCGACCATCCTCCACTACGGCAAAGTCGACCTCGGTTGGACGCTGTACATGCTCGGTGTTTTGACCTGTCCCGGTATTTTCCCCACCACCTTCGCCATCCTCTGGAAGAAACAGTCGACTGCAGCCGCCGTCATCTCTCCCATCCTCGGCATGCTAACTGGTCTTGCCGTCTGGATTGGCACGGCCTACCACTTCTACGGAGAAGTCAGCGTCGCCTCTACCGGCCAGGCAGTCCCCTGCACCTGGGGTACCGCCATCTCAGCCCTCAGCCCAGCCGTGTACTCCATCATCATCTCCCTCATCAAGCCAGCAAACTACAACTGGGCCGACTTTGGCAAGGAGAACCTCGCGCTCGAGGACAGCAGCAACGACGACTCGGCCGCCAACTCGACGGACGAGGATGTCTCCAAGTACAAGGCCAACAAGGCTCTTCTCAAGCGGTGGGGCCGCATCGCCGTCATCTGGTCGCTCGCCACGTTCTTCGGGCACTGGGTGCTCTGGCCTCTTCCCATGTATGCTGCCAAATACATCTTTGAGAAGGGCTTTTACGTGGCGTGGCTTGTCGTTGCGATTATCTGGGTCTGGGGAACGATGTTTATCACTGGATTTTATCCTATTATTGATGGACGGCAGCAGATTTGGAACGTTATCCAGCTACTTAGGAAGGGTGAGACGGAGGCAGAGACTATTGACGGGAGGGAGAGTGTGGAAAGGGAGCAGGTGACAATTACAGAAAAGAAGGCTTAGATTGATAAAATGGTGGGCGGTTAGAAACTTAGACCTAAAGGCTTTGAATAGAATGCAATTCCTTGACGTGAACACGCCGTGTTTGGCCAAGACAATATTTCACTCTTTTCAATTCAAGGCGGGCCTGGACATTTTCGGCCAGCCGTAAGCTGTGCGGCGTTCGGACCCGCCCGAAGTCATTGCTTGGCCACCGAAAGGATACTGGAGTACGAAGTACTTCGAAACATTTTACTTGAGATCGAGCACAGCTTGCCTCCAGTGGGCGTTCCTCTGTCACCGCCTGGGGAAAAAGTAAGTGACGGACGCTGTCGCAGGCGGAGATGAATTCCAACACACTCTTGGCGACAGCGTGGCGCGGAAAACTACGCTGCGTCGCAATAGTGCGTCTTGTGCCGAGAGAGCCGATGACCTTGACTTGCCACAGCTCCTGAGCAACGCACGAGCTATGTTCAAAGCAGGTCAACTTTAAATTGCCAAGACACAAAAAAGTTGCCTGTTTTCCCAAAGCGGACAGGTAAGAATGTGAGCATTAATAATCAGAAACGCATTCACGACCATTGCCTCTCCACGCGGTCCAGCGTATTTAAGAGAGAGAAAAATAGAGAGAGAAAAGAGAAAAAAGGCAACTTTAACACAGTCAAGGAATCCAGTCCACAATGCATGCGAATGAGTGCTGGGCTTGCAGAGGTACTGTCCTGTCCCCCATCCCCATGTCGTTTGAGTGAGTGCCCTACTTACTCGAGCGCAACAGATTCCAGGGCCGTCTGCAACCGCGCACGCCCACGTTGTTCCAGGTGCGCCAAGTCTAATCGACCGTGCCAGTATGGGTTGCGGCTATCTTGGCCAAGGGCTTCCAATACGAAGCGGAGCTTGACCCATTCCCATTTCATTCCGGATGGATTTGGGACTGCAAAAAGTGTCTCCCAAACGAGTTTTGTAAATGCGACGTCATGGGATATCCAGCTCCACCATTACCTACGGATGAATCAAGGTTGGCTCTCTCACGGAATTTGCTATCATGCCTATCACCCAACTAATGCTCCAGAACTAGGACTTGGTATTCGTGAGGGGTTTGCCTTTCAAACACTCGATCTGCCGATGGCGCCATCATGGCTCCCAATCGACCTAGGTTATGAGGAAAGAGAACTCCTTGACCACTGTAAGTATAATACTAGTATTTTGTGAATTTGGCCAAGCTAATACTTGTTAGTCATATGTACGGCGTCGTCCACACTAGCTATTTTCGAACCCGACAAGAACGAATTCTTGGGTCTTTTGGTGCGTCTAGCTCTTTTAGATAGCTCATCGTCTTCGATGGCTGTGCTACAATCGGCCTTGGCGCTCTCGTCGTTCCACCGGCATGGTCTGCGAGCAGATGTTTTTTGGTTGAAAGCGCGCGCTCTCCGTACACTGGTCACATCTTGCTCTCCCTATGTTGAAAGCCCCACCATAGTTCAACATATTGCGGCTTGCATGATACTGTGCCACCTTGAGGTATGTTCGGCTGCCTGGCTCTTTATCTTTTTTGACCAAACACTTACCAACGCTCAAGATGCTCGGAATGCCAAATACAGTTTCCCTGTGGTTCTGTAAGTGATGTGCGGTCTATTCACTTTGCGTCGGCTTAGCCAAGGACGATTCACCCGGTCTACGGTGTTAGATCTTGTGCTGCCTTGTCATGAGACATGTGGCCTGTTTCTTCAAAAGACATCGCTAACTGGATTTTGCATTCTAGGTCATTTGAGTGGAGCTAAATATTTAATCGACAACGCAGACGTTGACAGCCGATATTTTCAAGGCGAATTTTCCAGACTTCTAGGCTGGGTGGAGTATCATGTTGTCATGAGCCGGTTTAGCATCCGACACTGGTATATAAATGAAGAGCCTATGAAAGGAATCAAAAATTCCGTACCTGTGGACCAGGGTACTTGCCAATTACGAAAGGTTAGGCTGAAGAATATGAAAATCCATGTCCGCACCGTCATTCATCTAACATGAGACAGATTAAAGATGTCTCGTACTGCTCACATGAAGTTCTTCGATATTTGTATATTATGTTCGAGATGATTCGACAACCGACCGACTCGCTGTACCACAACGACGAATACGAAAATTCCTTACGTTGCCTCGAAAGCAGGATAGCCAATATTGTCCCGTTGGCACCGGAAGGTATATCGGATGCCATGTCCGGCCCGAGGACAGCCTGGGTAGCCACAATAGAGCTTTTCAAATTAGCTGCTCTAATTTACCTTAAGAGAGCATCGCGGAGCTTTTCGGGAACCTCCCCTCAAATTGACGCAATGGTTGAGAGGGCGTATGAACTTCTCGACGACCTGGAGGCCTTCAATCCGGCCTTTCCACTGCTGATCATTGGATGCGAGGCTCGGACAGATGAGCAGAGAATGAGAATTCTAGGTCATATTGGAAGAGCAACGAAGACCTCGAGTTTGAGGAGTTTGCATGGACTACAAAACATTCTCCAGCAGATATGGGTCCAGGATGACCTTGCTGTTGACTATGAGGTCGACTACATGAATATGTTGGACGCTGTAATAACTTCTTACCGGATTATGCCGAGTTTTGTCTAATATAGGAAGTTCTCGGATTTGGAATATGATGGATAATAGGAGATTCGTTCCGTGGGAATGTTGCTTCATGGATTGCGCATGCTTCATATCGGATCTTTATAAAGAATTTTAAATGACACTCAAGCTCTCACAATACTCTCAGCGCCCTAAGCGGAGAAGCAGAGACCTATCGCGTGAGGATATACGGTACACTTGAAAGCTTCCAAAAACGCATTCGCCATTTCAAAGAAGCAAGCCTCAAGCAGCTGGGAAGTGCTTGTATCCTACGTCCTTGACAAAAGTCTGCTGCCAAGGACCCTGAGACTTGTGCTCGGCGAGCTCGGCATAGAAGTTTCCATGTGCCTCGCCACTAATCTTAGAGTATGCAGGAGTCCCATCAGCCTTCCGCTCATCAGCATAATAGAATCTGCTTTTTCGTTAATTTCAAAACCACCCAGGCGGAAGAAGGAGAACGCATACTTGAAGCCTTTATTAGAGTATGCGGCAGCAGCAGAGCGGATGATGTGAGCCGTTGCAGATTTACCCACGCCGCCATCCAGAAGACCTGCAATGGTGGTCTCGTTGAGGATATTGCCAGTGTAGATGAATGTCTTGGACTGATGGTCAGGGAGTCTCTCGAAGCCTAAAGCCGCCTGTTGTGCAGCGACAAAGGCACTGGTCGTGTTGACGTGCAAGTCTCGAGTAAAGTCGGCCAAAGGAATAGACAGGGGTTCCTCTGGATTGTTCGGGGCTCCGGCAGATGCTTCAAGGGTGTCAGCGGGGTTTCGGTAAAGGGGCTTCCATGAGGAACGTTCTTACCATTGTAGACAACAACACTCGGCAGACCGAGCGATGCCTCGACCTTCGAGAAGATGCCCTTCACGCAATGAGGGTCCGCTAGGTCGGCAGAAATGCGGACCAAGTCTGCATTATTTTCTTCCTTGACACTCCTAGATGCCAAGGCAACCTTGTAGCCCTTTGCGATAAAGACCCGAGCCACATGATGGCCGACATTAGGGCCCGATCCGAGAATGAGGAGAACCGGAGATGTGCTAGCCATATTTGAGCTTGTACCAATTGAAGAGAGAGAGAACGACAGTAGAGAGAACGACAGTAGAGAGAACGACCGTTGGAGAAGACAGAAGTCTTCTTTATATTGACTTCAATGGTCAAATCGCAGTTTCATCTGTATCCCTCATCAGTTTGCCAGTCTGGTTTTGTTTTTGCCTGAACTTTATCAATAACTCCCTGAGTATCTTTGAGCAAGTTGGTCTTGTCCGCATCGTACTCGGTCAATGTCGATGACAAATTCAATGTGATGGATGGTGGGAGAGAGACGGTAGTGAATGCATTTCTAATCATCAATAATGCTCACCTATCTTTCCGCCTTGAGAAAACTAGCAACTTTTTTGTATGTCTTGGCAGTTTGATCCTTGCTTTTCTTCTCGGCGTATCATGGGAGATTATGACGGATTTAAAATCGGCAAAAGCGAGCAAACCAGGCTCAAGGCCGATATATAAATATATGGACTATTGCTGCTCTCCTGGGTTCATCAACTCTGAGAATCATCCTGAGAATCATCTTGCAATCTCATCCCAGTTTTTATACAGTTTCCAACCATCACAATGTCTTCCTGGGTGATTACTGGAGTCTCGCGTGGCCTTGGCGTACGCTCTCATCCCTGCTTCATGAACCAGATTCGTGTAACTAACACACATACTTCGTCGTCTAGTTCGAGTTCGTCCGCCAGCTCTCTGAAAACCCGTCCAATACCGTCTTCGGCCTCGCTCGCGATAAAGCCGCCGTCGAGTCCAAGGTTGCCGCTGAAATCGGCCGGAAAAATATTCACATCATTCAGGCCGACACAACGGACCCAGTGGCATTGGAGGTATGCTAACGAGAACTCATTTAAACCGCAGTCGAAACTAACTCAACGATTGCGTAGAAAGCAGCTCAGTATGTTTCTGAGAAAACCAATGGCGCCCTTGACTATGTCATTGCCAATGCCGCGCTTCAATCTAAGACTGCATTGGTTGGCTTTGATACTCTGTAAGTTCTAGGCGGAGTGACAAAAATCCCTGGGATAGTTGATTTGGGATTATTAATTCCTCCACAGGAGCCGCGATCCGAAAGCTCTTGAACAAGACCTGATTGACCACTTCCGAGTCAATACCATCGGCGCCGTTCATCTTTTTAATGCTTTCATGCCCTTGATTTTAAAAGGTCGGGCAAAGAAAGTGATTGCCATCTCCACGGGCATGTCGGACCCTGAGATGACACTGAAAGCCGATATCTACCAAGCCACATCCTATGCAATGAGCAAGGCGGCTCTCAACATGGCCATAGCCAAGTTCAGCGCCGTGTACCGTGAGAAAGGCGTCCTCTGCATGGCTATATGCCCTGGCGCTGTAGACACCGGCAGTCTTAATATTGGTAAGTAGCCGTCTTGACAACGGAAATGGAATGCTTTTTTTTGCTAACGTTTTAATAGAAACGGAGGAGGAGGGACAGTTGGCTATGGCTATGTTTGGGAAGTTTAAGGAATATTCACCCACCTTCCAGGGACCTATGAAGCCAGATGACAGCGTCAAATCGGTCTTGGCTCTCGTAAATAAGGCCACCGTTGATGGTGGTTATGCAGGCGTCTTTCTCTCTCATACGGAATCAAAGCCGTACCTTTAAGGTCGTGTATCAAGAAGTGTCAAGGTCAAGGCTTCCATAGAACGCCAATATATTGATTTGTTCCTTAAATCCTATTATTTTAAAGTATTATATTTCACTGCTCCTCATTGTACGTAAGTTATCCTGCCAACAGCCCTCATATGCGCGAAGCACTCGGCAACCTCGCCCTCACGGCAACAGACAGACTGGGCTTGTTTGATGCTGTAAGTGCTGGGTTGTTTGGGTCTAGAAACTAGGATTTGAGTAGTTGCTGGCAGTCACTGAATGATTGAAGAGATTGACTCCTAGTTTTCGCGAATCACCCCCAAAATACCGGCCTCCTGGTGGGCGCTGACTGACCTGTACGAAAACTATTGCAATGCTGCATTATTGTTTGGCGTTGGTTATGGTTCGTCCATGATCAAGCTTCGGAACTCCCTGGAAATCTCCTGGAAGCCACCTCGTTAGTTCTAGTAGACACCAGATCTAGTATCAGCAGACTGAAAGAATAGACTCATTTCTAACGAAAAGTAATTTGGAGGTACTTCATGAAAATTAAGCTTGAAAAGGGACCCGTAGAATTCCTCCTTGAAGAGACTGAAGAAAAGGAGAGACGAATACACTTGTCTTCTTATTTAAACTGAACGATGCGTTTTCCATTCCCCTTCGGTCCTAGTCTCGTGCAATTCAACTTGTGCCCTCTGGTACAAGGGCCTATGCCACTCCGCCACCTCTCCCGCCGTCTTACTCAATACCCCCCCATAACCCATATCCCTGGCCCTGTTTGAAAGAGACATTGGAATAAGTCAATTTCTATGTTGGAGCATTTTACTAAGTAAGAATAGTACTTGATGAGGATGTACTTGTTCGCGGCCTGCTCCAAAATCCCCACTACACACCTTGATCAGTCGTAAGCTACGGACCTGATTTCGCCGAAGGATGCATCCTGCCAATCATAATATGCGGAAGGATCTAATCTGATTGATTATTGGGCGCATTCCACCCACCGTTCTTCGTATCCATCAATAGACATCAAGGGTAGCCGGGTCAGAGCGCCACATCGCTTTCGCGTCAATGGCGTGGCCTGATGCACCTTGATGCCCGTTGTCGGACCTTTTTTTCTTTTTTTCCCCAAACCGGGTCTGTATCGTACCGTACATAAGGACGACTCCTGCCCCTTTGCGCGAGGATAGCTGGATACTCACCCAATGTTACCGACGCACGTAATAATTATCTCGGAATCAAAAATGGAGACTGGCAATACGGTCGCTGTAGTTGGCCTAGGTAGGTCACCTCAGATAGGCGGTTCATGCGATGTTATGGTTGTTTGCTGACGTTATTCTCTTCAATAGGGGCTCTCGGCCTTGTTGCTGTGAAGAATCTGGCCGAGGAGGGTTTCGATGTGACCGGATTTGACCAGAACCCATTTGTTGGGGGCTTATGGCACTACGCCGATGACGATCGTGTCTCAGTCCTTCCCAGTAAGAAGTTGTCCCCCTTCGCCTACTTACTCTCGACTCCCCAGTCACTGATGACCATCCAGGTACTGTCATCAATATCTCAAAGGAGCGCGTGCGTGTTGGCATCTACCCACAGGCGTGCGTAGACCTGGAACAAACAGCTGATACGGGTATACCCATCGTAGGGATGTTTTACAGATTTCCCGTTCCCTGAAGGTAAGGTCCGCCAAGCACGAGGCTATCTAATGAATGGACTTTTAAGAAACGCGTAGATGCTCCGAGCTACATGCATGGCCTCGAAATTGAGCGCTACCTAGAAAGTTACGTCGACCACTTCGGCCTCCGTTCGAAGCTCCGCCTCGAAACGCGTGTCACCAAAATCTCTCGGAATGAGAACGAACGAAATTGGAACCTCCAAATAGAGGATAGCGAAGGCCAACGCATCGAGTCTTTCGATAGAGTAGTTGTTGCCACGGGCATCAACCAGATTCCTAATATCCCAGTCGTCGAGGGCATTGACATCTTTGAGGGCGAGACAATTCACTCTCGCGCATTTAAACAGTTCGTACTATTCACGGCAATTGATGTTGACCCAACAACACCTAAAGCGACTTTCTGACACCAAGCCCACAGGCCAGAGCGCTTTACTGGCAAGAGGGTCCTCGTTGTCGGGCTCGGTAACACGGGCGCCGACACGGCTACGTCCCTCATCGGCCATGCGAAAAGTATACATGTCTCATTCAACCATGGAACCTATGTGGTGAGCACAACTTGCCCCATCGCTTTCTGGAACAGGCGTAGTCGAATTGAGCTAAAGCGCGGTGGTAAATTAGTTGCCGCGAGTCATTGACGGCAAAGCTATCGACCACGCTATCACCCTTCAAATGGTCAACATCCAAGGCCTGCTGGAACGCTACATCCCTTCCATCTCTGAGCGCGTCTTCAACTCATTCGTTGCCAAGTTACAGAACAAAGCCTTCACCATCAGACCTGAGTGGGGCCTCTCCCCAGCGCCAAGTCTAAAAAATGGGGTGATACCTGTTGTATCTGACACGATCGTCTCCGCGCTCGAATCAAAGGCCGTCCTGCCAGTAACGGGTCTGAAGCGCGTCATCGGGCCAAGTAGTGTGGAACTCAAAGACGGCACGATTCTCGAAGTCGACACCATCATCTTCTGCACGGGATACCGAAACAACTTTTCCATTATCCAAGGCGAATTCGACCCCACCGCGAAGACGACCCCTGAGTGGGCCAAAGCACCATTCTCCAACGGCCGATGCCTGCCTAGGCTCTACCAGGGCGTGTTCTCTCTAGAAGCACCCGACAGCTTGGCCTTCCTCGGCGGTGTCGGCTATCCGGCCGGCGCTTTCCAAATCTACGACCTCGTGATGATGGTGATTACCCAGGTTTGGAAGGGAAAGTCCTCTCTTCCTTCCGTAGAAGAAATGGCCGCCCAAGTCGACCGCCGGCATGCGGAGCTGTGCCGGCGCGCTCACGCCGGGCCCGTGAATCCCGCGTTCTTCAGCCAGAGCGAATGGATCTCGTGGGCGAATCCCATCGCCGGTACGGGGCTGGATGTCTACCTCGGCTGGGGGCGGGAGGCGTGGAAGCTGTGGTGGAAGGATCCCGAGCTGTACCGGCTTTTGGCCAGGGGGCTGTTTAGCCCCCATGTCTTCCGCGCCCTGCCTGGAAAGAGGAAGAAATGGGACGGAGCACGAGAAGAGCTGATACGAATTAACCGAGCGGTCAAAGAGCAGCAGAAAATGAAGCGTTCTTAAGACCAGAGGTCACAGAAGAGATATCTTTCTCGGTCTTGAACTTTACACTTGTAATTATCCTGTTTGGTCAATGGTTTATCCTTTTCTGCTTCCCTCTTTGGCCATCTGTGGCTGTGGCAATGAGCTGAGATTATATATCTATGATGATGAATTCAGCAATCGCTGCCCCCTTTCCTCTTCAAGCAGACGCTAATGCTCCTCCTTTATCATCTCTTCTACAAGACCCCCTCCTTATCCTTGCAGATTTCTTGTTTTATTGCTCCCTTCTCGTAGCCTTCTTCTTTTTGTAGTCTTCCGAATGCTCCGAATGCCGTCCGAATTTCTGCTTCCGAGGCAAGTGACGGAGTGATGGCAAAGCCCCCTCGCCAGCAGTTCAAAGAAATAAGGTAGGATATAAAACGCGAGCAAAAAGAAACACGGCGGGGGAAGGGGGGTGTTGGTCGACGTATTAGTACAAGACCGATTGTGTTCCCTGGGACGCACCAGAACATACTTCCTACAATTTCCACTTTGGATCCATGAAGGGGTTCAGGCATCTTTAAAGCCTCCGTATCCAACAGGAAGTCCTCCCTAGTAGGTTTTGTCGATCTGAAGTGGCGCCTTACCCCGTGAAGGAAGAACGTTTGCGGATAGTCAATAAGCTTGACAACATTGGACATGCCTTGATGGAGTACTTATCCAGGATGGACGAGTCGGCGAATGAAGATGGAGACTCCTTCTGCTGCTGGATAGCCCGAGCTATCAACGGACGGCCTCGACCCGTACGAGCCACCGTGGGGTGAGCTGACTCGAGAGGTTCTCTTCTCTACCCTGAGGAAGGCCCTGATTCCTCTGACACGGGCCCATTTCTTTTACGAGAATTGGCAAGATTCGTACACAGAAGACGATACGGACTCATAAGGCATCGCCGACCCACAAGGTACCATCAACTCTCAGGGAGGAAGTTCTGAAAACTCTAGGACAGGCCCTAGAGGACATGATGGCGATCCGGACTGAGTAGAGTAAAGATCGGTAAAGAGTTTTAGTTTTCTTTTCTCCTTCTTTGTCTGTTCATTGTGCTGGTCCTGTCCCGAAATTCTCTCGAAAAGGTGCGACAGAGAGCGCTAACCTTGATTGCCTTGATTGTCTGATGGGTGTGAAGCGTGATTTGCGTTGCTCACCAGCTTCCGAAAACAATAGGTCCGGAAACGGGGTCTTGCCAACGTTTGTCCACTTCAAGTCCACACTAGATCTGCAAGTGGTTTAGGACCAAATTTGGGTTCCCCCACATCAACCCCGGGAAATTGTAGATGACGGTTTCGGGGTCAGGTACTTTGTGCGTAAGGACAGGAGACAGGAATGCTTCTACGCGCGCGTGCTCTGACAATACGAAAAGGAAACAATGGACCGAGTGGCATCTAGTTGCAATTGTAGAGACTAGCCTCAGAGACATTCAGAACACGAACTATTACACTATTATACTTTGTGAAACTGGTGTCAGGGCTGAGGATCTTAGATGTTGTGTCTGTAACTGCTCGGCCGAAGAAGACAGTCGATGAGAATTTTTGAATACTCCTTGATTCCGCACTCGATCTTGTTGGTCCAACCTATCCTAACTTGAATAATATCGTGATCGTTGATTCATCCATCTCCCCTCCATTATCGACGGAACTTGGGCTTGAGCAGCCGAGTTCAAACTTCTCCCTTGCTGGCTAACCGAGAGGACTTCCCCACAATGACGGTGGATAGGTCTCCCACCGGCAACGCGATAGGGAAGTCCACCGACGCGAGCAGCATCGACAGGAAGACATACCAGCCCGTGCAAGAGACAGCAAAAAGAAGCCCTCCGCCGGCATGCTGAAGGTTTCTTGCGCGCTCCAGTTGACCGTGTGAGATCGCAAAGAAAGAGGACGCAATGACCGCGACTATGCGAAACCAAAATTCCGGAGGTCAGCAAAAGCATACCAGGGGCAGCACCGAAGGAGCGTGTGTCAGACATCCGCGCTGATGACTTACAAGTAGGAACTAGGAGGGCCAGAGAGACGAAGAGGACGACGTTAGTCCGGAGGCCTGCTATGGTGAAGAATGTAGACACAATTGCCATCGCCACCAGGGAGAAAGCAAATGTGGCGAAAAATTGGGGTTCTTTTAAACCATCGGCGGCAACGCCGGTGGTTGAGTATGCGCCGTATGCACCGATGCTAGGGATGATCGTGTAACCGAAGGCAGTCCAGAATCCTCCGTGGATAATGAACAGGACGGCAGGGAAGGTGTTTCCTAACAGCATTTGAAGCTAGGTTAGTTATCTGGTCCAAGACTAGGAAGTTAGTGTGGGTCGTCCATACCAATAATCCATTCTCCGATTCCTCCTAGTAGGAGAAGTAAGCCGCCGACGTAGATGTAACATGCCCTATGATCTCTTTAGTTCAAACTCGATAGATTAGTGCATGAATCTTACACATTCGCCGCTCCAGCGAAACCGCCAGCACCCTGCCATTCCAGGAGGACCATGGCAAGAGACGTTGTGCAAAGCATCAGCCCGCCAATGGCTTTTCGACAGAGTCGTCAGTAGCTTCTACAAACTTCGTAAGTATTCCGACGCGTGTGTGCTCACCTATGGGGGTGGGATTCCCGAATCTTTCCCTCAAGTGTCCGTGAACATTCTGCTTCGGGGCGAGGTAGAGCTGTTCGAAAAGCTCGGGAGAGAGTGAGATTCCCCCAGTCGTTTGAACCTTGTTCATTCCGTCACTGCGCTCATCCTGAGCCTTGTCACTCCTAACGGACATGGCGAGAGAGAGAATATGCTGTGGATTATGAAGACGCCTTTTGAAAAAAATCGAGCTCGAACTGAGAGGTCCTGGGAGAGCTGAAAGAACCAGGGAAAACACTCCGGGTGGGCGAGAATTATGCACGTTTATATATCTACATATCCACATCTGACTCCGTGGCAGCTTCCCTAGTCTTGGAATTAAACTCCAGCACACTACTACTTCGTACTCTTCTCCTTCTTCATCTTTGTACTAACTGACTGATATTTTGATAAAAGGGCAATGTACCGGACAAAGGTAGACTTGTGCTGAACCAGGCGTGAAGGATCTTTTGAATCAGGATGGTCGTTTGCTGATCTGGGGGAAGTACAGGGGCAAACCCGGTTCCCGATGCATTCCCTCCGCATTCCGAAGGATTCCGTGGCGCTAGCGCACATGGCTACTGCCCACTATTTTTAATACTTGACTTCCGATTGCTCAGTGATCCCCTTCCCGAATACCTTCTTCGTATTTTGGATGGTCACCCATGCAACGCTATCCCCGTCCAGGTAGGGTTTCATCCCTTCCCCCACAGTTGAGAACTGATGAACGCGGGGATGGATGTGGAGGTGGCTCTTTGTTTTAGTTTTCGTGCGGACTCCAGTGCGAGTCGTTGTCGTCCCCAGGAAAGTGGCGTTCACCATCCATCAAGATCTCAACTTTGGTCCATACCTGTCTTGGTGGAGCGCTAAAATTGGGATAGCCGTTGCAAACTGCCGATGCTGGCTCGTGGTCCTTAGCTCGGGGTGATCTTGATCAGGCTAGGGAAATTAATTTTCGCACCTTCAACTGCAATGAAACCCTCCATACGCATCCCGGAAAACCTTGCCCGAGTACGGAGTACTCGGGCGTCCAATAATCACACCTCGCTCATTTTACCTGTGTAGCTGACGGGGATCTACTCGTAGCACCGCTCGGCCTCCCAATTTCGTGGAGGAGCTCCTCCTCGACAAGGTATCGTTGCGGCCTCCGTCCAACTGTGGCCTTGGCAATGTACAGAGCCCTTGCGTCGGCCTCCTCATAAATCCGCTTCCCCGGCCTCTGGAGCTAATATTTTCTTCCTGCCTCCGTTCACGTTTGACCGGGAGAAGATGCAGGCACTAACGCCGCAAGGCCCATGGAATCTACAATGCCATCAATGCCTTCGATCTATCAGAAGCTAGACCGTGCACATGTGTCTTGATTTAATGTCGAGACCTTGGCATCCAAAGTTCGGAACCGACCGTCTGAGATATATTTAACACAACGTCCTAGCTACCTTTCTCAAAATGACAGCCAACAGTCCTCCAGGATTACAATAAAGTCGTAATCATTCCACGCCTGCATCACGGCGCTGACCGCTGCAGCGGGCCTTCTCGACTCAACCGACCTTTGGTTCCGTACGAAGGTAAACCACCGTGGCCCGGCAAAAGCCGCGTGGTGATCAGCTCATCAGAAACCAAATTTGTATGCCAGTCGGTACCGGTCGCAGTGACACGTTCGCTACGCGCCTGACAGGGGCATCTAGCCGCCGTCGCACCCGGGCCAGTGCCTCCTAGTCCCGGAGTTGGGTCAAATCATTATGAACTGATGCTTGGCATTGATAAACTCCTACGTAGCGTTGAAGTGAGCACCTGCCACCCCCGTTCCCGACGGCATGTGTCTCGAGGGACCATGTATTTTCATCATCAGTCCAAGAGAAATAGCAGATTGGCACAACATCCTGGCACTAAGAATGCGGGATCAGCGAGAAGGTGATGAGTCTGCTTTGCGGGAATTTATCCTCAACTTAAAAGACCGTGGGCGGTGGCCTAGATCTGGGTGGAATCGAAGGACGGGAAGAGATCCCGGCTCGGCCCCCTCGACCGGACTCTTTCCTCTTCAGCTGTCTACCAAGTAGTTGTGTCTTGGTTTGGGTGCCTCAAAAGAGGTTAGCTGAAGGGCTGAGGAAAGCCCAGACAGGGAATGTCAGGCAAAGGTGCCTACCCGAAGGTTTCGGAAACGAGCGTTTACATGCTTCGCGCAACTACCCGAAATGTTCATTTAAAGTTTAAGGGTATTTGGGATCTTGGTTTGTGTGATGGATGGTCGGGTTGGAACCCCCCACCCCCACCCCGATTCCTTCGCTGAGTCTAGTCTCTTCGTGCACATTTACGGCTCTCCCAACGAAACAAAGCCCAAGATAGTGGATGCGGAGAGTCTGGGGCCCCAGCCCGGCGACTGCAACAACGAGTGTTGTGGAATGTACACTACTGTTTTCGAAAGGAATACGCTAGACAAACTTTTGTTCTAGCCTAATGAGGTTTGGCTTCCTGTCCTCTGTGGTGGAGGCTGGGCACCTCACATCACAAGAAGCCTGTCGTAACTCTAAACTTATTCAGCGAAGTTCTCCGGCCGCTAGTAGCAACTTGACTCCAACCTGTAGTCGGCCACGGTTTGCACTTCACTGCCAAGGGCCCGCGAAAGGGAGGTGGGCAGGGACGCCAAGAGACGCACCTCCCACTTCGTAGGGATAGAGGCTGCTCAAGAGTAACAGACAGGCTCGTCTACAACGCTCTGGATGACCCACACAGATACCGCCAGAGCCTGCAGATCAGTTCTTGGCGGGAGGGCTATCTGATTGTCCATTCTACCTCGGCCAGCGTCTTCAAGGCATCACCCTCCGTCACCTCCGCATTGGGTCTGTACAGCACCTCAGCCACCTGAGACACGTGAGAGTAGGTCTGCAACCATATGTCGAAGTGATGATCGAAACGTCCATTGTAGATCATAGGGACGGGGATCCCCACGTCCATCCCAATATAAGAAATCCGACAAAGACTTAGGTTGTCCTGAGTTTGTGTCGTTCGTTGTGAGGATTCGTGTTTTTCGGAATCAACATGGGTCGCTGCGAGTTGCCGCCTTCGAGTCTCGGGCAACACGTGATGCCTCCATCGCCCTTGTTTATCGAACACGAAACAGTTGCACAGCAGATTGTTTGACACCATCCCGATAGTTTTGATTAGGGCTGCATCTTCGACTCGTGGCAGACTATGAGGCCAATTTATCAGGTGTACGATCTTGAAACGGCTATTGCCTATTTCTTCGCTAAAACGTCTGCTACTCGCGCAGAGTGCGATGGCAAAGCACAACAGCTTGCTAGAGGGTAGATCGTCCCGGTCAAGGTACAGGCTAACTGGAGCTATTCAGCCTATCCTAGGGTGAATGACGAATTTGTTATCCAGTTTCGCCTTCGGTCCCTGGCACTGAAGACCGAGACTAACGCGCTAGCAAGTAGCGTCTACGGATCCTTGGCACCGCGCTTGGAATTCTGCGGCCAGCTCGGGGATAATATCCAAGATGACGAGAAAGAACGGCACCTGGTTTACTTGATAAGCCGTGTCCATGGTACCACGTACCTGGGTTTCAGACTGGCAAACGATATGAGCTCCCCCGAAGGCCCCTCCTGGCGAATGAACGCAATGCAAGACATAGCAAAGTAAGCCGAAAAATATTCCACCTGATCTTCCTCTCGTCGCCTCTAACCAAATTCCAGGTTCCTTGCTATATCGTGGAAGCCCCCCAAGAAGTTGGCTCGGGCTGCCGCCTCCAGCTACAGGAAGAATTCACCAGCTATCCGAACCGTCTACTCTCCGCTCTACCACATCGTTTCCATCAAACTATTCAGGCTCGCCTCCAGTCAATTGACGAGGTGTTTTCGATGCTCATGGTCTGCTTCTCTGAGACCTTGGAGAGTGCAATGTCATGCTTGATGAGGTATGCCACTTCACTGGCGTGGTTGACTGGGCTGAGGCCGAAATCCGCCCGTTTGGGATGAACCTTCATTCCATTCAGTTTCTCACAGGAGAGATCCACCTCCGGAAAGGCTTGATCCCGTATCACGATTGCCATACCTTGGCCGATGCCTTTTGGAGCACTTTCACACGCGAGCTTAGTGTTTCAGAGGACACTGTTCGGACAATCAAGACTGCAAGGACAATAGGGCTGCTCCTTCTCATGGTTTTGCTTCTTGTCTCGTGACCAGTCTGGAGCCTATTCCCATCGGAAACGGCGAATATGGTCCCTACAACATACTCTTCCTTGATGGTTTGCTCCTCGATCCAGTCACCAAGTTCGATTAAGCGAGTCGGTGAAAATATTACGGTTGGGATCTGGGGTAGGTGAAGGAGGTGAAGGAATTGAATCAGTCCAGCCGTCTCGCCCAGGAACTCCTCCGCCTCGCTCACCTGAGTGTAGGTTTCGTCAGACGCATGTGCAAGTAAGAAAACGGTTATTCGTTGACGATACCCGTAGAAAGTATTTAACCCTTTCCTTATCCACTTCTCGACAGAATCGAGGATCCGACGCCATGGCGTTATAGTGGATGGAGAAAGGCAAGGGCGGCATCCGTGATAGTGGGCCATGGAAATTGCGGGTGGCTACTTAGCCGAAAGGCCCAGAAAGGCAACGGGAGCGGGAGCGGCGATAGCGGAAATGTGCTTTAAGGGGAGCTTGTGCAGGGAAAGAAATCAAGTCCAACTCCACTCCACTCATCCAACTCTTTGCTTCGAGCACGGGTGCTATCACTGTCATCTTGGACCCTTAACGTCTTGTAGTCGCTACTTCAGTCCTGTATGAACATTTGCGTCTCTGTATTATCTCGCATGTGGATTAATGGCTGGCTCGTAACTAACGAAGAGACCCCTCCTTGAATCGGCTGCCCGAAACAGGTACCGCGGGCGTCATATATGTGCCTACAAGCACACACATATGTGTATCCCCTTTCCATAGTGTCCACTCTCTATTGTCTCTCTCTCGTATTGCTATGACTAGTTCTTAGAAAGCAAGAATGACGGATATCCCGATAAGCGATAGAACCTCTTCCGCCCTCACCAGTAGTTTGCGTAGGATACTCCTGTAGAGTCCTGTGTGGTGATTCTGGCAATAGCTCTGTTCGTTATGGGTGCACTCGTAGCAGTCGGGCACCAAGCACTAGAGGCTCTGAGCGCCGACGCGAACATGGTAACGCCCTGCGCCTCGGCACCATCTTGAGCAATAATACCGACAATCTCGTGGCCAGCGCACACTGGGTAGAGGGAATGGTCTACAGCCAGACTCAGGGCCGAGAAATTGGAAGCGCAAACTCCGCAATTGGTTATCCCGATGTCTACATCTATCTCCTCAAATGGCTTGGGACTTAAATCCTGCCATGCCATAAGTATTGCTTTGACAAGACTCCGGGTGGAGCCTATCCAAGACGCCCGCTAGATGGGCGGTTCTCCCCCTTGTCGGCCCGGGCACTTTCCCGACCACTAAAATGCGGGGTATCTGTCGCGCGATAAGACGATTGGAGATACGATGGCTGAGATCTGATTTTGTCCGATGTGGTCCAGTCCACGCACTGATAGCCTAGGCGCATGTGCAGATAACTTGGCGGGACAGTTTTGCTCCCACGGCGATAAGTCACGCATAGGTGTCTAAAACAGCAAGGAGGAGTACCGCGAGATCCAGAACAACGCCTAAAAGGGCTCAAAATATTGGCCAGACTAACCCTTACAACAAGTGGAAGGTCTTTTGAGGGGTAAAATTGTGGACCGTACGTACCCGTGGCCTCACCCCGGACCTCCACCGAATGCTGGTATATCTGAACTACACTTTGCTTGCTATTGAGTCATCCTTGTTAGCGTGGCTGATTACCCCCCATAAATCATGCGTGGCCGTGGAGATCTGTCCCGAAGAGGATCGGCTTTGATATCCCGAAAGACACAAGTCTATACCGTTACCATGTCTATAATTATGTGGTGCGCCTTCTAGGGGGAATTCACTTAGACGTAAGTTCTCTCTCCCCCTGGGCTGCAATGAGAACCCTACATGCTTACGGCTTCCCCTTGTCTAGTAGGAACCTCTGGGTTATCGATTATCTGACCGACTTTTCGCCGAACTTGACTGCGATCTTCAATTATGACATGTTCTTATGGACCGAGTGCGTTGCATAATTAACTTGGGGTTCGGACTGTCGGATAGGACATCTAAGCACCTCGAGCTGTTTGGTTATCTGGGAGGGGGAATTACCCATGCTCCTTCTTATAGAAGAACCTTTAGCTATTGGTTAGTAGACCTACCGAGAATCGTGACCTATTTCGGGGCAAATTTCATGTGCCGCCTGGCTGCTATCCATACTATTGTCCCTTTATTCTGCCTACGAAACCCGGCTGTATTTACACTTGCTAACAGTCCGCGGCGCGATATTAAGCTAGCAGGCGCCTGGGATGCCGAATGGGACGGCAGGGTCCGCTCTATCACATACGATACGTATGCTAGCTTAGCTGCTAGCATGGACTATCGCTTTGATGCCGGGGTCTCTAGTGGCGTGACCTAGGCTTATAAGACCTCTACTTGCGAAAAGCTCGCCTCTCTTCCTCATGGCGAGTCTTTTCTCCATCCTCGAGTTTGGGGCCGCCTCGAAGCTCCCTACAAGCGTAGGGTTGAGGCATGCGATCTTGTAGGACACTGATAGGGTAACGAGCTGCTCCTCGTTGATTGCTACGACTGCGATCCTTTGCCCTGTGGCATTGACCTAGCGCAGTGGGATGCTTTTCCGCATGAACAGATGGGTTGCAATCCGCAGGCCGATCATCTAGAAACTTTTCATGTCTAAAACTATCAATCGCTCCTGCTACAATTTCTACGTTGTGCCGACTTCGGGGCGTCTAGGCGGTCAAATCTCCCTCTGGCACGAGCCTGCGTCGGGGCTGCAGTAGGATCAAGATGAATACGTCAGACCAGGCCATGAGCGTAAGGGGGGCCCATTCCATTGTTATAAGTGGCTTGATGGAGTAATGGGGCCAACGACAGCCTTGATCGACAATACGTTCGTTGCGTGTCAAGACTCTGTTGAAACTGTCCGAGTTGGCCTCGATGTTGTTTAATGGAGGCTTCTATGGCTCTCTCATTACCTACTTGTTTCTGGTACATAGAATACCACCGCAGCCATGAATGTCATTATTTTGCTAAGAATTGACTGAATCGAGAGCCCTGCAGCACCTCCTGTCTACGGCATCAATTGCGTTGTAGGAACATCTACTTTGACCTTGTACAAACCGTAATTTGCTTGTCTGGCCCAACCGCCGACACCCACCTAAGACAAGTACGTGGGTGACATCCTGCCTATCTTGCCTGGCGATCGACATCTCCTGGGCGACTTCTGAAGGTTTTGCCAAGGTTCTTATCCGATGGTAAAGTATCCGCTTTGTGGGTCAACACTTGCGCTTCTCTCGCAAGACACCAATAACAGGAGTTATCCCACGGGCTGATAAACCTAATAACCGTGTTTAGTCTGACATGATGGCCTTGTGTGGTTGCTAGTCCGGGTCCATATCTGACGCCCCTCGTCACTTGCGGAAGTCGACCCCGGTTTTCGTCCATGTGCGGATGCGGGGATGGGCTCAGTTCAGGCCCCGATAGACTGGGACACAGCCAGCTATTAATACTAGGTACGAAAGTTCATATTAATTGCCCATCTCTCTCCCAATCATCATTATTTTGCAACAAGCCAACCATCTGCCACGCTATACCTTGCGCCACACAACTTGTTATAATGTCCCGAAATCCTACTGTCGTTGTCGTCCCTGGAGCGTGGCACCCTGCCTCATGTGTTGATCCCTTCTGCGAGTCCTTGAAGAAAGCTGGGTTTCCTAGCAAGAGCATCACCCTCAGAAGTGTTGGCAATGCCGATATCAGCGTTTCCGATGACGTGGCTCACATCAAGTCTGTCATCGAGCCACTTGTTCAAGGTGGAGAGGACGTTATCCTCATTGTCCATTCCTACGCTGGCTTTCCAGGCACAGGCGCCATTGCCGGCTTAGATAAGAAGGGGATAAAAGCCCGTGGCGAGAAAGGAGGTGTTCTTGGAATCGTGTTTCTCGCCTCGTTTGTTCCTTTGGAGGGAGAGACCCTCGTGAGCCTCCTTGGCGGTTCCCTGCTGTGGTGGATGACGGATAATGTGAGCTGTCCCTTCCAACCCATTACTCCCGTACGAGAGAGTCTAGGCTAACGATGCTGCCAGCCCGAGGCTCGATTAATTGAGGCACACTCACACTCCGAGGTCTTCTATCACGATTGCTCACCGGAGCATGCAGCGGCCGCGTCTGCCACATTGAAGGGCCACTCAACAATGTCATGGAATACGACTGTTTCTGCCATCGGCTGGCGCGATAGTGCTTACGATGGGTGTCGAGCTTATATCCGCTGTTTAGATGATAAGGCTCTCCTCCCAAATTTGCAGGACTTTTTCGTGGAGCGGTCGAAAGTCAGCTGGATTGTCAAGGACCTGGATGCTTCTCATAGTCCTTTTATGTCGATCCCTGACCAGTTAACTGGGGTTGTAAAAGAAATAGTGGCTGGATTCAAGAGTGCGATGGGAAAGAGAAAATAGATGATTCGGCCTTTGAAGGCAGGTTCTATCATTTATTAATCTGTATTCATACGTTAACACGCGTGTCAAAATGGCCCTGCTGGATCTTCTCTGTAAACTCAGCTTCTCTTGGCTGTGGGCCTCCGGACTATGGGCAGTTATTGCATTTGTCTTGCATAAGTTTACCTCCACCCCCCTTTCCTAAACCTTGAGTTATACTGAAGATACGACATTCATGGTGATATTCGCCGACACCCTCAGGCTAACGTACGCCCGCCAGCGTGTCAGCACAGCGTCTCGCAACCGGTACCATGACTTACGGACCTAATTTTGGCCCAAAGGTTGCATTCTTTCTTTTTCGCCCACAGCATACTCCAAGTACCATAGGTCGATGCAAAGAAGAACCAAAAATATGTCGGAAAACGGATATCGGAGCCTTTCAGTTATAAGAGCCGTTGAGCCTTCGACGGTATTTGCCTTTCCCGGCCCACGATAGAATTTTCATGGCACCAGTCGAGACACTTCTAGCCACTAATTCAGCGTAAGATAGCCATTTTTCTGCAATAGGACGTCTGGACCTGCATCCTGCCGCCCTAGGGACGTTATGCTTGTCTCAGTGTGCACCCTTTGCTGCGTGGGGATGTGGCCTTTCAAGAAGCGGGCGTGGATCTAGTCCCTTCCCCGACACTACAGGAGGCGAATGCGTTCGATTACTGTGGTGAGATGCTCCAAGGTCTTTATGAATATTGCGAATCATCTCTGCCGAAACTTACACACATTCGTCTCAGTTCCCCACTGACTCCAGCCGCGAAACTCTCCTAACCTTTGCTTGCTCTTACAAAAGATTCGCGATACGCATCTTTACGACACACCCAAAAAGGAAATCGTGGCGCCGCGTTTTGTCCAATTCTGCGCAGCGATGCTACTTGCGGTCCTCTCCACCAATACTGACATGCACGGCGCCGCGGACCTGGAGGTCCCTCATTTTGAGGTGGACGTGATCTTCCCACGTAATGAGAGAGGTACCTTTCCTCGGACATGTTCCCCATCGCCGTTGCGATCCGCAATTTAACGGCAGTGCGTTTGCTCCGAGATTTCGAACTCATCTGGGGCATTATGCCGTACTCCCATGGCTACGTCCCTAGAGGCACCACCTACGACCTGGGCAACCTTACAGATCCAGATCCTTTGGAGGACAATAACAGTGATACCGCCACCCCCACCGACAACACCAACGCTACGGACTGGATCACCCGGAAGCAGGTCCATGAGAGCTACATGTTGCAGTTGTATCTGCACTGGCCTGAGCAGGAGTCGCGCTGTGGATTCGACGTTGGTATTTTCAAAGAGCCACTCATGTTTTCGGTTGAAGTGCAGTATCATACTTCGGATAAGAGCCCGCCCATCTCGCTGTCTTCTAGATCCAAGGAAAATGGCAAGAAGTCCGGTTCCACGGTGCCCTGTTTCTCAGTTGACAGGGTATTTTAGTCCTCTAGGGCTGAGGACAAGGCTTAAACTACGCGAGGGCTTGGCCTACCCGGGGTATGAAGAATCCCGTGGGCCAATAAACCGAGAAACGGGCGTTCTAATAGCTAAGCGAAATGGAGAGGGCTCCACTTCCACTCAACTTAGCCCGGTTGGTACTCGTGGCAGGAGTCTTCCTGTGTCCACTTCATAATATGACTCTCGTACCTCGTAGGCGAACATGCCGGGGACGCCATTGTTCCATTGTTTCAGTCGACGGGGAAAGATCTCTCCCACCCCGCACGTAACGCGGTCAATCCGCTCGTAGGGCTCTTGTTGGCTGGCTTTGAATTGGCGGCCTTCAGTACGCTTGAGCTATCAAGAATCACCTGAAAGGAGGCTTGCTGAAATCCGTGCACGCAGGGATGCATTCAGGGCTCATCATTATTGGTAACCGTTAGACCCGCATACACATGACGTTTTTCCTCTTCGAGAATCAATAGTTCAGATTCGGACCCATTAGTGCCGCGAGCGATGAGAAGAACGACAAATTTATCTTCTGAGGTAGTGTATTGTCTTGGAATTCCCGCTTTTCACACCCCCAAAGTCAGCCATTTCGTCTCAAGTCTTGGTCGCGGAGTTGGGCACAATCTTCACGCCACCATCCCCCCCCCCCAACGGCCCCGAAGTCTAGAAAGCTCCGTCGAGTGGACCACCATAAGATATCTCTGTCCGGTACCACGGAGGGTACTGCTCGATAGTATTCTCCCTAGTGGATACCTGGCAGGGCCCACTCGAACGGTTTCTGGAATCTGGATGCAAGCCACGGTTCACCGCCAGTAGACAACGGTCTTACTGAGCAATTGAGGGACCCTCCTATTCCGCGTACCTCGCTAGTTTCTGGTTATCACCCATCAGATTTACTCACAAACTGAAAATGCCATTCCCTCCCAGAGCGGGGCAGAGCAAGAGTACAAACTTGAGAAAAGATCCCGAATAGGTAGCCGGTACTGTGGTTACGGTGGGCGGCGGGCGTGTATCTTGCGGACCCGCCGGTATCAGGCCTTTACATGCAGCATTACTGTGTTATGAATATATGATACGCCCGGTCGTAAATGTCGCTTGTCACTCCGGTCCGGATTCTATATTCTACCACGTTCAAGTCACGATTGGTTTAGTATGGATTTGGAAGCGACCGCCGTTGGAAACTTGTGGGGTAAGTCGAGAGTCGAGGTGGCGTCCCTCCCAGGCTCTCCTGCATTGTCACAACGGGTTCGGAGAACTTGACCACTTCCAGAACTTGGCTATTATTAACTATTGGCTATTGGTGGCTATCGATGCAAGCAGGGGTCCGATATTGTCAAGAAAGTTGTAGACGTGGGTTAGTGCGTGTGCCACGGCTTGGTTGAACGGGTGAGGCCGTCCCCACACACCCTCCTCAAAACGGTCACGGACGGCAACTAGAAATCGACATATCTTCCACCCTACAGGAAGCCGCGTCTCTAGTCTTATGGGCCTAATAGAAAACATGGATTATTAGAAGTCATCATTGGAAGTCGTTGGAGGCTGCATCCAGGGTTCACGTCTTCTCAGCTCTGCAGTTGAAGGTCGGCGTCGTTGATCGTGTCCACCTGATCGTAACCTTGACGAGTCTGGCTTTGGTTTCCCTCTGGAAGTGGAATAGCATATTGATTGAATTGAGCTGAATACGCAACTCCTGGATATGCCTCTGGTTCAACGAGCATTGGTGAGGATGTTGCATCACCTGAACGCAGCCTCGGTTAGACGAGAAGAGCCTGGACGATGAGGGCAACAAAGTTGTTGGCTGGCTTTCTGGTTCTTCAAAGGCCAGTGGCGGAGCTGGACTAAAGAATCGGGTATGAAGGGCATTGGTGTGTTGGCATCGTGATGATGCGGGAACTGATCTGTCAACTCCGTCAATTCCTTTCGATATTATGATCAACGAGAACTCTGCCAACGAAGTCCTCGTCGCTCGAATATATAATTCTCTTCTCGTCTCTGTCTTCGTTTCCGGCCGTGCTCTCAAGTTCTCAATAAACCAAACCCACTCAGCACTAATCAACTCACATTTACTCCCCAGTTCATCCTCCTCCGCCTTGATCAATTTTAATATCTTGCCCCTTTTTTTACTACGACACGATGGGCAGCGTTTCACACGACATGGTCCTTTCTCAACCCGCCCTTGGGCAGGATGTCCAGCTCGGCATGCTCTACGACGTCCGCGCCTCCCAATTCTTCGGCGGCGTCTCCCTCTGGAGCAACGAGGTCGTGAATGCAAAGCAGGAACTGGACGAAAACAAGGTCCAAAACGCCGACTTCAACTTCTCCTACTCTCTCGAGGAGGCGCGCAGCAACAGCTCCCTCAACATCGAGGGTTCGCTGAGTCTCGATCTCAAGATGTTCAGCGCCACGGGCTCGGCCAAGTACCTCAATGACAAGAAGTCGAGTGCGCACGAGGCCCGCATCGACGTGTCGTGCACCGTTGTGAAGCGCACTCGTCGCATCCCGCAGGAGATCCTCGCATCAATGAAGTATGAGAAGTACCTCGATGATCCTCGCTACACGCACTTCGTCGCCGAGGTCGTGGAGGGCGGAAACGCGACCCTCAGCTTCGCCCAGTCTTGTTCGTCGAAAGAGGAAGCCAAGAAGATCACCGGCGAGCTCAAAATCAGCATTGTGAAGATTCCGGTCAGTGGCAGTGCCAAGGTTGAATTCGATGAGATGGAAGAGAAGAAGTTTGAGAGCGTCAGGATTTCGTACAGCGGTGCCATGGCCGAAAACGTGTCCAACCTCGAGGACGCACGTCGAATCGCCAAGGAGATGCCAACCAAGCTGGCCAAACAGTGTAACACGCTTCACTACACCCTTCTTCCGCTTTCCGTGCTTGACACTAAAGGGAACCGCCTGATCCGTAGCCTTGACGCTGGCCTAGTTACCAAGACTGCCCTGGCACTCAAGGCAGGCGCAACCGCAGGTCTCAAGCTGAAGGACCTCTTGGAGCACGAAGTGTTCCAGAAGAAGTTCCCGGGAATAAGGCCCCAAATAACCAATTTCCAGACGGCTTTTTCGGCGGCGGAGACCGAGTTCCAAAAGGCTGCGCGCCGCCTTCTTCCCGAACTACGCGATGGAACGACGGATGAGAACGCCAAGGTCACTGAACTGCAGGCGGCCATCGCCCTGTTCGAGCAGCGCACCGAATTTGCAGAGCAATTCATTTCAAGGAAGGAGACGGAGGCCAATGTTCTTCACGGAACAGTAGCGGCACTTCTGGATGACAAGTTCGAAGACCACCTCGGCGGGCTTAAGCCGCAGTCACTCGTGGAGGGTGGTGTTCCAAGATTTCTGCTGTCCTTCGGTGGTCCATCGATTGGGCGTACCAGGCATCCACTCCAGGAGGCCCTTGAGGCAGCGTCTAAGGCTGAGCCCAGTCCTGAGAAGAAAGAGGAAGAGGAGGAGGAGGAGGAAGAAGGTGATAGTGACGAGGATGATGACGATGAGGAGGAGGAGTGGTTTGAAGATCAACAAACTGTCGCTAACGTTCGACAATCTTGCGCGGTCTTACGCCAGCAGCGTTTACTCTCTGCCCCTGGTGTTACCGTGGCTTTCGGCGTGGCGAGTATCGACGCAGCCTATCGTCCAGGAAAAACGAAGAAAACCAAGACCAGCGTTGGTGACATCGTTCTTGATAACAACGGCAAGCTTCTTATCGTCACCGGAATGCTCTGCAAGGCCCTGACGGCCCCAAAATTGGCAGTCGCTGGGCAAACCATCACTGTAACCTGGTTCGACGAGCGCGAGAGGCTCGAGAAGATTGCCATGCCCACGACCGGCTACACTGTCAAGTACTGCCGTCGACTTAACCCCGCCAAGGACGGTGCGTTCCCCCGCGCGAGCGAGAACGAGGCTGTCACGGAGGTCCAGTACCCCGCTTCCGAGACGAAGGCCGTTCTTGCCTCATTGTCGGACGACTGCGACTACGAAGTGGCCGTTAGCTTCCAAACAATTGTCGGCTCGTCGCCATGGAGCCCTCTTACCATTGACCGCACGGCCAAGCTAACCTCGGTGGCTTCCGAGATGATCGATTACTTCAACAAGAACAGAGACACACTCCCCAAAAAGCGCACGGCGGAGAGCAAGCCCTGGGACATGGACGCTCCCGATATTGGCAAGAAGACTCTCTTCCCAGCCCTTACTGAAGTAGCCAAGCGTTACGCCACAGATAAGCGATTCGAGAATGAGGTAGCCGTCCGCATCGTCGATGTCGCCGTCGACTTTAAACCCGAGATCAAGGCCGCCCCCATCGATGACCGCGAGAAGACCATCGTGGTCGTGTTCGCAGGGACTAGCGGCCACGGCAAAAGCACTCAAATTAACGCTTTTATCTCCTATCTCCTCGGCGGCGAAGTCGATGACCCAGCTCGCATCCTCGTCGTCGACGATCGGGGCGTGAAGCAGGCCGAATCAGTAACGCAGATCGTCACCTGCTTCCGGATCCGACCGCTCTCACCTCTCTTCCAGGGCAAGACACTACTCGTCGTCGACACCCCCGGCTATGGAGACTCTAGAGGTGTCGAGAGAGATGCATTTGTAACGTCGGCAATGAGTGAGTTCTTCAAGACAGTCGACCATGTCAATGCCATTATCTTCACTTGCCGTGCCAGCGAGGTGCGAACTACATTCCTCAGCCCCGTGTCAACGTATGTCTTCTCGCTCTTTGCCAAGGACGTTCGCAGCTGTTTGCGCACCATCTACACCTTCAGCGACGTTGGAAACCCCGTCGCTCGTGGCGCCCTTCAAAGCCTCGGATGGCCGGTCGAGAACGGCGAGATCGCGGTGAACAACAGTGCCTTCACGATCGAGCTGACGGGTGGCGAGAACGACGCCGTGGTCCGAGAGGGTTGGCTTCAGTCGGTTAGGGGTCAGTTCCAGGTTATGCAGATGCTCCTGCGCACGCCACCGGTGCCGACCAAGAACAGCGCCTCGGTGACGCAGAATCGCATCCACCTCGAGCAGAAATGTGAGCTCGCGGAGAAGAAGATCCTTCGCACCGCCAACGACGCCCAGAACCTCATTGCACGTCTAGATGCTCTTGCCAACGCCGTCGGAGCCGCGCCGGGAACCAAAATTGAGGTCACCGAGGACAGAGCTGTTCAGAAGTCCGTCCCGGATGGCAAGGCGACAACGCTCTGCCTCGACTGTAACTTTACGTGTCACGAAATCTGCGCTTACGGTGACGACAGCGACAAGATCGACTGCGCCGCTATGGACAATGGTAACTGCACCGTGTGCAAGGGGCGTTGTAGGTGGGATAGGCATAGAAACGCCAGATACATCATCACGATCGAGAAGCATTCCGAGTGGATGGTGCCCGAAGACTTAATCAAGCACTGGAACACAACCAATAACACACTCGAAGGCGCGCTTCTTATGGCAATGGACACCTACCTCAAACTTCAAGAGGGTCTGCGCAACGACATCCTCGAGCTAGCCAAGCTGAGTGAGGACCTCACAAGCACGGCGTTGCTCCACGACCCGGCCGGTCTCATAGGATACATGGACACTCTGATCCAGACCGCCCGCGTTCGTGGGGCCCCGGCCGCGCAGCTCATTCAGCTAGCCACGGCGAGGAACACCCTCATCCTCGTGCGCGAAGTCAAGGGCAAAGGAGAGGGTGCGACGCGGGATTCCGTAATCTTGCTTGATGTCATCGGCGGCGTGCGCAATGAGATGGGGCGGAGGATGAAGCTCTCTGCTAAAGAGCGAGCAGAGGAGGAGGAGAAGTCTTGCAGCTTGTACAACGACCTGCGAGAGAAGCTTCCCGTGGAGATTCGGGATAAGGCGCCGGAAGCGCTCCGGAAGGAAGGTATGATTTCGAGAGGCGCTCGATATCCCGAGAATCTTCAGGCTGTCGTCAAGTTGGTGCAGGTCGTGCTGAAGGACGGTGGTGTCGTGGCTGCCCTCGCTGCCTCGGCCGAAGGATAAAATATTGAAACAGGCTTGCGGTCCGTCGAGTTGAATGTTGCGCTAAATGCACTCCCAGCTAGCCTTACTCTACTATACGAAAGGTACCGTCACATTGCAAAACGTCCCCAACATGACATCAAGAAATTCCATCTCCTTCTTGTAAATTGAGTAGCTGTCGCTTGCGGTTGATCAGTCCGCGACTCTCCCACTTTACGGAAGAACTTGTTCTTCGTTTCTGATTCTGGGAGTGGATGAGACAAGACGCCATAAGTTACCCGGTTGGTGTGGCCAATGCTAGCCTAAGATAGACTTCCCCTGTCCAACTAAACTGCGAGCCTAACTAGAATCATGAAATGCTATTAACCGACAATATTTAACGATCATATGCTCCGTGGGGTTTCAGAGCTTCATGCTCCAGTCCTCTCATCTGCTCCCGGGGCTGACCAACATGAAGGTATACCGGTACAAAACGCATAATCCAGGACGGAGTTGGCTCAAAGACCCAGATGGAAGAGGTGATTGGTGTCCACAACGCCGCTTTGCCATTATCCCTCATGGCCCTCGCCAAAGATCCTGGTGGTGTGCGGAGTGGAGTGGCTGTCACTCTGCCCGCCCCGCATTCACCGTCCCATAATAATTGTGACGTTCTTATTAACTCTAGAGTAGACCCGGCGTGGGGGATCTTTCCGAATGAAGATACCTTCCCTTGATTTTCTTTGTCTTGTGTCTTCCAACTCATTTTGTCTATGCCGAGACCCAGGCGTCGAGGTTACAATGCAAAGGTCAAAGTCTTGAATGGAAATGTCACGCCAACCCCATTTTGCTCTTTCAGACCAAGTGCTCTTAGCGAAATTCGGACGGGAAATCTAGAACAATTAGGGAAGGATATATCAAAGGGATCATTCTCCTATATTCGATTGACATACGAAGTACAAATTCATCATGTCACCTCGGGCGTACTATTAATGAGTCTACGATCTTGTCCTCCTCTGGCGGCAAGCTACAAGGAGGTGGACAAGGGTGTTGCAACGAAATCCATGACTCTAATGGTCTTGAGGAGTCACGATTTGATGGCTGGGGAGGGCAAACAACTCTACATTCTGTCTGGTACGAATGGGGCCTCATATAATTCGTCTCGGGAAGCACGGATGAAGTAATATTAACCCGGCCATCACGGAGGAAGATCATTTCCGCGGACAACACCCCACGAGCACACCATCATCCCTCGCCATGACGATCGAATCGAAGTGCGGCTCGGCCGCATCTCACCCGCAGCTGAATGTCCATCACAATCACAACATTGGATATATTCCAATTCAATTCACCGAATGCCACCTACTCCCCGCGTCTTTAACTCGACGCCATCGTGTAGTCTTCTGACGCGACAGCCGACTTGACTGCAGTAAATATATGTGAAGTCCTCTTCCAATTTAATCATGACTGTGAGATGAGTCCAAGTTCGAAAGGGAGACCTCAATCCTTCCTCAATCTTCTTCACGCATAATCCAAATAGTCAAGATGAGAGCAACGGCACTCTTCGTAGCACTTGCCGCCACTGCAGCCAATGCGGCTTATCCAAAGGACATTGTCCAATACTGGTAAGGGCGTCCCGCGGATCTCGAGTATGCAAAGGATCAAATCTAACACAGCGGGAAACCCACTCAATAAAGGGTTGACCAGTCCGCGCTCTTCGTCAATGGGTCCATCATCGGGGGCATTCAGTCACCTCCGTCCGCTTGGTTCCCCGCCGTAGTCCATGGTGCAATTTACACCGCGGCACTAGAAGCCAAGGGCGAGTCTCTCAGCTTTCAACAGTTGGCCGTATCCCACGCGGCACATGACGCCTTGTCCTGGACGTTTCAAGGCACGCGGCTGTACAACTCCATCGATGCGGCACTGCGAAACATCCTGCCCGACATTGGTATTGCTCAGTCATCCAAGGAGTACCGTCAGGCAACCTCCATTGGGCGCCGCGCCGCTGCTACGGTAGCCGAGAAGCGCGCCGGTGATCGGCTCGCTAATTTCGTTGACTACGTCTACGGTCCTGCAGAGCCCGGCGTGTACCAGCGGACGCCCGGTGGTAACCCACTCCCCGATACCCCGCAGGCAGCGTACCTCCGACCTTTTGGCGGTATAGGAGACATTTCCAAATATCGGGCGCCGCCTCCGCCAAATGCAACTGGGAAAGATTATGAGAAATGGGTGGCTGAAGTCAAAGATGTGGGATCTTTGAACTCGACAAGCCGGAGTGAATATGACACAGACACGGCATATTTCTGGAGAGAGTCAAGTGTGACGTGAGACTGATCCCGGCTTACCCCCCACATTGAGAGCAAGTGCAGTAGAGTGTAGACTAACCCATAGATACTGCAGAGGCTGGAATAGGCTTGCCAACGCTATTATCGGCGATTCCCTTTCCAAAGACGTTGTGGCATCTGCCAGATTCTACGCTCAATTTAGCTACGCCCTCGCCAATGCTGCAATCGCCGCGTGGGACTCCAAGTAAACATAGCTCCAATTGGCAATTCCCTCTGCTAAATGGCACGGCTCTCTAACCGTTCTGGTTAGGTACTATCATAACCATTGGAGACCGGTGACTGCCATCCAGAGACCAGGGATCTGGCTCGCCAGCGGCAAAGACATCTCCGATCCCAACTGGACACCACTGCTCCGTCCAACGCCGAGCCACCCCGACTATGTTTCGACGCACTCGACGTTTGGTGGTGCTGCTGCGGAAGTGTTACGGGCGTACGTTGGCGGTGATAAAATTAACGCTTCGCTCAGCAGCAATGTGACTTTGGATAACCGCGGCGTCATCACTCGACGATACACAAATTTAACCGAGGCGGCTCTCGAAAACTCTCGGAGCAGGGTTCTCGGTGGGGTGAGTAGCAAACATAAGACTAAAATATCATGTGCAACTGGCTGATGCGTAGGTGCCTCCGAAGATTCATTTTACCTATGCCGGCTCTGCAGGCATAGAGCTGGGCTCAGCTGTTGCGAAGGCGACGCTGAACAAGTTTGGCCGGCACTGGGACGAGTATTAAGCCCACACCTGTGCCGATGAGCAGTCCCGTTGGACGTTTGGATTCCTTGGCCGTTCAAAATCACCCCTTAAATTTCAGGTGGCACGCGACATTTTTGATGTTCCCCACGCCTTTTACGAAATCGTTGGGCTCATCCTCGGGCAGGAATCTGGAGACTACCTGTAGGATTCTAGGGAACCTGCACAGTCGGGGGTGGATACTGTCTCTCTCTAATTGCCTTGACTGGAATGCTACTCTAGATTTGTTGGACGATTTCATAGAACCGCCGAGTACCTTACCTCGGTAGGCAGGACATTTATGACGCGCATTGGGATATGGGGTTGCGTCCTAGTCCCATTTAAGCAGGTGTGGTGGCTCCATCAACCCGAAACCTTTTTTCCACTTGCTTGATTTTTTTCTTTTTACGAAAGGAAGAGCCCTCATATTTGTGCGGACATCCTCCTCGCTGAACTGAATTGACACATTGTGCTCTTCTCGCTCTCACAAGCCGATTGAGGCGACTTCCACGTAGTGATATATACGACCTATGGATTTCGTCGTCGAGTTCTTTTCCCTTCTTCTTAAACAGATCTATTGATTCCAAACTAGACAAGTGGAACCGTTCGTATCAATTTGATCTTTTGAAATACCTCCTTAAACACCTCCTCTCTCGTGCTCCTTGTTAGGAGAGATACCTAACACCCCCGCCGCTAGTATGGGACTCAGCATCAGCCCCGACGCGACGGCGGCCCCCGTGTACGCCTCGGACCGGGAGAAGACATCCGGCGACGTGAGGTCATCCTCGCCAACGGGAACCTCTGTTTCATTCAAGCGTGACCACACTCATCGCAATCTCAAGGCTCGACACATTCAATTCATTGGCATCGGTGGTACTATTGGCACTGCACTGTTTGTGGGTAACATTCTGGGCGTAAAGGACGATTATCTACCGAGACGCCCCGCCCTCCCCATCTCCCCGGGCGCTCCCCTGTTCCCGTTCCCCTCGGAATATTGGCATTAGTGAGGATTGCTCATTCTTGCCGTGCACGCGGCGTTAGGTTCAAATTGGTCGGGGTCTTCTCAATGGCGGACCGGGTTCACTGCTTCTGGCCTTTGGTGAGTGCTGGTCTATTTGTGTCTTAGCGACTCTTATTCTTCAAATTTGCTAATCGAGCTATAATATCCACCAGCCATTTGGTGCACCTTCATTTTGGCGGTGACCATGTGCATGGCCGAGATGGTGACTTACCTGCCTATTTCCTCACCGTTCATCCGATTCGCAGGTCGCTACGTCGACGAGGCGTTCGGCTTCGCTGCAGGTTGGAACTTCTTCGTCTTCGAGGCAGCGCTCGTGCCCTTCGAAATTGTCGCCTGCAACCTCATCCTGCACTTTTGGACCGACGTCATCCCCACCGCCGCCGTCATCGTCATCATTTCCATTCTCTACCTCCTCATCAATATCCTCGCTGTGAAGTGGTACGGTGAGACCGAGTTCTGGGCCTCTATCGGAAAAGTAATGCTTATTGTCGGCCTCATCATCTTCACCTTCATTGTCATGCTCGGAGGGAATCCCCATCACGACAGGTTCGGCTTCCGGTACTGGAAGAATCCCGGGTCCTTTGCCGAGCTGTACTACACCGGCAGCCTGGGTAAATGGTTAGGCTTCCTGCAATGCCTTATCCAGGCGTCTTTCACTGTTTCGGGACCCGACTACGTCTCGATGGCGGCAGGCGAGGCGGAAAACCCTCGACGCGTCCTGCCTCGCGCGTTCAACGCCGTCTTCTACCGCCTCACGACTTTTTTCATCCTCGGCGCCCTCTGTGTTGGCATTCTCGTGCCCCACGACTCGGATGAGCTGCAGGGCGCCCTCAGCGAGGGTAGACCGGGAGCAGCTGCTTCGCCATACGTTATCGCCATGAGGCGCCTCGACATTGGCGTTCTGCCCCACATCGTCAACGCTTTAATCCTCACGGCTGCCTTCTCCGCCGGAAACTCGTACGTCTACTGCGCCTCGCGATCTCTCTACGGACTCGCTCTCGAGGGCAAGGCTCCCAGAATCTTCACCGTTTGCACCCGTGCCGGAGTGCCCGTCTACTGCGTCCTAGTCGTCCTCGGCTTCGGTCTGCTCTCCTTCCTGCAGCTGTCGGAGAGCTCGGCCGTCGTGCTCTCCTGGTTCGTGTCTCTGGTTACGGCGTCGCAGCTCATGAACTTTTGCATTGGGTGTGTCTCGTATCTGTGCTTCTACCGAGCGCTCAAGGCTCAGGGCATTGACAGGTCGACGTTGCCTTACAAGGCTTGGCTCATGCCATACGCGGCGTGGTATGGTGGTATTGGTACCTTTATCATGATTTTCGTGGGAGGATATACGGTGTTCCTACCAATAGAAGGAATGTGGTCTGTCCCGGACTTCTTGTTCTCGTGAGTCAAATCATGCCACTGTTTCATCTTCCTGTGATAGCCTCGCACAATACTAACAGGGGAAAATGAGTATTAGGTATACCATGGTCATGGCGTTTCCAGTACTCTACGTTGGCTGGAAGATCGTTCACAGGACACGCATCTTTAAGCCTGAGGAGGTTGACCTCCGAAAGGATTTAGACGTCATTGAAGAGTACGAGAGGGAGTATATTCCACAGCCTCCGAAGTATGTATACGTGTCTTGAGTAATGCCAGGGAAACAAATTACTGACTCGCACACAGGAACACTTTCGAGAAAATCCTCGACAAGATGTTTGGTTAAGCCTAGGAACTCCAGGTCGCGGATCAATGATTCAGTATTGGAGAGGTCGAGCTCCCGGGACAGTTTACATGATATCATATTATCCCCGATCGTTTGATTAATAGATTTGGTATCCGCCATCTTCCCCCGTCATCGCCACGACTAGTGATTCATAAGTTTTGTTTTGAAATTATTCGGCACATTATTCAGGACATGGTTTCTTTATATCGTGCCAATCGTACCAGTCTGTCTCATTCTTGATCCAGGCATCATGTAGCTCCTTCCAGCCTTTCAGCTTCCGTACCCAAGGGTCCGTCTTGGACGCGGTCTTAGTATTAGAATTCTCTAGTGCCACAACTTCATCAACCATTTTAGATGCGAGGCTTTGAAGACGCTGGAATGCCGTGAGTTTGGCGGTCAGGTTCGTGGCGGCTTGCTCGTATCTCTTGGCCCTAGACTGCATGAAGGCGATAACCTCCTCGTCCGGATCTTCCCACTCATCCTCCATCTCGCTGAGGGAAGAAGTTATCCACGCCAACCTTTGAGAGACGAGTTTCATACGTGATTCGGTATCCGCATAGTTTTGACTGCAGTGACGCGACATTGCCGAAACCTCACCGGACATCTTCTTCACGAAGTCGAGGAACTCGCGGAACCACTTCCGTTGACAATCAATCGATTCCAAAGCCTCACCTATCGACTGCGACCATTGCATACTCTCGCTCCTGGCGATGCTTTCCCACACCTGGAGACTCCCTGGTACCGACTCACCTAAATCTTGTCTGGGGATCTCTGGAGACGTGAGGCAAAAGTCATTCACACCCGAACTTTTCCAGCCTAAGAGGCACCCGACTGGAATCTGGGTGACTAGGGCGGAAATCAGACTGCGCCAGATGTCGGGATTGATCGCCGGCGGAACCTCAATGTTCGCTGAAAGATAGAGCGCATATGCAACGATGAAAATGCCACTTTCATGTGCCTCCGCCACCTCGCCTGGCAAGATTGTATAGGTCTCGAGTGGGTGCGGCGCGCTTATGGGGCTATTTAGATGAAGCATTCGCTTGACGTAGCGCTTACGTCGACGACACCCTTCGCTCTCGTCGTACAGAAGCATGTTTGTCGGGTCGAAGAGACGGTAGCGCTGTCCGCGAACATCAACGGCTGCAAGGATCCAAGCGTCTTCGGGGAGGAGACGCATTGGAATAAGGATAATTTCCTCGCTACCAGCTGCCTTTTTCGTCGGCCCGTTCGTTTTCATACATGATCCGTCCGGGAATTGGGTGTACATTCGATAGGCGACCTTCGTGTTCATACAATGGCTGGCGAACTGCATCATGCTCTCGACAACCTTGTCTTCCGTCGGTTCTCCTCTTTTCAGTTCCGGCATGTCGCGGGCGTTTGCCATGATGAAGTTGATATCCGCATCGACGTCGAGTTGCGAGCCGGAGGTTTCTTTGCTTTTCTTGACTTCCTGGGGGTCCTCCGGGGCTGGGTCGTCTGTTGCCTTGCGCTTCTTCCCACGGGCGATGGCGAGGGCCGTTTCCTTTTCTGACTTGTCCATGCGCTGCTGTGGAGGAGATATCGAGGCCTGGACAGATTGTGAGTCACCCACAGGCGGCTCGCTTACTGGCGGCAGGTCGGATGCTAAGAGCTGAGGCTTTTCGCATGAGTTATATTGCGGCTCTGTGCTCTTCGGAAGTGGAATTTGGCCCGAACCCTCCATAGTCTCGCTCGAATCCGATGAGTATTCCACGGCTGGATCCCGTTGCCGAACGGCAGCCAAATCATCGGATGTATCACTTGGAGCACAACTAGGAACATCGTATGAAGGATTGTCTGATCTCTCGTTGTGTGCCTGGTTGCCAATCTCACACGCTGAGGGGCCGGATCCGCCAGGCTGAGGCTGACATCCTACGAAGACATCCTCCGATATGGCACATGAGGAGGAGAGGCCCATGTTGGAATCTCCGTTCTCTGTCGGTACCGCAGACGGTTCAAACTGGTCAAGATTGGACCCTGATGGAGGAGGCAGGGACTCGGCTCGACGCATTTTCATGGATTTGGTTAAATCCAATGGGGAATGAGCAAAGTAGAGGTCAAAGGAAATATAAAAGATTTTAATTTTGAAGTTCAACAGGAACGGGTACGGTACGAGCTTCTTGGAAAGGGAGGGTGAAGGGCGAGTTGGAGACATCCCAGTTTAGTCCTCCTCGCCAGATTGACCCCAGACAAGACATAGCTAGTCGTACGATATCATCACTGCATTCTATCTAATTCCAATGACACTGGGGTTGTTGTTCTTCCCCTCACTCCGCTATGAACCTAGCAAATCTATCATAGTGACGAAGAAAGCGGCTAAGGACGAGCAGGACTAAGATGGTTTGCTGGGTGGCCTATGGACGAGGCGATGTTGAAATCATGTGTCTATTTAGTGCCGTTGAATAGAGTCTACTGAGTGGTAGCTAAGTTTACTCATTCGCAAAGTTTATTAGCTCTTCAAAGTGACACATGGTCTTCTCTTGTTTCTTGCGACGAGAAAATTATGAGAGGGGATAACTAGCAACATCTCCACCACTCATACAATCTCTACTGAGTACGAACTAGAATGACAAGCTCAGAGTGTAAAGTTGGTGATATTTCCCAACTACAGATACTTACTCGGTCACAAGTATCTTTGGACACATTCTGCTCACTAGTTTGTCCTTCTCCGGCCGACAGAGAAGAATAAGCCGGCTTAAAGTAGAGTAAACTTAATGCAAATGAGATGATCTCCCTTGAAAGTTCTCTGGTAAAGTGCTAATTGTATTGTACCTGCTAAGGCATATCGTCTGGATCACCTACTGTTTATCTGTGTCTCACTCGCAGCCGGGTGAGACCCGGTACCGTGTCCAGCGTCAGTCAGAAGTATACACGTGCAACTCCAACGGTATCTAGGTGAGATACTTTGACCGGTTACTGACAACTTGGCAAAGTCAAGACTTTACCCCGGAGCGGGTGACCTCAAATGCGGTCATTCCAGGACACCGGCCAGTGCCCCCGATGCCGGAGGGCGTCGGCATTTGCTTCGCCTTATTTTCCTATTTTCCGGCCCGCCCTTCTGGTGTTCCCGTGGTCACGCGGGTACGTAACCAAGCCTCGGCGAATAGCCTGCAACCTCACAATTCTCTGACAAGGACCCCAGCCGACTCGGTCCCCTCATGAGGAAGAGGTTCGATGCTCGGAACATCGACAGCTCTGCTGGCAAATGTTTGCTGTATCCGGCATCGGGCTCTTTGTCCCAAAGTGATACGTCCTGACTAATCCTTCTCTCTGTGACAGGAAGTCGTCTCCACGGAAACCTCAATTCAACTGTCGGATTGGACAATGGCAGCTGTCAATTGCAACATGGTGGGTCCACCCAATTGATAAGCAGCAGGGGCTGACCGCACTTTACTTTTTCTAGAATTCCGTCGTTTTCCGGCGCGTTCGTTTGCGCGTCTCAATTTGTCTCCTTTTCTTCTCTTCTCTCTCCCATCACCACGCGTCACCTCATTGACTCAATTCTAGCTTCAATCCTACCAGACTTCACCCATCAACCACCATCCCGGCCCTAACTTAGCTCCGCACGGAACCTTATCCAAACATGTCTTCTGCATTCATCCAGCGCCCGGCCCCTGCCTTCAAGGCCATGACCGTCTTCGCCGGCGGCGAGTTCAAGGAGATTTCCCTGTCGGACTACCTTGGTCAATGGTATGATACCTTTTTCCTTCCCAAAACACCCACCGACGCCACGTCAGCCCTGCCCAACTAACAATTACTTTCTCAATCCTGCAGGGTCGTCCTCCTCTTCTACCCTATGGACTTCACCTTCGTCTGCCCTACCGAGATCATCCAGTACAACGACGCCCTCCCTCGCTTCCGTGACATCAACACCACCGTCCTCGCCGTCTCCACCGACTCCCACTACTCCCACCTCGCCTGGCAGACCCAGCCCCGTCGACAGGGCGGCCTCGGCCCCGACCTCCAGCTCCCCCTCGTCGCCGACCGTTCCCAGGCCATCTCCCGCAGCTACGGCGTCCTTCTCGAGGACGAGGGCATCGCGCTGCGCGGTCTCTTCATCATCGACCCCAAGGGCGTGCTGCGTCAGATCACCATCAACGACCTGCCCGTCGGCAGGAACGTCGAGGAGACCATCCGCCTCGTCCAGGCTTTCCAGTTCACAGATGAGCACGGCGAGGTCTGCCCCGCTGGCTGGATGCAGGGCGCCAAGACCATGAAGCCTGAGCCCAAGGCGAGCTTGGAGTACTTTTCTACCCAGCCTGAGGGTGCCAATGGAACCTCTAACGGTGCTACCAACGGGACTAAGCGTCTCCGAACCGAGTAACCGCTAGATACTAGCTGTCTTTGTGTTTTTGGAGGTTAGGGAGGAGGAGGACGAGGAGGAGAAGTAGAACAGCACCTCGCCGCCTATACATGCGTGTACACTCTCGAGGGATAGAACATACTTAGAACTAGACTTAGATTCGACTTCAAGCTGACTAGGGGATAGAGTTGACAACCTCACAAGGTACACATCTTGTGCGGAGGAAATAAATTAATCATATTGGTACACACTTGAATCCTTGTTCATGACCTGACGTTCTGCTACAGCCTCCCCGTCAACTTGGCGGGATCCGACCTCGTAGGGTTAACTGAGATAGCTTGCGGGACACCTTCCTTGTAAATGCCGTAGCAGATTCTCTCACCCGCTCGCGGCGACGACGTGGAGGCGGAGGTTGAATCACGTCTCCTCCATCACCGTCCCTTGATACCAGGGAACTGTTGTCCTCCTGATGGGTATGGCTGGTTTGGTCCTCCTGGTGGGCATGGCTGGATTGGCCCCCGTCTGGAAGTGTCTCCTGTCCACTCCTCATCATAAGCCCGGTGGGAACAGAACGACCACCGCCAGGCACCGACTCTGGAAGCTTTGAGGGGGATTCCTAACGACCTCGACTGCTTGAAGGTGCGTTGTCCGCGGGGCCTTGCATGCCCTCTTCATGGAGGGATTCAAACAACTCTACAAAGTATTTATCACTATCCCATCTGGGATCGTCTGCCACCTCACCCGCCCCGGATAACGCCGCCATCCTCAAAAGATCCCATTGGATCTCGATCAGGTCCCACGAGACCTGAGTGTCGACGTCATCTGATACGAGATCGAAGAGGGACCCATCAATGAGTGGGTGGCCCGACTCAAAATCAACGATCCCCAGAATTCCCTCCTGCTCACCGGGCCAATTAAGGTAGTCCCGGGGATCTGTCCTAGGCTCCGGCATCGCCTGCCATGGGACGAACGCGGTCTTTTTCAACCATCTCAGCCTAATTCGAACCCCGTTTGGGAGCTGTTCATAGGGTTCTAGCGCAAAATATGCGTTCGCCCACCAAGAGTGTAGTGTCGGAGTCAGACAAATCATGTTTTTGGCTGTGTCAAGGATATGGGCATTATCTGTGATCAGAGCTTGGAGCCGCGCTCCGCGAGCACTGGTCCAGAACATGCCGAGAATTGACTGGAGCGCATCGGAGAGTAATCCCCGACGTTTGATAGCGCTAAATGGAAAGATGTGGCAAGCTTGGGGTTTCATCGCCCTCGTTAAAACGCATTTTTGGTCGCGAGCATGACACTGCGAGGGAAGGTACTGTCAGCTCAGCGATATCACATTTCTTGATAAAAGTGAACGAGAAGTGCGAAAAAAAGGGGGGGAGTGTGAGGGAGAGTGAGAAAATGACGATCCTTCCTCAGGTCGAGCCAGGGCAAGGCCCAAGGTACGTGTACTACCTTAGCTGATTCCGTTTCATTTCTGGATGGGATGGGGGGAGCATCCAAGGTCGATCGATCTCTTTCCTTTGCCAAAACTACCCGATTTCGTTAGATATAAATTCGACCCGACGACGATGGGATGATTTAAGAAAAGGGGGGCTGACAAGTTTTCAACAGGTGTGCCGACCGCTCCCCTATGGCTTTCAGGGAAATCGACGTGCTAATGGAGGAGTCTGGGTGGTGCAGGCTGCGTTGGAGGTCGCGAAGTGGAGGGAGAGGCACAACGAAAAAGAGAGCCCAGTGCACTGCCGTAATCTCCACAAACTGTCGATGAACAGATCGTTTGATATCTTCGAAGATTTCGATTCGTTCTTCGATCTCCGTCACATAGAGGCCAGGGCGTTCGACTCTGCGAGGTGCTGTGTTGAGGAAGGCTCCCAAAGCGGTGAGGAGCTCATGCTGATCCTGATTTGTTTGAAAAAACTGCTCAAGGTGCAGCTTTGATTGCTCGAGATCCATGTTTGGCAGAAGTGTACTTCACTTGGGAGGACGGCAAGGGTTGTTGGATTTGGAATTATCAAGATGAATAGGAAGAGCGGACGGTGCCGAATCTGAGGGCCCGAGATAGATGCAAGTCATTCAATATCGGAAGCAAAGATGGATAAAGATGTCATTGTCACGGCAGGTGCGCCTCATAGGGAACCACCTGCCAAAAGATGGCAGCGTTCGTTGGGTCTAACTTCCATGTTCGCTATTGATGACAAAGCCAGGCATATGATAGAGGGCCTCATACAGGGAAGGAAGGAACTTGGAGGGTCTTTCTCTCGGAAGATGTTCCATTGTACCTTACGCTTCTCTCCGTGGACGAGCTTTAAGCGTTGAGGTTTAAGTTTTGAAGGTGGTAAGATCACATCATGATGAGAAACAGCAAGGCAAACTGCGCAACTCAACTAGACGCCGCGCTGACCCCGTCAGTCAGAGTATGTGAGGGCCCAATTGGAAATGACCACTAGAAAGCGGTTACTTAGAGTTTCATAAAAGACCTGCGCCAAAACTGTTGTCGCGTTTGCCATCCCAGTTAGGTGCTCGCTCCACGAATACCTCATTGCCGTGGATGGCGACACCACGGCGTACATTAAGCCGATATCCCTCTCCCCACTGCCTCATAATAGCAGAAATCTCGTGCGCAGGGAAGTCATTATTGGCCACGTCTCCGGAATCCCGGAATCAAAAGAGTTGGCCAGATCCTTGACCCTTGGCTGGACTATCAGTCGGATACTGGGCGCCCATAACTTATATAGAGAGATCTCTATATCGTTGATGAGGGCGCAAAACCCGCAACATAAATTTGCTGGTGATGTGGGAATCGTCGCCTAGCCATTCGGAAAGCTTTGCATGATTACCTAAACTACACCGGAGGTATGTCTACATGTTGCGTCAACGAGTGGTCTCTAGAACGTGTACCAAGTGTCCGATATGGCGGCTTTGCACCTTCCTCAACTAATAACCCAAGCCTCTTGGAATCCTTTAAGATGCTGGTTGAGAAGGCTGGTAACAGGCCGGGAGGTCAAGCTCAATGACAGGGGATGAATAACATCATCAATGATCTTCAGTCAACCGGACGGACTTCGGAGAAGCAAATCATGGCTGCGATGGACACATTAGAAACTGCCACCGCGAAGTCGGGTTGCGTTAAATTCAATGTCTGTGTGCATGTAATAATAGCTGCTGTCCTGTACGGATCGGAGCCAAAATAATATGGGAGAGCTGTGATAAGCTGCTGATCAATGTACTAACATAGTCAATTTGCGGGCGAGGGACCCAAGATAACGAGGACTAGCGAAGAGGCACCATCGCCAGGGTCTATGACGTGACCTCTCGACTCCGCCATGTGGTATTGTGGGGGCAATGCCCGATATTCTGGAACGAATGGAGACAAGTACGACGTGGGGGCATCGTAGATCTACATGCCCCTGTGCATGTCGATCGTAATCACCATCATGCACGTTGCAACCGAATATGTGAATCGGGGATGCTTTGGAGGAGGGAGGAGGCGACCGCAAAGGTAACAGCCCTGATTTCTTCGGGGAACAAGTTTCATTTCGCTCATCTTCAGCCAGCGCATGGGCTTCGATGTCGCGCCGTGAGAGTCTCGTCGTGTGGTGTCGTGTGGTGCAATAAGCGTCAACAATTTGGATCCTCTCCCGGATCGGGTTAGGGCCAAACATGCTGCTGAGCCACTGCCGGTTTGCGTGAATGCAGATCACCCGGGGCGGACCTGCTTCGTCGGGGGACATTTAACCTACTATGGCTGCAGTCATAGCTTAATTTGTTCGTGCGCAGGTCAAGGAGCCGAAAGAACGGCCGAAATGCGATCTCGCGCTTGATCTCGCAGCTTCAGCCGCTCGCGTTGGTGTGGTTCGTCACGGATAGTTCGGCTTCCGCGGTAGGTGGTCAACCAGAACTCCCTTAACAATGTCTTGGACGAATGTGAGGACCCCAGTTTCGATGGACCAATGCTTTTGGGGAGTTTAGTCGACAATGGTGATCTCAATCTCCCTCACTCAGCATCCAGAGCTGGCACCACTTGCGTGCTCGTTCAAAGATCCGCGTATCCGATACTAAGAGACGGCAGAAAAGGATATAAAGCATAGCAAGACCGCATCGAGGGAATGGGAACTATCTTAGTATCACTCTCAGCTTCTCCAGATCTCGCACCCCTGCAATAAGCAAACAGCTCGCTATATAAACACAAGCCGGACGATCATTCAGCTACTCCGTACTGAGTCTACAACCTACCTTTCTCTCAAAGACTTTGTCTATCATCCTCTATCATTTCACCATCATGAAGATCACGCTCGCCGCACTCCTCTTCACCGTTCTGGCCGCCGCTGCCCCGGTTGATACAGGCCTCCTTCCGGCAGATCTGCCTATCAAGTTGCCCGACTTACCCCTCAACCTACTCTCCGATATACCCCTCAAGCTGCCTACCGACCTGCCCACCAAGTTGCCCACCGATGTGCCTGCCGACGTGCCCGCCAACCCCCCCGTTAAGGCCGCGCGAGCCCTACCCCTCGACCTACCCGTCAGTCTCCCCATCGACGGAGATCACTTGTTGAACGTCGTGGATGCCAACTTGCCTGTCAAGCTTCCGGTTAAGTTCCCTGTCGATTTGCCCGTTTAGTCGGATGTCGGCCCGCTTCCGACGACCGCTGAACTCAGGAACCGGGTTGTTGCACCAGCTCTTCCGACCTCCCGGCTCTCACTGGAGGACTTTTTCACTTCATCACGTACCTACGGCATGCCTATTTTGGAGGGTGTAGGAGTGCTTCACTTGGATTTAATCGTTTGGATGTAGAAGGAATGATGGTTTGGAGGACGGGGTCTTAGAAAGTACTTATTATAATTCTAATACTATTTCTACAGTCTGGTTTCTGTTCAGATGAGAACCGGTGGTGTCTTCAAAAGTGGGCTCGGTGTAGATTATAGTGACATGGAATCATTATCACTTATATCGATGCGCCTTTCCGTCTATACGCCTACATCTAGCTTGTATTATCCATCCATTTTGCACATCTTTAATACCACACCTCCGTAATCAACAGGGAATTAAGAAGACCTATATTTAGACCGTTAGGAAACTAACTGCCCTTGGTATCAGCTGGATGCCTCCATATTCACAAAGTCAGTGTGCCACCCTTAGCCAAACCAATCCTGAGAGAATACAAATTTCAGAGCAACAGGACAAAATTCCAAATCCGCCGGCATGTAAAGTTTGTTCAAGACGTCGATTGATTCCGATGGCCTGGCATGGCCGATCGCGATGTCATTCACCTTAGGACAGATAACAATTTTCACGTCCTCTGGGAATTTTGATAGTGGCACTTCTTCCCCTCCACACTTCCAGGACCAGTCGTGAACCTGAGGGTCCTTACTTTTCTCCCTCCAGTACACACCGAAATATGAGCCGTAGTAGTCCCGTCCCAACATCATTGTGTATGCCACATCGAACAACTTCCCCATTGTGACGCCCTCTGGAACATCTAGGACGCCGCTGTAGAATGAAAGCTCGCACGAGCCACGGCAGTTGATGAATCCAATTTTGAAACTGACTGGATACTCGGGATACATGCGCCGCCAACTCGCACCCTTCCTGAGGAGAGCCTCTCGGCCCCACGCCGGTGCCTGGAGAGGGTCGCCTAGTTGCCGGAGGACTTCTTCTCGTGGGATCCTCCCTACAATGCTCAGGCCGGTAGTGAAGAAGGCGGGGAAAGTTTTGGCGAGTAGGGGGTTGGGGGTTCGATCCTTGCTGGCAGGACCAGCATCAGGCGTCAGGAACAGTTTTCTTTGAAGGGGCTGCGATGTCGTGATAGTTTTGTGCCAGGTTTTGCAGACTCGTTGTGCCGACGTAAGGAGGGTGGAAGGATCGAGTTCCATGAGAACCATTTCAAGGCACTCAGGAATTAGCAGCAGCACCTGAAGAGCTGGATGCGCCATGATTGGTGGATGGCGGATTAGAGAGCGTTTTCTCAGTCGTTGACTCCGTCTACTTGGTACTTGTGGGATGAGAGATCGCTGCCTCAGTCTTTGGCTCCGTCTACTGCGTTGCTTCAGTCGCTCGCTCCGTCTTCTCATTTGGCTGATAAAAGTAATTGGTGGGTAGTCTTTGGTTGAGCTGGCTGCGATCCTAAAAGCCTGGGTGTCATCCGCTGGAATCTATGTCGAGGACATCCAGTAATTACGTCCGGAAGAAAAATAATATCGCAGTTTTTGTATTTGCGGACAGCATCCATGGGTTTTTTTCCACATGTAGCCTTATCTTCCTTGAGTTCCATTTCATGGGTTAGCTCATGGCAGACAAATTCTAATTCCAAGAAGCATCTGTGGCGGAGCAGTGCAGTTTCGAGAAGTGGAATATTTGCTGGCACCACAATGTGGGCGCACTGCGAGTTTGCCAAGCACAGCATCGCCACCCGATATATCCGTTTAGAGATGGCTTTCCCTAGACAGGGCAGCGACGCAACACGAAGTTGCTGAGAATATCCAGGGCGCTCAACCTGCGCCACATTGTACAGGGAAAAATTAAGAAAGTTCAGATCAACCATCGCACGTTGGCTTTCCTCCGTGAGAGATATTGCAGGACACCAGCACCGCAAAGCTGTGGGCGAAGGTGGTTCTAAGCCATAAGCCATTCTCACAGTTGAAGCTGAGGCCTGTGGTGAAGCCTTCACTTCCACTACTCGTCGGTGCTGAGGCGGGGAGAAATCGATGTTTGGTAATGAAATGTTATCAGATTCAAAGCACACCGATGATCACCATAGAGAATTTGCAAGAGAACGTTGATCAAATGTGACAGAAATCGAAGATCCCGGGGGGACGATAGGAAGAGCCGTTCTGGAAAGAAACTGAGCGTGAACGTAGACCACAACTCAAATCAAGCGGTACCAAGGCACACAAACTCTCAACGTCTTGAATAGGACCAGATACATGTGGACAATCCGCTGGTTCTACCACGGCTAACTGGATTATTAGAATTGTACATGTAGGTGGTGCACATGGCCGCCATCGAATAATACGACAAGGTCTGAGCATTAAATCCCCAACATAGGTCAGGTCAGCATGTGGTATCGCTCCTTACTCGCTCAAGAGGGTGTGCAGCCCCTCTTCTATTCAAAAAAGATCTTGTCCCTGATTCTCAGTGATGACGAGATTGGGGTCACCTGCTCTTGCTATCTCGCTCTACCCGTCTCCGAGCCTTGACTGGTCACATTTAAATTTACCAGGGACCTATTTAACCTTCTCGCTAAGTTTCTAGGGGCCACACCTTCCCGCACTGACTTCCCGGGTTTGGCCAGTCCTTTGCAGCCAAGTAAATGGATGTCGTGTTTGTTTGGCTGCTGGTTACAGTTTCTTTAGGTATTTACATGTGCCCTGTTTTGTCTGAAGGATCGGAAGGATCCAAAGCGGGGGGGCCCATGTAATGTGGCTGTGATTTTCAGGGCTTTAGATACTACCTACATTGGTACTTTGCTCCCTGCTCTTGACCCGTCCATGAGTTTTACTTAACCAGGCCCCTGGGCTCAGAGCATGTTGGGACCGCGACGTGAACTCTCAACTGCTGGCGTACTCCGCCCTTACCACCAAGACATCTAGCCGAACGCGCAATGGCCCCGAAAGACGCTCGTGATGAAGAGGTGGCCCTTGCCTTCCACAGTCGTCTGGCGTCTCAGTCACGGGGACGCAACATGAAGGTGGTGCACGTCGAGTTCTCGGCGAGCGACACCTTCGTCATGGCCCTTTCCCCGTGGCATGAGCCAACAATTTGGGCTACGCAACGGAACTGGCATTTCATTTCTGGCTTTGATGCCCAGAGTCGCGCCGCTATGAGCCTTCGGCATGGCCCAGCTCCAGTTGGCGTCTTCCGTGTCACGGGCGGTAGGGGGATTGCCCTTGGTCCCGCCGCCACAGATGCAAAGCAGAGTAGCAGGCTTAGCGCCGCCATCGGCCTGTCGCGGTCTAAGTCAAAAAGCTCCGAACTTGTCGCCATCTTCCACGACATTTCTTTGTCTGCTATGGTCGATATGTACAGTCTGGGAACCTCTCTCGAACTTGTGGACATAGTTAGCATGAAGCGGAAGTTTTCAGCATCCAGCATCGGGATCCAGCCACCATTGGTGTGGTCTCCTGATGGGTCACTCTTAGCTGCTCTCTCCGTCTCGGATGCCACCGAGATATTCCTCTTGGATGCGCAGGTAGATGGACTACCCCGGAGGGCATGCCTCCCCGGACAACTCGCAGATATCACGCAAATGGCCTTCATGCCGGACAGTAAGAGCCTTATCAGCCTTGCAAAGGACGGCTCAGGCCGTTTAGTCAATACATCCCTGCCAAATCCCGGAAAGCTGCTCAAATGCTTCAGAGTATCGACACTGCACCCCGCCAGCATCTTGCGTATCTCGCCAAACGGCAAGCTCATAGTATCGGTCTGGGGCAGGCAAGTTATTCTCTGGTACCCAGAGTCGGGGGACCTCAAAAGCTACAGCCTCGAGATCGTGCGCGACCTGGAGCTGTGGCCGCTCGCCGTCTCCCCAGATTGCCGACTCCTTGTGTGCCGGTCCGAGGCGGGTCTTGATATCTCCGACCTTGCAACAGGAAAATACAGGGGCCGCCTGAGCTGGAATCAGGACGGGGCTACATTTGCTACGGCGGCTGCTTTCAGTCGGAGCGGCAAAATTTTGGCAGTTGGTTTTTTTAACGGGAGTTTGACGCTGTACAATATAATTACCGACCAAGGCCCGCCGGCAGAGCTGCACTCCGATGCGCGAGCGGTCGAGGTAGATCAGAGCATACCGCGTCCACAGGAGATGCCCTAGTTTCTTTAGGTATCCATGGCACCATGCCGTGAAGATAAAGGTGAACGGCGACGAGCTGCCAAGTCGGAGTCGGGACAATCTTTGCGTGCCCGTCGCCCATTCGGATCGTGTGTGCTGAGGCACGGGGGAATCCGGTTTAGCCATCCGATTAGACGTGGGTGAGGGTAGGCCTGTTAATAAAGTGCCAATTTATCCAACAAGACAATACTCGGGTTTGCTTATCCGGGTTCCGCGTCGACATTTGCTAAACTCAGGGATGCATGTGGTGCCCTCTCACGACCCAAGTACTTCCTAGTCTCTCCTTAGGCGATATACAAATTGGTGAAATCAACTGGAGGTGGTGTCATATAAGAGGAAGAGGGTGCTGCTTTGAGGAGAGGCTCTGAGCTCAATGTTGATTTTACATTTGTGAGAGAGTCTTGCCAACCACGAAGGCCTCAAACCTTTGTTGAAAGCTGATGATATTATACGTTCTCTAATAAGCAGGCACGAAAATGTTTCTCATCATCGTCCTAGCCTTTCTATTTTCCCTCGTTGTTCCCGCGCCTGCGCAGCAAACGTTGCGGGGTAAGTCCTACACCGGCTGGGATTGGTAAGTTATATCTGGCGGCAGCTACTCTCACTTGGAAAGATTGCCGTTATTCAGAAACTCGAGTTTCATAATCCCATTTTGTAGTGGATTCTTACTGTTCATCTCAAATCGTCTAGCTGCAAGCCGGTCTGTTCAACAGCTGTTTCCAACCAGGTCGTACAGAACAGGTAAGGAAGAGACTGTTGTCTAATTGTCCCCGCGAAACAAATGAAATGTTTATTTATTCAACTTTGTACTGTCCTGCTGAATTTCCAAAGAGGAGTCGCGAAATCCTGCGACAACCGCGGCAACGCGCTCGATCAGCTTGCTTCCCTCACCACCGCGACCGGCTGTGACGGCGGAGATGCGTACATGTGCCGCGATTTCCAACCCATCCCGGTCGATTCAAACCTCTCCTATGGCTTCGCTATCCAGTTTGGCGGCGACTATAACGGAAATAACGCGAACTGCTGCAAATGCTATGAAGCTGAATGGACTTCGGGGGCAGCTAGGGGCAAAAAGATCATTGTGCAGATAGTCAGCCCAGGCAAGGCGGCGGGGAACGTCGGAGGGAATGACTTGATCATCTACACGCCTGGTGGAGGGGCAGGCCCGTTTAACTCGGGCTGTGAGAGGCAGTTCGGGGCCGGATATAACTGGTAGGTCCCATTCTTTTTTCGTAACTCCCTAGCTTTTCGCTCTCACGTACACACATGTCCTCGGTCCCCTTGAAGTCAGCGCTAACATTAAGGGTTGCAGGGGTTCAAACCTTGGAGGCTTTACTGGCGGACGCAGCGGCTGCGACCAGCTTCCAAGTGACCTGCAAGGGGGATGTTACTGGCGATTCAACTGGGCCGGCGGGGATATCACTGGATGGGATATTACCTACCGCCAAGTTGGATGCCCAGCACGTCTTACGGATATTTCTGGGTGTAGCGCTTGAACTCGGAGGAGATCATGCATCCTGAAGAAGCTTAGCCGCCGCAAATGCGTCATGTTAAAGTACTCTGAGTGTGGGGGCAGTGCTGCAATGAATGCAGGATTTTGGGAGGTTGATTGGATAGTAGGCAGGTTCGTAGATATCACACTGCTTATGGCAGGTGACCCAGACGAGATTTCTACATGATAGGTATTCCACCTACCGCAGGACTATTCACAGTGTTTTATGACAATGAGAAGAGTTTAAACTTCGCTTCCACGTCCTGATTGGGGGGCAATTACAAATACACCATCGTGTGTGCGTCTACGCCGGATTAACGGCGAGTCCCGCTGTGATCTTCTAAATTGTATCTTGCTTCTGGAAGAGGAAACCGGGAACTATATGTCACCGTTGTGCTATTGGCGGTCGATCCGAGCCTAGCATCGAACGCGCCGTAGTCGCGAGTCCGGGAAGGTCGGAGGTCGGTACTGTCGGAATGCCGAAACGCGGGCAGTGCCTAAATCGTGGAACTTGGGAATCCAACGGCGAGACGGGTGTCCCGAAATGGCGACGATTATCATGCCGCTTCTTCACTGGCCTGGATACAATTAGGATTACGACATTCCTTCCACTACTGTAAAGTGGCAAGGTCGAATGTGATTACGGGTGAGCTCGACCCATGCACTGCCAGCTAGAAATGACGTCCTCTCTCGCTTTCAACAATGCCCGTGGCCGCTCTGGATAACGGACGGCGACGAACATCGAAGGTATGCACGCCGAAAATGGCAAAAGTGGGGGTAGGTAAAATAAACCGACCCGCCGAGTAGAAATGTGATGCCGAGCAAGCTACGGATACTACCATGGCAGTTTGAATGCAGATGATTGGATTTGATTCTCATGGATAAACTATTCTCTCTAATGGAGACTGCAGTGGATGGCAGTCTGGAGTTTGGTCCCAGCTTACAGGGCATACTGCATGTGATTCAGAGCAAGTCTCCTACCTGCGCTCAGTCCCGTCCTCAACCACACCCTCGAGGTCAGTCAGCCCGACGTTACAGCGCAGATGCGGGCGAAGTTAGTAATTCCTTATCAAAGGAACTGAGTTGTCATCCGTCATCAATTCTGCGCCGGTGGCGTTCTCACACTCAATTTGCAAGTGGTAGCTATCAGGTTATGTGACACTGCAAGCTCGCGGGCTTTATAAAGGCGCTGACAGCATGACGGAAACACCCAAGACGGTTCAGATGGTTCTCCTTTGCCTTTGCCCGTATAATTTACTGCCGGCAAACAATTGATCGAACTATACTCGAACTTACTTCAAACGCCGCTGAGAATGGCGCTCCATTTGTGGATCTTAGACATGCTCTTGACCGCAAACCTCACCCTATCTGTCGTGGTCATTATTGTGGTATACCTGCTACTGTCCTCAATAATAGCATGGTCTCGATTGCGTCACATCAAAGGTCCTCCACTCGCTTCTTTCTCATACCTCTGGTTGCTACGGAGCACTCTCACCGGAAAGCAGGCGGAGAACTTCCGTGCTGTTAACGATAAATATGGCCCTCTCGCTCGTATTGGACCCAACGACCTCCTGACCAGCGACCCGGAAGTTATTCGCCGGATGGGAAGAACAAGCAGCAAACCGGCTTACCGACGTTCTAGCTGGTACGATGCCATGAAGATGGATCCGTATCACAACTCGCTCTTCAGCATCCGCGACACGCAGGCACACGATAAACTAAAGGCAAAATTGTCATTTGGCTACGGCGGGAAGGAAAACCCTTCCCTCGAGGACGGTATAGATGCCCAGTTGGGGGCTTTGGTAGATCTTATCCGTCGCAAGTACATCTCTACAGCCCTTGAACTGAAGCCCATCGATTTAGCGACAACAGCGCAGTTCTTCACGTTAGATGCGCTCACGAAAGTCGCCTATGGATATGCTTTCGGCTATTTGTCGACGGATTCCGATGTCTATGACTATATCAAGGAGACCGAGGCTCTCGTTCCCAGCCTTGTCATGTCCGCCGAGGTACCCTGGATAGGAAAGATATTATTTTCGCCTACATTTCTCAAATTTGCTGGGCCTAAGCCATCTGACAAGAAAGGCTTTGGTATGATGCTAAAGTAAGTTGAGATATTGGGCATATGAAGTCTTTCTTGTCCTCTAGTAACCGTGATTGCGCTGATTTTGGAGAAAATAGGCTGGCTGCAGACCTCGCTACCACTCGGTTCGAGCCTGGCGCGAAAGATGAAAAGGATATGCTAGTAAGAGTTCACTGGCAGTAAACTTGCAACGCTTCTTTCTATGAAAAACCTCGAACTGATCATCGGGTGGCGTAGGGTGCCTTCATCCGTCATGGTGTCGAAAGACGTGATTGCCAGTCAGAAATACTTTTTCAGATCATCGCTGGAAGCGACACAACTGCAACGGCGATCCGCGGCACATTACTAAACCTTATGACGGCGCCTCACGCATATCGGAAATTGCAAAATGAGATCGACGAAGCGGCTGCCAATGGAAGCCTTTCCAGTCCGGTGAAGGCGGAGGAAGGGCGGAAACTGCAGTATCTCCAAGTATGTGCAAGTATCCCCTACTAGTTCTATACACGCTGGTTCATTGCAGCTAATCACCGGATGCGCTACAGGCCGTGATATATGAGGGTCTGAGAATCAATATACCCTTCTCTGGATTGGTCTCGAAAGAGGTGCCCCCAGAGGGAGACACGATCAATGGCCAATTCATTCCAGGGCGGACACGAATCGGTCAAAATTTCCTTGCCGTACAAAGGTCAAAAGACATCTTCGGGGATGATGCTGATTTGTTCCGGCCGGAGCGATGGCTAGATATTGACGAGGCCCAATCGACGCAGTGGCGACATCACGTTGAACTGGTCTTCAGCTCGGGAAGGTGGGGCTGCAGCGGGAAGCCCGTAGCGTTCATAGAACTGAACAAGATATACGTCGAGGTAAGCCCTTTCCCCGGGATGGGAGGTTACGAACGTGCAAGACTGATCGGATTCAAACGAAAGCTCCTGCGGCGCTTCGATATGCAGCTGATTTTCCCGACGAAGCCTATTGAAACTATCAATAAGAACCTGTTCTTTCAGAAGAACATGTGGGTTCGGGTTACTGAACGCTTCCCAGAATCTCCATAGTTTATACGAGATTCAACGCCGGCTGGACGAGGCTGATGTGATATGAGATCGATGGCCGGATCGGCCTTTCCCGCCTAAGTAGCTTAAAGATCGGATGAGCTGCTTTATTGTGTTCCTGGTGATAGCGCGGTGCTCTTTGGGCTGACTGCAGGTTACGATAACAGCTGAGGCCACAGTCAGCGGGATTCCGGGGAAGTTGGAAATGAAGACCCTCTCCCTCTTGACGTCGAGGTTGCCGTCGAGTTCACAGATCGAAGGATCTATAATTATATTGTGTGAGGTATGTTCTGGAAGTAGCCCTGAGACAACAAATACACTACATGGCAAAAGTTTGTGACCCCCCCTGCCCAGGTTGTCTCGGCTTTTACTAGTTAGCCTGGTTGCGTTCTTCCTCCAGCCTTGCGAGGTGTTGCAAGGGGCTAGGCTACTAGGGTAAATAAGGCCGTAAATGAACTGTCAGAAAGAAAAAAAAATCTGAGAAGAAAACAACCGGTAGGTTCACTAATCACCATTGTTGCACTGGATAGTCGCCACTCGGGTTGGGGAATCCTACGGGATTTTCATAGCGCGAATGCCTGCGCTTATGAGAGTAGACGGGAGTCATAACTCTCTGTCTTAGTCTCGTATGTAGACATCAACTTAAACAACGCGTTCACTCTTGCGGCTCCGGAGCCCAGGAAACGCCAGCGTACGTGTGGAAGACAGAAGGCCAGTAATCCAGACCTCTCTCTTTTAGAGAGTTATTCCATTCCCTCACTGCATTGAAGCATTCCGCCCTCCTGAACGCATTGGGCCAACCATAGCGACGGTATAGCTGGCGGATATACTGGGATTCCAAGTCCGAAGGGAAATGAGTCCTCTCGGTTTGAGAATATATTTCCTCGTCCGGCACCTCTTCATCCCTCTCTGGCACCCGTGATACATCGAGCGTCTCCATTCCTTCGCAAGGTATATACTTTAGAGCAGTTAATTCCTCCTTCAGCCTATCAAAAAAGCTCTGGAGGTCATCTTCGCTCCCCTGATTATGTTCCAGCACATCATCGGTGACTTCGGCGTCAACGACGTTGAGTACGAAGTCGAGACCGCCGCTTTCATAGCCCAAGGCAATATAGACACAGAGCGACTGATCAACGATTTCCGCCCTATCATGGCTCCAAATCTCGAGGTACTGCATTTGACTATCCCTGTATTTGAGAGCTTCTATTCCAAAGGTGGTGTAATCGATGAGATAGCTCGAATAGTAGAATGGCTGGTTGTCGCGCCTGAGGTACGGTAGGCGACGGAGCACGTCCACAACTTCTTGGGACTTGACGTTGACAAAGGAGTCCGGGATTAGCTGGCCCCAGCCCTCCCCAGGGGGGATCTTGAGGTCGGCGGGGTCGAAGTGCAGCGTGGTGAGGAATTTGTAGAAGTCGAGAAACATATCGGCGATCTCTGTCGGGGAGTAGGCCGGTTCATTGTCGGAGCTCTCTCCGCAGGAATCATAGTCAGACTCTTCCTGATCGCTCATTATAAGAACACGGTTCTTTTGATGCTGCTGGAGTGTTATTTATCTAGGCCAGATGTGGCATTCTCTAGCCCCAAAGACTCATAGATGGCTTGAACTTACTGCTTGAGACTATGATCTTCGTTGACTTCTCGGAGAGTTTTGTGTCCGGCAGGAACCCGGGGTATATATCAATGTTGAGAAAACATTTCGAAGGGATCGGAATTCCTCCATTCCCCGCCCCTGTTTCTTATCCCTTGCCGAAAGAGGCCTAATTTTCCAAAGTGCTGCCTGACATGTCGGGTTCCACCGTAGCTGCGGTTGGACATGTTTATTCGCTCCAGCTCATGCTTCTCTTTGAGCACCAACCGACCAACAGCTCGGAAACACACGTCAAGGGATCAACGATTTGGGCGTGGTCTGTAGACGAAATATTTCGAGTTCAGCCACCGTACGCCCGTTCACTACCGTAATGTTCAAGTGTTACTACACCCTGAAGCTCGCCTCCAACGCCATGCTGTCGTGAGATTGGCAGCTATCGAGGGACACCTAAAGAATACCAGCACCTCTCCAAAGTTTATCCACAGATGCAAGGGAAAAATCAACATTCTAAAGGCCAACAGGTCGAACAAGCAACCTACCCAGGTTGATTTCGCAGCCACAGCATCGAATGTGAACAGTATTGACGACCTACAAGCGTTCCGTCCGGATTCGCCAGTATTCCTAAATTGGTATTTTGATTTCATGCCGAGTCTTCAAGTAATTCCTCCCAGGCCACGCCCTCCCCAAGGACAAGCATCTCCTGTATCCTACACACAGCCTTCATCTGCGCAGGCGCTATCTGCTATCTACACCAATCAACTGCCCTTTCCTCTTTCAAACCTCATCTCTCTCCAGCCACTTCCTCTAACCTCTAACCTCTAACCCTGATCCAAACCACAACTCTCATTCCACACCATCACTGATTCTAAACGAAGCACCCGATTTCCCGTTTTCTCCATTATTCCAATACTGTCCCCCTTCAATTTTCCCTTCATCTTCTCTGTGCTTTCTTTCATTTGACGCGAAAAGCGGCGCTAGGGCGTTGGCTACTGCTCGATTAATCAACATTTAAATTAGTCGACAGCCCGGTGATGACGGTCTTCATCCTCTTCCTCTCCCGTTACTCTTCATAAGGCTCTATACATTACGCTTCAGCTACGTTCAAGGTCCGTAAGTCTTTTTCCTTTTCCTCTTCCTCCCCTACCGACCCGCCTCGCAACAAGTGTTAATCACCGCGTTTCCATCCCACCATTTAGATACAATGTGAACCGAGCTATCCACCGAGACATCCCCGACGCGATGGAGAGCCCCGACTCTGCCATTGGGCCTCTGGGAACTTCCGAGAAAACACACGGAGTCACTGAACCATCAGCACTCACCGGAAATGCCGAGACGCTTTACGGAGACCAGCACAAGATTATAAGCCAATGGCACCAGCAACTGGACCAGCTTCGCCACAGTGACGGGGCTCAAGCAGAGGCCTTGGTATCCCAAATTGCAGAAATTCTAGAAACCCATGCTTGGAAGCAGGACTCACTTATTTTGGCCTTCAAGAACATAACGGATGAGCTTCGCGACAAGCTCAGCTCCAACTTCCAGAGTGAGTTCGAGGATAATTTTCCCAATGTTGAAGACGGGATTAGTGATGCAGTGAAGCGGTAAGTCCCTACAACCAGGCCCATGTATCTGCTTTAGCTTGCAATGGTTGCTGCTGGCTCGTATATACTAATTCTACGCTAGGGGGGATACGAGTATGAAAACAATCACAGACCGGTGGCCACGCTCTCACGAAGCTCTCGTTAACGCATTTCCAAGCGAGTCTTCCATTTTTGGCAGGGCTTTCGTACACTCTGCCGCTAGTCCTGCGACTTTGGGGTGGCCGCGCTCTGTATGAGGTATGCGAGCAGGTATGCGACGGGTGGCAGGGGCCGAGCGTCAGCCCCTTACGCCATCACGAGTGATCTTCGGAAAGCTAAGGAATGTCTTCTCGACAGTTTAATTCTCTTTCCCCCGGATCGCCCTGAGGACGCCACCATGGTCGCTGAGATATATCTGTCACATCCCCATTACCCCGGATGGTACCACTCATGGTGCTAGTCTTATGACGGGAAGCCCTGGTGATGGCGATACACTTGGCCACGTGGTGGAAACCGGTCAATGGGCGCGTATACACCTCGCCCCGGATGGCCCATTACGCCCCAGCGACCCCACCGGTGTAAATTCTAATGAGTCAAGGGGCTGTATGGTAGAACAGACAGAACAGACGGATGCCCCACAACAGGCACAACCAGCCGACCGGACCAATTCCCCATCCGTAGCTGCAGCTCCTCCAAGGGCGGAGTCATCCAAAGAAGTAGATTCATACCCTAACTGAGGCAACGGGTTCTCAGAAGAGACCGCTCTCCAACTCCCAGCCATCTTCCCCTGTTGCCGGCGATGTGAAAAGGGCGAGAACGCGACAACCAGAGGAGCAAGGGCACGATGGCGACGAACAAACTGAGGGTGACACTGTAATGGCAGGTGACACTATAATAACCGTTCTGCACCCCGAGGACACGCGCGAGACCGAGGCTGAGAGCGAAGGGGAAACCGGCCACCAACTTGATCTCTAGGCGGTCAAGGCGGAATGCCATCGCTGCCGCCCACCCACCAAGTCAGCAATTCCTGCCATGGTTAAAGAAATCGAGAGGTGTGGTCGCTGGCCCCGCGAGCCAGACCATTTGCGTTTTGACGACGGCTCGCCGGCGACTGCCCTTCTCGCTCCTGTTGCTACCCGCGACTTCTGCCACCGCCACCTACGACACGCCTGTCGATTCTTCACGATGCACTTGGAATAGTTGGCAAGCCTGATAAGAAAGATGAGTTGCCATCTACCGACAGCTTGCAAGATAAAACGCGCCGATTTTATAAGGCGTAAAAGCAAAATATAATCAACCTTATGTACATACGGTCCCAAACTCTCCCAAGTATCTCGCTAACGTAAGTTTAGTTCGGGGTAAGCTTCAAGAGCCGGCCGTTACGACCATCCTCGATCACCCAAATGGCGCCGTCCTTGTCCTCTCGGATACCGCGCATTCTCTTACCCATTGGGAAGCGCTGAGCCTCCTTCGCCGTGTCACCAGTGATAGTCACGCGCACAATTGATTGTGAGCTGAGACCGGTGATGATGGCATTGCCCTTCCAGTCGGGAAACAGGTCGCCCTTGTAGATGATCAAGCCGGCCGGGGAGATAACCGGGACCCAGAAGGCCTTGGGCGGGGTAAACTCGGGGCGTGTGCTGTGATCGGGGATCGTCCGGCCGTCGTAATGGCGGCCCTGGGACACAAGCGGCCAGCCGTAGTTGGCGCCCCGCTCGATCAAGTTGAGCTCGTCGCCGCCCATGGGGCCCATCTCGACCTCCCAGAGACGCCCCTCAGCGTCCCAGTCGATGCCCAGCGGGTTGCGGTGGCCGAGCGACCAGATCTGCGCCTGGATAGCGCCTTGGCTTGCGAACGGGTTGTCCGCGAAGGCGGTGCCGTTGTCGTACAGCTTGATCACCTTGCCGAGGTTGCCGGTCATATCCTGGGACGGGGTCATCTGGTTGATCTCGCCTGACGAGATCCACAGTGCACCGTCGGGGCCGAAGAGCAGGCGAAGGGCGAACTGGAGTCCGCCCTGGGCCCTCTGCGAATGGCGCCAGATGACCTCGAGGTCGGACAGCGCGCCGCCGTCAGCGGTCAGCGTCAGCTTGGCCCGCGCGACTGCGCCACCCGCCCCGCCAGTGCCACTCTCGGCGTAGCTGAGATACACAATACTGTTCTCAGTGTAATTGGGGTGCAAGGCGACGTCGTGGAGACCGCCCTGACCGCCGTATGCGACGGTGGGCACACCGGTAATGGTGCCCTTGGACTTGGTGGCCGGGTCGACGAGACGCAGGTTGCCTTGTCTCTCGGTGACGAGGATGCGATCGTCTGGCAGGAAGGCGATCGCCCATGGCTCAGTATGGTCGGTGATAGGTGTCGACGTCCACGGCTGCTGGCGAGTGTGAAGCTGTTGCGATGGGACGGCCAAAGCACCGGCCACCAACGCCAGAGCGTAGGTGACAGAAAGTCCGAGGTGCATCATTTTCGGGGTGGCCTTTGCTTCCTAGTGTGTTGTGTTTCTAGACGATCGAGGGTTGAGTGGCTTACATTGTGGAGAAACTCTTGGACTGTCTGTTCCCCCAAGGTCGGCAGCTATATAAGAAACCGGAGACTCGAGCAACCTCTTTGTCCAATTTCAGGCTATTCCCCGCCTTTAATGACTTGATATATATAAAGTTAATCAGTGTATCTGCACTTTATAACCCCGGTACCGGTAGAAACGAGTTTCCCTCTTGTCCCTATCGCCTGCCTCCTGTAAGTGTCCATGGATCGGCAGATTTGGCAAAAGTCTGGCGTGGCATTCCCACCCTATTAATCTGGCACGACCTTTTTTGTCTCTGTTATGGATGAGTACCGACGCCAAGACCGGGTCGTGTGCTGTAATTTTCTGGGCATCAATATACAGGTTATCAAATTCATCTTTTTCGTCCTTGCGCCATGCGGGGGTTCTCGATCCGTCTCCGATATCCTTGTCGAGCATAACATAGTTAAGTACTTACTATACCATACTTTCCTCTCGATTTTGCCGCCCGGAACATCCCCGATCTGGCTTGACATCTCGGTCTTGGTATTTCAAACCCTCCCACGTGACAGTTATCCTATTGTCACGTGACTTGTCTGGTACCGAAAAGGTTATGTCAGATTTCGTCAGCCCTGGTCAAGACTGGCCCGTCGTTACAGCGCCGACCTAGGTGGTGAGGTTAGGAATTTCTTATCAAAGGACCAGACACGTCGCTTCGGCCATGTCGAGTTGGACTGAGCATGTGGAGTAGTGGAGGAATTTGACTCTAGGTATTTTGTGGTGGTTCTGTACCGCTTCGGCGCTGGGTATGTGCTGCAAGCACCCCGAGCAAACCTTATCACGGCTAAGAAGCTCAAGAACCTGCAGGTGACCGCCCAGGCCTTGGATAGCTTCCCGGTTCTCAGACTGTCATGGGCTTGAATCATATTTTCGGCACCTCCTCCACTTGCGTAATAATGAGCCAAGCTTATATCGCCAAAAAAAAATACGCATAAATTGACGACATGTACGTCGTAGACAGAAAAGCGGGACGCCATCCATGCACCGCATAACGAAGAGAAGCAGCTCCCCTGGTAGGCGGCATAGTGGGCTTTCGGTTATGGCGGCAACGGTAACTGCCTCATCGGCCCTTGATGTCTGCGCCGCCTCTTCCACTTTTTCTTCCACTTTTGGTATCCAGAATGGCCTGGGATTTGCGATGACCATTTCGATATCTCTAGGCTTACGGCTGGGAGCTCAGGTTCTTCTTCCTTTGCCCAGATGCTTCTTAGCTCGGGAGGAAGCGACCTTCGGCCACGGGACAGTCGGGGGATCTAGACAGGAAAGCAGTGAGTTCGTCTTTCATTGTCGAGATTGTGCTTATTTGCGTGGGGAGGAAAGAGCACTCAGATACGTATTATATACATTTACAAGCTCTTGCTCTTGCGCCCTTCTTTCTACCACGTGATCCTTCTAGCTGAACTGAAGCTCTAAGATGCTAACTTCGCCTGCTGCCACTAAGCCGTTCGCACTAAGGCTGAGACCCGGCTGAGGCAGCCGCTAATGATGCTCGTGACGGTGGGACGTAGCACTTGGCATGCTGGTAGTTAAGAGGCATCTATGAGGAGATGGCGAAGAAAAATAAAGATCGGTAATGACTATGTTATGAATTTGGTGACAATGGCGTGTTTGACACTAATTGCAGACCGGGTTTTCGTCGCATTTCCGTTCGATACTCGCGCAGGCCTTGCCGCGTGCTTGCTTTGCGAAGTACGATCCAACAGACCGCCGAAGGCGATACTTCATCGATTCAACAACTCGATGGCACGGCCCCTTGACATTATTGATGGCCGGGATCGGATCCTAGAACATGCCGGATTTGCTCAACTTTCGGGTCAACACATACTCCCCGAGGTCTGCTGTATCCTCCGGATATCCAGCAGAAGGGGTTTGAACCCAGTATGACGCGAAATCAGGAAGCTGTGCTGCAGTAGTTGAAATATTTACTTTATAATGTTCCTTCACCTATGTATTGAAATACTCTCAAGGCCGAGAAAACGCTCCACAACGCCACTCCAAGCGATTGTCCTCGCCACCACCCGTCATTGACGAATATGGTACCACACACTTCTCCAAGCACGGACTGCGAACTGTTGAAGTGTTGCCTTGTCGAAAATAATATCTTTCTCCGGTGGTACGGGGTCCCGGAGGAATATATCCCGGAAGTCGAAGGTGAGGTCGCCATTAGAAACCTCGTAGGAGGAAGGCTCCCACCTTTTCGGGTGATGAAGCGTGATGCCCGGTCCTTGAGAGATTGTAATCTCGTGCACACATTGAGGGATAATCGAGCCCGATTCGTACGCCCGGGTTTGAGTGGCACCTGGTCGCTCGGGGCTCTCTGTCTGTTTCCACTTCTCTAGCTTGATGAGGCCATGACCTGTCTCGAACTTGACCAAAAGTACGGTCTTAACGTCCCCACCCGAGATTTCGAACCACCACCTGGCCTTTTCGTGGAGATCCGCCCATGGCTGGGACCATGCTGTTTCGATGACCAAGGAAGGGAATGCTCCTTCGCCACGCGTCGAAACTGGCACAAATACCGAGTCCCCTTCTCCCTCGCCATCATCAGGCACACCTGCGGCGGCAGAGGTATCCGAGGTGCCCTTCGCGGAGTTTACTGGCAGTTGGCCAACGTCGAGGAGGTCTTCGTCTAGCCCCATCTCTGCGGCTTGACTGATGACTAGGAAGCCCAAACGCCGATCAAGAATCTCACGCGGGGGTCTAGGGATGGCCAAAACAAGAGTTTGGTCTGAGGGGAGGTATAGAAAAATCTTGAATTCCCTCCCCAACTCCTTCCTTGCGTCTTTGATAGCAATGTAATTCGGTACAGTAACATGGTGTACCTCAAGAACTTCGTGCTTATGGTTTTCGAGTTGAGTGAAGAGGTCACGGACGCTCTGGAAAGTAAACTTGACTGGGACTGGCGGTGAAGGCAAGCCCTCTTCGCTGGCTGTGTCTGCATCTGGGTGCGAGGGCGCCGAGGGCTCATCTGGCGTTGCGGAGGCCATGGCAGTTAGAGAAGTATCAGTGGAAATTAAGTTTGAAGTCAGTCACATGCAACATAAACAAGAAGAGTGAGGAGGTCGATAGTTACGCGCAGACAAACTGTAGACATTCAAGAGAATAATATGGGGAGAGACACTGAGAAGTGAGGTTCTAGTTGTGAGTCCATCATGAACTTACGATTGCACTTGACAATTCAATGGCTGAACACGTTATGTGACAGCGGATGAGTAATAAAAGCGTTCCTGACCCAAACTGGGCAATGGGACAAAGCAATGGCGTGGGCTCATCATTACATTCAGTCATGTGGTGGTGAACAGCCCACGTCATTCGCCACTTCACATAGTGAGCATCCCAATGAAGGGAGGAAAACTGTTGGTTAAACCTCGAAGCGCTGTAAACTACCCCATAGTGCGATGGAACTGCG